GAGAGAATATGGGGATAGAATAATAGAGGAAGAATTCTTGACATACGTTTTAGCCAATTCTAAGCGTTTAAAAACCGCAACAATCTCCCTGAGGTTAAATCTTGAAGATCCAGAGTTGATCATCGAGGAGTTAAAAGATCTTCCTAGGGTTTCAACAACATCTCACCTTTTGTTCAAATGAAAAGTCTAGAGAAGCTCAGTGAATAAGCAAGCCTTATCTGCTATAAGATACCCCAAAATGATTGATCTTCAAGATTTTTTTATTCTTTCTTTTAAAGTAAAAACACTATTTACGGTTTCTTGATAGTGTTCCTTTTTTCCTGATACTGGACAAGTTGCAGAGCGCCTAGTTTCCTAGTTTACAGTCTTAACATCTTATGGTGTTTAATTGTTTATTCATATATTTATGCTGGCTCGCTCTTAATGAGTTTTTCTTTCAGCATCATAAAACAAATTTTGGGTTTAACTCGCTGCTGGCCCTCTGTTGTTTGGAATCTTACTTAGTTCTTGAAATTGTATGGGGAAAAAACAACCAATGTTATTTTGCGTTCATTTTGTCTGCTTGTCTTCTTCAAGTGTGTATGTCAACGTCTGTGCTTCTTGCAATCACAAGAGAAGTTTTGTTTTGGCACCAGCATTATGAAAAGTAGTTCTGTCTTCTATCTGTCCCGCGTGGTTCATGGTAATAATGTCTTCTTCGGTTCTGAAAATTTGATATCGGTTATCAGGAAGGCATGGTGCATGGAGTTCTGAGGTACCAACTTAGCCATCAGAGACAAGGTTCTGGACTTTTGTGAATATTGGAAAATGGGGACAGCTGATGTGAGGAATATCGAAACATCATAGTAAATGGATTAAGTGGTTTCTATAGTAGTCATCGTTATACTTGTCAACATTCGTCTAAAGTTAACCTTATACTGTGGGCAGATAACAAACAAAATAAGTGTTTGGTCATCTCAAGTCTCAAGTCTCAAAATTAATCATGATAATTCCGTTTGGTCATCTCAAGTCTCAACATATCCATTACCATTATTAAAATTATCATATATACATATTCTAGTTCCAATAATTTTTAGATTGAACTAGGAAAAAAAAAGAACGAAAGCTTGGAAAGAAAAAGCAAGTCTCTCATCCTCTATAAAATATTCCATTTATCTCATTCTTGTGTTTCCACCACAGTGGTGCATTTGATATCTTTGGCATGAGGAATGTCTAAGTGGTTTGTCTACTTTCCTCTGTTTTTGTTCGTTTGCAGATCAAGAGGCTTCATCTTTTGCTTACTGTCAACGAGTCAGCTATAGATGTTCCATCCAACTTGGAAGCTCGAAGGCGTCTTACTTTCTTTTCAAATTCACTATTCATGGACATGCCTGCTGCACCCAAGATTCCCAACATGCTTTCCTTCTCGTAGGTTCCAGGCACTTTCAACTTAATTTATGGTCGTCTTCTCATAGGCTTACTATATCTTAACATCTTCCATTTTGCGTTGTCATAGGGTCCTTACACCATACTTGCGTTGATTGATAGGTTTGATAGTTAAGCACAATAAATGGACCACACCTGTTTCTTTTTGTTGATGATGAGGGATTTGGGTTTCTTTGATCTTAAGCATAAAGGACAAGCTAACATAACCCATGTCGGGGATGGCTTTGCATTTAGAAATCTTAGGTGGGGTTTTTTGTGTTCTTTTACTTGTGTGTTACCCGGATTTAAAATCATCGACAACACATATTTACTTAAGTAAAGAGATCTTCTACCCGCAATTTGTGACAATCAACGTAAATATGTGTGCCGCATTTATGGTAGAAGGGACAGTTCCCTGCAAGAGAACCTATAACCGGACTCGGCAAAATTAAGGAAACACTCTAATAGGAAGCAACTGATTCATGACAAAAAGCAAAACTATAAAAACCTTTCAAAGAACATTTGCATCAGGCTGTTACAATGCATTTTATCTCTCTGTAGTCACCATCCCGACATCAGGACACATGACATATATGTTTTCTTGGGAGGTTTGATTGATGGCTTTGATTCCCTCATCAGATCCATCAAACTGTCTCTCAAAACAACTGCAATGTTCATCAATGCGCGATAAACTCAATCGCTCGATATCCATGTCAGAACAAGCATTCATACACACTACCAAAACCAACAGCTCGATCATGAAGTCTACAAATCACATGTTTTTACTCGTGTGAGAACAAGCACACATAGACATTCACTTAAAACTCGATGCCCTAAATGAACAAACCATTTAAAATCCAATCACTGCAGTCCGAGAGACTTGGCGCCGATACGGTTGAGATTATTTTTCTCTCTGGCGATTCTTTTTCTCGCTTTCTTTTGAGCTGACTTTTCTGCCTTCTCTGCTTTTCCTCTTGCCGCTACAGCTGCAGCAGCTGCGTCACTTTCCTGTCTCCTCAGCTGAGCTTCCGCTGCAATCTTCTCTGCTTCAGCTCTCCTCACTTCTGCCTCCATCTCAGCTTCCATTCTCATCACTAGTGAGAAGCAATCATCCACCATCTCTGGAGCTTTGCACATTGAAGAAGCAATCCTTGACATCAACTTGAGAGGCAGCTGAGGTTTAAGAAACAAAAGCGAAAGTGTTTTAAGTGATTCACTCTCAGTTCAACTGTGAGCAAAATTAGAAAGTGTTTCACAGCTTACCTTGTTATCCGAGTCAGAGGGCTGGCTCCAGCCTGCTCGTTTAAGGCGGTCGAGGAACTCAGCGATGTAGCTACAAACAAAACAAGAAGAAAAGCTTCAGCAAAGTCCGTGAAAAGCAATTAAACAGGTTGAAAAAAAGAACAACAATCATCTGCAACCCAAAGAAAAGACTTACTTGTGAGGGAAATTGTTGGCCTGAGACTCAGCAAAAGAACGAAGATCGGCTCCATCAAGGGAGGAGAATGTAACCCAGAACTGATGGATAGACTTTTCTATCACAGAGAGATCCCAAGGAGGTATCGCAGAGAGCTTCTTGCGCTTTTTGTCTGCCTTCTTCTTCACACGTTTCTCCAAGTCATATATGGAGCAGATGTACTGATCAGGATCAGCAAACAAGGCAACAAGTCTTGCCATAATTTTCCTAGGAATCTACAAAGGAAAAACCAGATTAATCGCAACAAACACACACAACAACAAGGACTAACCTAAACGAATCCAACTACACAGGATCCTAAACCCTACCTCGTAACCTGGATCTAGGTGTCGAGTCCATCTCACACGGTTAAGACCTTCGATCAAACGATCGATGAAGCTACAATGACAAAAGAAATGCATCCGATTCTCAGGCTTAGAACTGAGTGCAATTGATGTTTAGAGAGAGGAAGAGGTGAGTAGGCTTACCTAGGAGGGAACTGGTCGGTCTGAGTAAGTGCAAACGCACGGAAGAAACTTCGCTCCGGGAAGAAACGGTCCCAGAACAGTTCCACGGCGTTTTCCAGCAACGAAGTCTCACGGCGATAAGCTTGAGGAACTTCCATGGCGATCGCAAGGAGCTTCTTGCGCTCTCTGTCTGCCCTCTTCTTCACACGTTTCTCCAAGTCATAGATGGAGCAAATGAATTGGTCAGGATCAAGATCAGCAAACAAGGCAACAAGTCTTGCCACAATTTTCCTTGGAATCTACAGAGAACACCAGAAGATCAATCGCAACAAACACACACAATAACAAGGACTAACCTAAACGAATCCAACTACACAGGATCCTAAACCCTACCTCGTAACCTGAATCTAGGAGTCGAGTCCATCTCGCACGGTCAAGACCTACGATCAAACGATCGACGAAGCTACAATGACAAAAGAAATGGCGATTCTCAGGCTTAGAACTGAGTGCAACTGATGTTTAGAGAGAGGAAGAGGTGATTTGGCTCACCTAGGAGGGAAATGATCGGTCTGAGTAAGTGCAAACGCACGGAAGTCACTTCGCTCCTGGAAGAAACGGTCCCAGAACAGTTCCACGGCGTCTTCCAGCAACGAAATCTTACGACGATAAGCTTGAGGAACTTCCATGGCGTCGAAGGAATTAGATCGAGAGAGAGAGATTTTGGGAGAAAAAGAAATTGAAACTGGAGAAGAAATTGAAGAAGCGGGAATTGAAAAAAAGAAGAGAGTAAAATAAAGAAAGAGACGACGCATAACAAAACGGTTATTGCCCCCTTTGCGTTGGATACAAACACGTGGATGATCAAACACGTGTAAGCAGATCCAATGAGAAGTCTTCTTTCGCGTAAAAATCCATAGCTTGGCTCGCTCCTCATGGGATTTGGATTTGAAAGCAACGAGATCTGTTTCTCTTTCTCGGATAGATCCAACAGAAATCAGCCCTTAAGGCCCACGAACAGTAATTCTTCTTAGCCATGGTCGTGGATTGGAGAGTGTTGAAGAATTGAAAAACAAAACCAGAAGAAGAAGAAGAAAAAAGTTGAACACAGAGGCACAGACCTTTGAAAGGAGACGAAAGAAATAAAAATGGTGAATTTAGGTTTTACTAATCAAATCAATCTCTCGTTGCTTTTTATATCCACTCTTGGGCCAATTTACTCTTTCAAGGCCCATTATTATAATGTTTATAGGCCCATTCGAGTAACCCCACAAGTTTATTGTTCTGAGTCTGCGACATGCCTTAGCGCAAACGTAAAAACGGCGTCGTTTCTATTTTTACCTTTTATTTGATTATACAATTATTTTTAGGATTAGTAACAATTGTATAGTTTCTTATACAAATATATCGTCCTAGAAAAATTGTAATAAAAATATTTCCCATTTAAAGTTTATCAGAGAATAAACAAAAAAAAATCAAGTAAACCTAATCAGAAATCTTTTATATTTGAATAAATATTTCCCATTTGAAGTAGTTTGGTATGGACGGATCTTGTAAACCGGTTTCGGTACGATTTTCCGGTTATTTTTGGTTAAAATTGATTGGGTATGTTGCAGAAGCTTTGCCTCACATGGCAGGTCTCTCCAAATTCATCATCCTTGGATTTTATTGATACAGAGGGGGAAGAGAAGAGAAGACTCATAATCTTCATCTTGAAACCCTAGATTCCTTAACGAAATGGCGATAGAGATCTCAGTAGATCTGATAAACCAACTCAAGGTCTCGCTTCGAAAGGAGGCCAAGCTCTCTTCCGTCGGCGATTACTCGGACTCATCCTCCTCCAGCCTTCCCACATCCGAGGAGGCAATCGCAGAACTTGATGCTTCAGCTCCGTACCTTCGTTGCCAGAACTGCAAAGGAAAGCTTTTGCGAGGAATCGAGTCTCTGATCTGCGTCTTCTGCGGAAATCAGCAACGCAACAGTGATAATCCTCCTGACCCCATCAAATTTACTTCCACTTCTGCTTACAAATGGTTTCTCAGCTCTCTTAATCTCCATGGATCGGTAAAATTCGATACCTTTCGCACAAATTTTTAATTTACTTGATTTCCTCGCTGATTGTGTATCAGTCAGATGTAGAATGTGGTTTGTTGTGTCTTTAAAGAAACGAAATTTTCATCTGTAGGAGATGGTAGAGCCACTTAAGGAAACGGATGGATCAAGCAGAGGAGCTACTAAGGCACCCGTCTTAAAAGGAATTGCTTTGTCTAAGTTTCTTGATTTGGAAATACAATGGTCTGCAAGTGAGGATAAGTCTATAAACAGTGGAGCTGATGATGGACAATCAGTGCAGAATAAAAACCCTCTGAATCTAGGCGGAATTAATCTTGATGATTTTTTCGTTGAGGGGAGAGGAGATCTTTCCAAAGTGGAGCCAGCAGAGATCAAACCTGTGGAAGATGATGATGATTTTAAGGATCCACGTAGTCTTAGCTTATTTGATAGTGTAAAGAGTCAGGGAGTTGTTGAATCACAGCAGAATGAAAATGTTGGTATATTGAAGGGAAAAGATGCCCAGAAGAATGTTTCTTCTGAAGTACATGAGAATCTTAGTTTGTTTGCGGGACGAGATGCGCAGGAAAGTGTTTCCGTAGCAGAGCAGGGAAACTTTGGGTTCTTTGAGGAAAAAGATGCTCGGAACTCTTTCAAAGAGAATGAAAACCTTAGTTTGTTTGAGGGTAAAGTTGCTCAGAAAACTAGTTCTTCTAAAGAGGATGAAAGTTTTGGTTTCTTTGAGGATAAAGATACTCAGAGAAATAGTTTTTCCAAAGAGGATGAAAATCCTGGTTTGTTTAATGGGAAAGATGCTCAGAGAACTAGTTCTTCTAAAGACGATGAGAGTTTTGGTATGTTTGAGGGTAAAGTTGCTCAAAAAACTAGTTCTTCTAAAGAGGATGAAAGTTTTGGTTTCTTTGAGGATAAAGATACTCAAAGAAATAGTTCTTCCAAAGAGGATGAAAATCCTGGTTTGTTTAATGGGAAAGATGCTCAGAGAACTAGTTCTTCTAAAGACGATGAGAGTTTTGGTATGTTTGAGGGTAAAGAAGATGCTCAGAGAATTAGTTCTTCTAAAGAGGATGAAACTTTTGGTTTGTTTGAGGGTGCACCATCATCAACTGCTGACCTTAAGTCTTTTGATGACAAGATTGTTGCCGCTTCTTCTGATTGGGATTCTGACTTTCAATCTGCTGATCATAATCCTTCTCAGAAAAAGGTTGGCGGTGACCCGTTTGTAAGTTCTCCAGTTGATTTGGCTGCTCATATGGATTCTGTCTTTGGTTCCGGAAAAGATTTACTCTATGCAAAACCGGCAGATTCTTCAACTGCTTATGCTTCCCAACCTGGTGATTGGTTGCAAGATGATTTATTTGGTAATGTCACTGGTGAGGCCCAAAACAGCGACGCAGCGGTCCATGATAAGAATGAGGGACAGGTTGTGGGCGGCAATGGAAGTTCATCCATGGATATTGATTGGATCGGAGATGATCTATGGCAAACCAATGAAAAGAAATCCATTGAGAAGACCCCTACAGATGTTAATGATGATGACGATGACTGGAATGATTTTGCAAGTTCGGCTAACTCCAAGACTCCTAATAATCCACTTTCTCAAACCATGGAAAGTTCTCAAGATGAATTTTTTTATGGACAGGCGCAAGTTAAGAACGGTGTTAAAGAACAGAGCGTAGATGAGAAACAGAATACCGGTACAAGCGTAATGTCTGACATAGGCACAGGTCAAGAAGATGATATCTTTGGGACTTGGGATAGTTTCACATCCTCAACCATTCCGCAGACCTCTGGTGAAAAAAATCCGAAAATGAACTTGTTTGGGGAAAATAACAATCATAGAGACCTTGATTTTGATAGCATCTCACGTTCTGATTTCTTTTCTGAAAGTAGTGGCGACAAAACCAACACAGAGGAAGTCAAAGTCATACCTTCTGGAACCTCAACCTTAGACAGGTTTCTTATTTTCTAGTCAAATTCTTGTTCTCTAAACTCTCTAGATAACCTTCATTTTATACTTACCAGGAGCTTTACTAACATGTTCCGGATTTTTTGGTTTTTGTGCTTTTGATTTCAGAACGAGTGACCCTGATGGTAGTAAAGATCAAACAGTTGATCTTGTTGTAGGCACAACGACAACAGCTCCCAAGTCAAAGAGTGATGTTGCGGAGGAGCTGATGTCACAGATGCATGATCTCTCGTTTATGCTCGAGACCAAACTTTCTGTGCCTCCGATCTCCAAGACAGAGTAATATTATCACACTGTACTCTCTATCTCTGTTGCGCTCTCTTGTTTTTACTGGGGCTTGGAGATTGCTTGTTTTCACGTATATATATTTCATTTTCAATAACTTCAAGGATCCAATTTTACTTGCTCTGTAGCCACATGTGGTTGTTAGTCTAGTGGTATTGTTCGTTCTGTTGCTTCCATTGATCTTGGCCACTTGTGTACACTTACATAACAACTGAGAGAAGTTCTTTCGATTTCAGCTCAATCTCTGGTTATTACAAAGAACTTTTGCTCTGTTACTCTAATTAAGCTTTAAAATTTCTACCAAGGACCAATCCATGTTTTTCATTTTCTCGATAACCAAGATGTTCGTTTTTGGTCATAGGTCCATAATCTCTTTGTAAAAATAATGACATCGAATAAGTAACATTACTATATATATATATATTAAATATATAATGCATTTTTAACGGAAATGTAGCATTGAAAACATTAAAACATAAGAATGGACGGTGTTTTTTCTTCTAAAAAATATAAATTTAGGTTGTGTAATGTATATAAGCATGACACAACACAAAGTGATTTGCTTGTTTTAGGGGAAACCACTTAATTTGATTATTGCAAGGTTAGTAACTTAGAAGCCACGCATCAAATTATGTTTCTAAAACTAATTAGTTTCCCATCATTCTTTGTTTCTGATCCTCAAATCTCTTTTGTTTTGTTGTACCTCAAAAATTACAACCGTAAATAAGGTGGTAATATTTATTTTTATTTACACAATTGTTATTGCTTAGAAATTACTACTAAACCACCAAATGAATTAGTGTGATTTGTGAGGAGTATATGTATATGATTGTAACTTTATCAGTTTGATTTTTTTGTTTGGTTTTTCAACTTCTCCAAACAACACTTTATAATAAATATTCACTCATATGCTTTTTAAATATGTATTTTTGATTTTTGTAAAAGTTTGCTATATATATGTAATCATATGAAATGATTCGTTTGGGATTTCACTGGCTGGAGTGTATTATTTAGTGGATAATTCACAACCTCAAAATGTAGACTGACAATGTTTTTGCCACGTTGGGTTTTAAGTGCAATCGATGAGTGATGTTGTAATGTAGTGAATTCTTCGTATGTAAACCCCCACCAAACAAAAAATATCATTTAACGTCCTATAACTGAAAATTCTGACAGAAAAACCACTTGTTGTACAATGAATATATGTACTACATTACAATAAATCAATACATTTTCCATGTCAACCTCCAAACTCGAACATAAATAAATTTCAGTTTGGTAAACAGAAACCATCTCATCTTATGACGCTCGAGCCACATTGCCATAAATGGAATTGAAACATCTTTGTGCAAGTTGTATAAACTCTTAATTAGTTCACATTTATATGTACGTAGTTAGCTATGTTCCAGCTATTTGTTTCTTTTAATAATATTTTCAAATCTGGTATTCGTCATTTGTCATGTTATAACGTACAGTACTTAAACAGTACTTGATAAAACTCAAATGCAAATCCGTATTCAGATTTTATATCCAAGTGATCGATTGAGTTATATCAATCTTTTTGTGGCTTTCTTACAAAAGTGGTGTATATATAATTAAGTTTATCGTTTCTATTATGTTGATTGTTGACCTTATTTGTTTCATAAGTCTGAAATCAATAAACCAATAGTAGTGGCCATTTACTAAGAGATAGAACAAAAGATTCATCTACTAAATTGTAGAAGACTGATTGAAATAAAAATTCTTCTAAGATAAGTTGTTCTTTTTTCGACCTAGATAAGAGAGAATATTTAAGCTACTTATGTTATACTCTTTGATATTGACATCTAAAGTTTGTCTTTTGAAGCAACAAAAACGCTCTATTTAATTTGCCGTTACCATGCGTAACAGATTTCGTCTTTAAATTATATATTATATACTAAATTCTGGTTGACACAAATTAAAAATGTGCTATTACATAAAGTAATTTAAAGTTAGTTATTATTAGATCTAATTAAGCATAATGAAATGAAATTCAAATAGTAATGCGTATAATCAGACGCTTACGTAGAGAAAATGACGAACTATCGTAATGGTACGTAGGTGTTGGTAAACAACGGTGAATGAACTAACTTACCAAGCTGGTCTACGGCCAGAACTTGATAGTTACAAATGATATAGTTAAAAGTAGCTATCATGGTGTTTTGTGACAAAACTTTTTTTCTTATGCAAATGTAATTCAAAAAATTATGAATTGAGTAGGTTGTTGCTTGAAGTAGGCGTTCCTCATTATACGAATCTTTTACATTTCTCTTTGTTTTCATGCCACGCGTTATTTCTACCACTCACACGCCACAAGAACATTCTTAAAAAAGCTTATCAAACAACTTAAGAACATATTTCTATTCTGTCCAACAGTAAAAAAAAAGTTCTAAAAAAATATAGCATTGGTTATTCATGGGTACTTTTCTTATTCATTAATGCTAAAGAGTAAATGAAAAATTCACCAATACAATTAGCACATTTTTGGTCATCTGTTTTTATGTTTAGTTCCGTTTATAATTATAGCATTACAATTAATATTTGAATTTTATAAACTTATGTATATCAAAACACGTGAATGTGCAAGTTATTTTGCATGTGGTTAATAGTAAAGGGTGCATGTGCGTATGAGCTGTGAATGTGCGTATATGGCAGTGGACAGCCGTAAATGTCTAACCAAAATCGTTTTTCTTATCTTTTTACCCAACAGTACTGCCTATGGTCTTTAACAAAAAAAAAAAAAAAAAAACAGTACTGCCTATGGTAAACTCATCTTGTCGCTTCTTCATACAAGTTTATGTCTATTTATCTAAAGTTTTATTTATACTAAAATTGTAACGATGTAAAGTTTGAGAAATCTTTCTAATTAAACATTGCTACGTGATTCTTATCTTTTAACTATTTTTGTCGAAAACTTATGAGATTTTTTTTTATTGTTTATCAATTAGTACTAAAATCACCATTAAGTAGTAAACAACAGTTTTTCTTAAATACCTCTCTGTTTTCCTCATTTAAGAACGTGATAATATCAACATAATCGGATCTTCACAGTTCACACCTAGTTTATCATTATAATTAACGGTGGGGCGATTACATTTTGAGGTGTTTAAAGAAAAAAGGGAAAAAATAACAAAAATCTTGGTTTCTATACATTTTAATTTTTAATTTGCTATAAGTTATAGCCATGAATACTATATTAGACGGACCTAATCAGATTTGATGATGATGGTTGTTAAACCCACCGCTTCTCCTAGTCAAACATCTTCTACAATTTCCCAACACATTCAAAAACGCAGAAAACAAAAAAAGTATGTATGTGTTTACGATTCTCAAAAAAATGTAAAACCAGACAAATGTTACAAGAAATGTACAAAGCTCCAAGTGTGAAGAACATGAATGTGTGATCCATGAATTATCTACCAAATTTCCGTACTTCCACTTTCCATATTTTTGTTTTTCACCTAACTCTTACGAACCTAAAATAAAAATACAATAAACTATTGAGGAAAAAGGAAGAAAGATTTGAGCACTTGTCGACACCTCGTAGCATCCTACCTCTGCCGACACGTGGCTCGAGACACATACGGAACTCCGGTCGGAACAGAAACAAATACTAAATTTGACTACCTGAAATTCGACACGTCATCAGCTTCTAGACTGAAAAAGAGTACAAAGGCCAACTCTACCATTCCTAACGAAGTGTCACGTCACTTCCTATCGAGCCTTTCCTTAGATACGTTCACTGCCGCGTCACTCTTCTTTTTTGGTCACGTTTCCTTTTTTTGTACTAATACTTCTTCTCTCTATTTTGTTGGTAATCACATCGAAGATTCGAAATTGGATCACATTTGGTAATCAACTTTTTCTTCTAAAGTCTCCACGTGTATGGACGATTACATACATACACTTATTTATTTTCGCTTTGGTAGATAAACTCGATGTTACCAAAAGTATACACTATCTAATTACCGAACAAAAAATAATCTGAAACCCTTATATATATACTTTCTTCGCAATAACAAAGTGAAAGCAAACATTCAAAAAAAAAAAAAACATTCCTTTTTATTACTCTCATCTTTTTTAGTATCAATCTCCAAATGAATTGGACTAGAGGAAAAACTATAGGCCGTGGCTCAACAGCCACCGTTTCCGCGGCCACATGTTACAAATCCGGCGAAACAATCGCCGTGAAATCCGCCGAGTTTCACCGTTCGGAGTTTTTGCAAAGAGAAGCCAAGATTCTCTCCTCATTGAATTCTCCATACGTCATCGGATATAGAGGATGCGAAATTACGAGAGAGCCTTTCTACAACAACGGAGAAGCTACGACTTACAATCTTCTCATGGAGTACGCTCCGTACGGAACGTTGACCGACGTAGCGACCAAGAACGGCGGTTTCATCGACGAGGCTCGGGTCGTGAAGTACACGCGCCAGATACTTCTTGGTTTGGAGTACATTCATAACTCAAAGGGAATTGCGCATTGCGACATTAAGGGAAGCAACGTGTTGGTCGGAGAGAACGGAGAAGCAAAGATCGCTGATTTTGGCTGCGCAAAATGGGTTGGACCGGAATTAACCGAACCGGTTAAAGGAACGCCGGCGTTTATGGCTCCGGAAGTGGCGCGTGGAGAAAGACAAGGGAAAGAGAGTGATATATGGGCGGTGGGTTGTACGGTGATAGAGATGGTTACCGGGTCTCCACCGTGGATTGGAGCGGATTCGACCGACCCGGTTTCGGTTCTTTACCGGGTCGGATATTTAGGTGAGTCACCTGAGCTGCCTTGCTCGCTTACGGAACAAGCAAAGGATTTTTTAGGAAAGTGTTTGAAAAAAGAAGCGAAGGAGAGATGGACAGCGAGTCAACTACTAAACCATCCCTTCTTGTTGAATAAAGAACCGGAATTGGTAACCGGTTTGGTTACGAACTCACCGACAAGTGTGACGGATCAAATGTTCTGGAGATCAGTGGAAGAGGAGGTGTCAGAGGACCGTCCAAGCTGGTGGGAATGTCACGAGGATGAGAGAATTGGAGTGCTAAGCTGGATTGGTCATGCTGTGGTGGAGTCCACATGGGACTTGGACGGTGAGGATTGGATCACGGTTCGACGGAATAATGATTAGTCGGTTCACATGAGAGGAGCGTTGATTATTCGATTCAATTAGTGAAAATATTGTTTTAGTCTAGTAGAAGCTGAGGTTTAGAGAAATTCATGTACATTTCCTAATTCATCATTTTTTATCCACAAATCCAAATTTTGTTATTCATTGATATATGTTATAATATAAGTCATGATTGATTTCATAAAAACACCAATTAGTTAAAATAACGTGATTTGGACTTTGATTTCTTAATCTAATAGCTAAATGGACAAGAACCAAGCATTTATGCTAGAAATTTGCACGAATTATGTTGCCAAAGTATCTTGAACACACTAGTTAGTTGCATGAAGTTAGAGGTAGTCAAGTTAGGTATAAGAGTGACAATTATGCTAAAACATACCAAAGATGGAGTTTTGTGGGAGTGTAATGATTTTAACTTGTGGGGAAAGTGAGAAATGAAGGCAACAAAAAGATGCCGAATTGGTTTGTTGGTTGGTTAGTTGGTCATTTTGAGGGTTTAGGCAAACTCAAAAGATTCCTTTCGAATCTTTTGTTTAAGGATTCGCATTTTCCATTTTTTTTTTTTGGGTAATTTGGTAAGCTTTGGTTAGGCTATTTTGATGATTCATTCATTATGCCTTTGCTTCCACACAAATCTCTAATTATCCTATAATAAATTGTTGAAAAGGTTGAAACCTACCTTGTTACATCTTAACCTGAATTATTTTTTAGTTCATTTTCAATTAGTCTAATATAATATTCACAAGAATCATCCAGAAACACTTTCTTACAAGGGAGTAGCAAAATCATAGATGTGTCAGCATCATCAAAAAATCTCTGGATATAAGTGAAAAACGGGCTTAAGTTACACATACCATTACCATTCTACTTCTGCACCCAGACCTAAACAGATAAGATCTTTATGACCATACAAAAGCGTTTTATCTATTAGATGAGGTTATGTTGTAAAGAGAAACCTCATATCTTCCTCGGTCAGCCTTCCTATAGCCTCCTGGGAGCCACCAACCGTCCTGTAATGAACAAAAATGTGTTCATAATAACCTTTAGTTATATAGTTAAGAATCGGAAAAACAAAGGAAGTTGAGAATGTTTTACTTACCCTTCAAACACAAGTTCCTTCTTTTGCTGAAGCCTTAGAATCCTTTCCTCCACTGTGTTCTCTATAATGAATCTCACAACCCTGTAATTTCACAAATCAGACATGTATTGACAGATTGTTTTTACCCACCAACAATACAGAGATTGAAGGAGACAACTAAAGTCTAACCTGATTGGCTTGTACTGTCCGATCCTATGAATTCTGTCTTGTGCTTGCCTCTCAACCGCTGGGTTCCACCAAGGGTCCATCATAAAAACCTAACAGAAATTTTCCACAAACAACCAATGTGAGAACATGTTTGAATACACATACATCGCTCTCCAGAGTTGCTAAACTACACACTTACATGTGAAGCAACAGTTAAATTAAGAGCAACCCCTCCGGCTTTCAAGCTCATTAAGAAAACTCTGCAATCTGGGTCTTCTTTGAATTTGTTGATAGCAGTATCTCTAGCTGCCATGGTCATGCTTCCCACCAGTTGAACACAACTAACCCCACACTGTGTTGTAAACAAAAGTCATTTTCTGCTAAACCAAAACTAGTAGTGTTCATGTGACTATGTGAGTTGCTCCTGAAATTACCTTCCCAAGGGTATAATTTATAATGTCCAAAAATGATGTGAACTGGCTGAAAACTATTGCTTTGGCAGACCCATCTCTTTCAACCATGAACCTAATTTCTTCTCTCTGCATACATATATCATCAGAAAATGGTTAGAGAAAGGAAGGAAAAGGCTCAAAACTACAAAGAAACTTAAAGGGGTACTATTTGGGGAGGGGGGGGGGGGGGGGAGACAGAAGCTGTAGATATTATAGAGCACATACCAAAGCCTCAATCTTTGTACTTGTCTGAAAATCATCAAGCTTTATCCGATTTAAAATGCTTGAGGCTCTAAATCCTTTAAGTGTTGTCTTGCTTGCCTTATGCTCTGTGTCAGCTTTGGTAGTCCAATCCACAGTCAGTAGTTTCGAGCATGTCGGGCAGGTGACTTTTCCCAGGGAAGTAGAGAAACCAATCAAACAAGCTTTACAGAACACATGTGCACAAGTAGTCACCTTGAAAGTATAAGAACCAAAGAAGAATATTAAACGGAAAAGTAAGTCCAACAATAGTAATCTGACGATTCTTAAACAAAGTGTCAAATGAAAGCAGCTGTTTCCAGAAGATAGAGTTACTGAGAAACAAGAGACAAGATATTACGAAATAGCAATAGATTGACTTGTGGAACACTTACAACGTAGTCCTCGGCCGGGTCGTGGCAGAGACCACATTCTTGCTCATTTTTGTTCTCATCAACCAAGTTAGCATTAGCGCCACTAGAATTGGAATACACCACAAGGTATGGATGATCAACAGCCTGGAAAAATTGTAGAGAAAATAAATCACAAACAAATATATCGATATCATCAAAAAAGTGCATTGGCTGGTTAGTTGAACCAAAAAAACTGTAGATGCCACTCACCTGTCTCAGACGGGTGAGAAGATCAAATATATGTGCGTAGTTATGCATCAATGTCCCAGCCTCAATATACCTGCAAACAAAAAATGTACATAGCATAGTCGACAATAAAACTCTGTAACACAAACCAGTGGAAATCCATAGAATAGAAGTAGCTTACGTATTAAATTCTGACTGGCTGTTTTTGTATAGTGATTCATAGTAATCAGACTCCTTTACATCTAGTGTATCCCGCCTCAAAGAGATCTACAAGAAGTCAAATTTCAGTTGAGGTAAAGCTTTGTTTAGTGATTCTTAGTAATAAGCCCCATTTATATCTAGTGCATCACGCCTAAAGAAATCTGTAGGAAGCTAAATTTTTAGGTAGAGATAAAGCTCAGAAGCAACTATACCAAACTTCATTTACATCAAACAAAGGAGAGAAAGGAACATACAATTCTAGGAGGAAGAGCAAGATCAGCTGCCCGGCCCAATTTAGTACGTCTTAAAAGGATGTCCTTCAGAACTTTATGTTTAAGCAATATCATGGCTCTCTTTCCTAGTCCGAAGCTTCCATGTACTGTTATTGGCTTGGCCACATACTAGCAAGAATAGGAAAACAAAAAACCAGAACGAAAAGATATAAAATGGTATCCTGCATTAAAAAATTTGGTAATATAAGAAAAAAGTGACACCCCAAAGTTACCTTGTTCCACCAACAGAAATGTCGAACTAAATTATGAGGGCAGTGAGGGCAGCTTTGATGCGCACTGCAAGCATGGCCAAAGAAAAGAGAACCGCATAAATTGTTATGAACTATTAAACAGAACTATGAGAAATGAGAGGAATGACTGGAAGATTAAGTGTGATAAAAATTTACGCGTAATCAAGAATTCTACAGTCACAACCCTTGCAAAAGTAATATGAGTATGGGCGAATTTGCAAGAAGCGGATCTGGGGAAAACAAAACATGAACGTCAGCCATGTCGATAATAATGTTCAAGTGCTATATACAAAATTCAGAATATATTAACAAACCAGGGAGTAAAGCTCTCCAACACGATTTTGGAGAGGAGTGCCACTCAGAGCCCATCTATAGGTAGCCTCCAAAGCAAAAACAGCTCTTGCCGTGTTGCTACGTCTTTCTTTGATGTAATGAGCCTGGTATGAAGAAATGTAAATTGCACTTTAGTATCAATGTCAGATCCATAAATCTAGCCTCCCAAAACAATATGAAAGAAAAGACGCCCCTAAAATTATTCTTGGCAAACTATGATCTGTGAGGATAAGTTTACTATGGTTTCCTTTGTGTATTTCACATGCTTGTTCAACGAAAATTGTGGAAAAAAGGTATCAAAGGGTTAACACCAATAAACAGTGAGTTTTGGTACTGACCTCATCCAAAATTATCCGATTCCACTTAACAGAGTGCAAAAGAGACTTCTCTCTTTCATCTGAACCTAACTGACCTTCTTCTACTGTTTGTTTGGTCTTCTTCTTAGTATTCTTCATTTTGTTATCCTCTCCTGCATCAGCCTCCTTGCCTTTCTGTGAGGATGAAGCTGTAGACTTCTTCCTTTTCTGCTTAGATTGTTTTGCTGTTTTGACAGCCGAAGGTCCACAAAAATATCGCAGGTGGACCAAAAGTTTCTTCGGGTAAAATGACTTGCTGCAATATTCACATTGCACCCTGGGCGGCATAATGTGTCTCCTATATTCACTCTCAACTGTGGAATATGTTGTCAAAACAAAGTCGTAGTTCATAAACTCTTTAATATTCTTCTCTCTCTTCACCCCATGGTATACAAGGACCTTAGTGCTTCCCGGGGATGTAAACCGAGCAATCTCATTTAACCACTGAGAAACAGCAACAAGAGGACAAAGAACCAGGGTACACCCCACTGCTTCCCCAAACTGTGCCCTGTCAACTTCTCGTCTGGCAAGAACAAGAGAGATGGCTTGTATTGTTTTTCCCATTCCCATCTCATCCGCGAGAATCCCTCCTGCAACTGACTGTTCCTGTTTTGATGCCCAAGCCAAAAATTCCTTTTGGTACCTTAATAGCGGCATAATCAAATCTGGAGGCGGCTCAGCAGTTTCGGTAATCAGAGCATTCTGCTGATCCAAATCAACATCCTCTGCCATATGTTTATCAATCCATCTATTCTGCTCTTTTTCCCAAATCTCCCACATTAGCACTTCTTTCTCTTTCTCTTTGCTTGCACAAGCTTTTTTCCTTTTCTTGCTTGCTCTTGGTAAGTTTGCAATTGCCAAAGGCTCAGGGGCAAGAACAGGTACAGGATTTGGTATATCATCATTAGCATCGACCTCCTCGAACTCCACCTCCTCCTCCTCCTCGTCAACTATGTTCAAATATGAATCATGACAAAGTAAGAGCTTAACCCACAAAGTCATCAATGAAAAACACTCAACTTTAAAACAGACACCTTTAGAAACGAATCATACCTTGAAAATCAGAGCCGATTGAATCGTCATCTGAAGATATAGCATAAGGTTCGTCATTAGAGTTGGTACCAGTTTCTTCCTCGAGATCCACAACTACTTGAGAAGAAGAGAAGATTAAAATTTATCTCCCGAAAGTATCTAGGCCCTAAAGTTTCAATTTTTACTATCAGGTGACCCTCACAAAGACATCAGATCACAATACCAAAACAATTTCATCAAATTCACAAAGATTATCGAGCACAATACCAAAAAGATCAACTCATTGAGATCGCACTGAAACAAAGACACTAGTTCACTATATTCCGCAATTTCTCGGGTACAATGGGACGATTAAAGATCAAACCCAACATCAATAGAGAGAACACAAAAGGGTCGTGTGAAGATTACCTTCAATCGATGGAGGAATCGCCTTATTGCGGGGCCGAAGCTCCATCTCTGTCCGACTTCGCAAAATTGAGGATAATAGGAAAAATTGAGTCTAGGGTTATGTTTTATAAAGTGGTCGGTTCTGTTTTTCCACTCTTTGTTGATTGTCGATAACGGCGGGAAACACGATACAGACGTGTCAACTTCCTATCGCTTCGATTAGCAAATAATGACTGCAGCAATTTTCCTTTATTTTGACTGTATTAAAATCTAACCAAAGATCTTTTTTCACTTTTTTTTCTTTTTCCTTTTTTTTTTATTAGAGATTTTGTACCGAATTAAGGTTGCGAAATTGGAGACGCAATGCTAAATGGAAAATTAACTTAGGTATCGTATATGCATAATGCATTATAGACATTATGTGAAACCTATACATGTGTAATGCACCAAAAGGTGTGAATAAGGAAGGACTGGTCACAATCTCTACTTACCGACCAAAAATTATAGTAGATATTATTATAATTCATACAAACAATGTCTTAATTAATTCATACAAATGTCTTAATTTTATAAAGGTGATGAGCCCTTAGATTTAATGATGAAACTATATGGTATCTGCCTTTATCCAAAATATATGTATATTTTCCAACAAAAAGAAAATTAAAATACCATATAGTTTCCATCATTAAACTAAAAACAATATGGAAAAAATAAATAACGAAATAGACATTGGTAACGTAGATAGAAAGCACTATATAGGTGTTAGAATTATGGACATGACCGATTAGCATGGTGAGTTTTATATACCGCATGTTTTGACATTTGCTTAGAAATTTAGATGAACGGCTTTATCGACGTCAACCTCTTTCATCATTGGAAATTTGGAATGTCCATGACGAGAAAGATGCCCCAAGTTTATCATTACGCATAAAAAGATTTGGTTGATACTTGATGTACTAAACCGTTGGAAGTGACCCATGACCTTGCATGAGGTGTTATTTCATGTATGCTGTTAAAGTTCTTAAGGATTAGGCAAGTTTCAAGAGTCAATATTGAAAGTATACACAAGCGGTTGAAGCAAAATGACGATAACTATAGCAAAAACATGGTAGAAACTAGAAACTAATTGTCTTGACGTTACCATGCACATATTATATCACTGAGATTGGAAATAGACGACAATGGTGCGAGAGATTTCATCTATGAGCCAAAAAAGTTATAGCAACGATAGGACCTCAAAACGCTAAAACTCTTATCATGTTGCTTTGGTATAGAAATATCTGACGATAGGACCTCAAAACTGAAGTAGATGGGCCATTGTACTGTACATATGTAACACAAAAGAAAGATATATTAATTGTAGAAAAAATGTTGGTTGTGTTCCTCTTAGAAAACTGATTTTAAGTCTACGAAAGAAAAAAAAAAAAGAAAACTGATTAAGTCAAAAATTAAGATCCGTATTTCAATATTTTTATTATTGGATTTTTTGAAAACATTCTTACACAAAAATAGAAGAAAACACATCTTGAAATTAATGTATCATACATTTTTTTTCTTTTTGGTTTCAAAACAATACAAGAGAAATAGAATGACAAGAAGTAGTACTGTCAAGGACACTCAAACGTAAGATTGGTAATAAGAGCTTTGATTAATGACGACCGCCACCGCCACCGCTACCGCTTCCGCTGCCGGAACCTTGACCAGAGCCTCCACCAACCCCAACACCTATTCCTATTCCAATCCCAATGCCGACTCCTCCTCCATGACCTCCACCAACACCACCACCGTGTCCCAAGCCTCCTCCAAGGCCACCTCCCCCTCCGGCACCACCACCACCGCCAAGTCCACCTCCGGCACCACCACCAACTCCTCCTCCAGCACCAAATCCGCCACCATGTCCGGATCCACCGCCCACACCACCTCCTCCACCGCCACCTCCACCTCCTCCACCGCCTCCACCAGCACCTCCTCCTACACCACCTCCTACTCCACCTCCAGCCCCAAAACCACTACCGTGGCCGGATCCACCACCAACACCGCCGCCTCCTCCACCTCCACCCCCACCTCCACCTCCACCACCAACTCCTCCGCCAGCCCCACCACCAATCCCTCCTCCGGCTCCAAAACCTCCACCATGTCCGGATCCTCCACCAACACCACCACCTCCACCGGCTCCACCACCACCACCAATTCCTCCACCAGCACCACCACCTACACCTCCACCAGCTCCAAATCCACCACCATGACCTGAACCACCGCCAACACCTCCGCCTCCACCACCACCAGCTCCGCCTCCTCCACCGATTCCTCCACCAGCACCACCGCCTACGCCTCCTCCGGCTCCAAACCCACCACCATGACCTGAACCACCGCCAATACCTCCTCCTCCGCCACCACCAGCTCCGCCTCCACCACCAATTCCTCCACCGGCACCACCACCAACTCCTCCCCCGGCTCCAAACCCACCACCGTGACCGGAGCCACCCCCAATACCTCCTCCTCCGCCACCACCAGCTCCGCCTCCACCGCCAAGTCCTCCTCCGGCTCCGCCACCAACTCCGCCTCCGGCTCCAAAACCTCCACCTTGTCCACCACCGCCGCCTATACCACCACCTCCACCTCTTCCTCCCCCACCGCCAAACCCTCCACCACCACCGCGTCCAAACCGGCCACGTCCACCACACCTCCGGCCCCACCTACAATCATCGTCTCTAAACCCTGTAGGCCTCACCACAGAGCCATCCCCCAAAACACATTCCACACACAAATTAAGCAAAATCAAAGAAAGAACCAAACAAGTAACGCTCTTAAGTTCCATCTATAGAGAGAGAGAAATAACAGTAAATTCTCTTCTCTTGTTTGCTTGTGATATCTCAGTCACTGGAACTGAACATTCCCTTATATAATAGGTAAATGAAATCTCCAAAGTCCAAAGAAATAAGCAAGTGGGATGAAGAAGCCATTAATATGGATCCCCATGCATGTTACGTTCTACGCGTTTGGGGCCGTTGGGCCATTGGCGGGAACCATTTAATGAAATTTTCCTTCGACTAAGTCAAAATAGATCTACACTTTCTTTCATATTTTTAGTTAGTAGCTTTCGATCTCTCTAGTTTTGCTCATTAATTACTTTCTTTTATTATCCAAACTCGTTGACATTTCAAATCATCACATTCATATGTATGTATGATGTTATCACCATTATTAATGATTAAACCGAGTTTTACCAATATTCATTTGTTCTAGACTTCTAGTCGTCACTACTAGACACTTTGACGTTGAGTCGTTGACCCTAATATTCGAAAATTACTAATGCATGCTTTCCCATTATTTTTTTTTTGATAACCGCATGCTTTCCCATTAAAAAGGAAGAGTTCGTAGTAGAAATTGGAACCAGTTTATCGGAAATTTGTCCAGTGTGTTTTTACTTGTGTAATTTTTATTTTATTTTTAAATGGTCCATGGGTAAAATAAATATTACACCTATGAAGGCTATATGGACATGGAAATATTAAATTTAGAACAACTAGTGAGAGTCAACGGTACCGACAATAGTCAACGGTGAAAATGTAGAGAAAAAATAAATTTGGCTCACATGCAATTGTAAGTACATTGTCTAAAACTTACTATACGTATTTAATGTCTACTATCTCCCCAACTAAAACCACCAATCAATATCCACTTCCAGTTAATTACATCTAATTGTATTAAAAAAAATACAATTAGAAAAATATTGGACGTGATGGTTTAGATCAACCGGTTATCCGGAGACGAAAATCATCAAATACAAATCCAAGTTTGCTTAGAGCAACATTATTGGGAGGTGCTTAGTTTTGGTTCTTAGTAAATTTTTTGGTTCTTAGTCCAATTTTTGACTCTTAGCTAAGAGTCATTCCTTAGCAAAATCATCAATTACACCTTTAATTTTAATCTCTTTTGATCTAAGAACCAAGTTAAGCACCTCCCAATAACGATGGTGTTAGCGCATGTTAGCTTTTCTAGAGATTGAGTCAGAGACAAATCTTTATATTATACCAATCAATATCGAACAATTAGGGGCTCGCGTAAGTTTCAGATGGGCTTTTGATATCGTCTGTCTGGGTCACAATGGGCTAAAACCCACCGGCAACTTAGAAGATAAAAACATATAAAATGAGAATTGCTGCTATTTTTTTTTTTTTTTTTTTTTTTTTTTTTTTTTTTTTTTTGAGAATTGCTGCTATTTAGACAATGCGGATTGAACATATCCAAGTTACATACATAAAAGAAAACATGGATGCATGACATATATCAGGTGATCTAATCCGCTTCGATGGAACAATATTTAGTTTGATACATATGGAATTTTAATCGAGTAATACTAGCTAGAGAGATTTTATGCCAAGTAATGGCCATTATAGCAAATTAACATTTATAGAATTGAACATGAGCTCATATAATCGACATAAGCAAAACCTGAGTCTTGTTTAAACTAAAGCATAGAGTATATAATAGTCTTTAATTAACAAAGAGATTGAAGTTGTGAAAGGGGGAACTGGTGATCTTTTACTTGCCTCAAACCATGAGCGTCTTCCATCTTTTTATTTGAAGCAATCCAAAGAACAGAAACATCGATTCGATCAAACTCGAACCAATTCTTCTATATGATTAATCCATATATTGTTGATCATTTTCTATGATTCTCATCAATCATCTCCGTAATCAGTTAATATATGTTCACATCTTCTTCGACCTTTGATCATGATTCCTGACGATGTGCAGTCAATAAAAATCTATTAATTACAAGAACAGTACATGCTCATGTATACATATGTACGAATAATATGATTGTATATTTGCGTTTTAGAACATATTTGCAAGTATGATAAAGATAAGAGAGACATACGATGGAGGATGAAGTGATGATGAGTCGCCTGAGAAGGCATAAGGATCATTGCTCTCTCTATCTCTTTAAGTCTCTGCCCAAACCTTATGTATATATATGGTGTGATACGACTCTTAACTATAAACATATGCTTCACCAACTTTGTGTTCAATTATAAGAAAGTAGATGGAAAGCTAATGATGATTTTTTACCAAAAAAAAAAAAAAAAAAAAAAAAAAAAGCTAAAGATGACTAGTTATAATTTGGTTATTTTCATCTTGTAAAATAGTAGGAGTCTTTATGTAATATATTATTGCTTTTAAGCATGCTTACGTTTGATAAATCATTGTGACAATCCATTAAAGAAAAAACAAACATAGGGATTGAAATTTACAGATTCACTGAACCTGGTCCTCTTTTCGTTTGAGGATTATTAGAAAAAGCAACCAAGTGTGGGTTTCAAATTAGATCTCCCTTCAAGTAGTTAACTAAGTACCTATCAAAAAAGTAGTTAACTAAGTGGTAACTTTTTTGTTTTTGAAATTTTAATGATCATCTTTTACTGGATTTGAAAGACAATTGCCTCTTGAAAATCACACATGCATATATCCAAAACCGTTAAACTTAACTAGTCCATTCATTCAACATGCTAACATGTCTTGGGTAGTTGGGTTAGATGAGTAATAGGGTACATGTATATATAAAATGGGGATGTTACATTTGGCATTTCACGCTTCATTATTAGTGTGGCTGGTGACAAATCTGAATAATTCATAATAAACTCATATAACAAGAAATCATTGGAAATGACAACCTAACCAAATTAAAAGGCAAACCATTTTCGTTAATTATCAGCCTAAATACAATCATGTTCCATAAGTATATATAAAGATTAATTAAGAAAATATAATGGCCACGTTGCAGCCTTTGTTCATCACACATTACTTAGGTGTTGTATTATATATATATACATATCTTTTGTTTTCTTCTTTATACAATATTGTTGCTAGCCAGTTTTATGGAAAATAGTATTAAACTATTAATATTAATAGAAGAATTGTCGTATGTCGGCAAAAGAAAGAATTTTTTTTTTTTTTTTGTTAAAAAGCAAAAGAAAGAATAATGAGCGTATGATATGACTATGAGTATGATCCACTAGAATGTTACGCTTTCAAGTTTTGGTAAACTCTCACTTGACTTCAAAAACCTTTTGAATAAAGTAGAGAAAATGTGTCCGGACATATTTCGATTTGATCATTTGTCTCACGTATAAACACTAAAACATGGTCGCTAATTAGATTCTCCACTATAATGATAGATCTCGTAATTTCAATGCTAGAATTACTATATTCAAGAAATCCTTATATCTTTGACCATATGATATCATATAACAATACGTGATAAATCAACTTGACTGAAACTTACATCCTAACAGAATGGTTCATATATATATTTGTATCAAGCAAGCATTATCATTTACTTCTGTTCAAATTTGTAAGTATGTGCGTGAGTTGTGTACGAAACAAAAAATAGTTAGGTTTAAAGTTCATGCATGTTAACACATACTTTTTTTTGGTTAATGTATAATAATACTATTTTCTTGGATAAGATAGACCTAGCAAGCATTGACTTATATATTTTTTCTTTGAGTATGTCTATACAAGACTACAACAAACGTTCGGACGTTGTCAATTACTAGTGGATGGATCACCTGTACCACGGCATTTCCACTTGGCTAAAAGATGAATCTGTGAACGATTTTGTTGTTTTTGTCAACCAAGTGGATAGTGAAAAGTGAAAACGATCCTATCAACATATTTGTCAAATGGGTTTTGGGTAGTTCGAATTTGTGAGCTTCCCTGAAAAGTACACATTCTTACTGGGCCCGGATGTTCAAATTGGGCCTAAGTGATATCATAGGAGCCCACAAAGGCTTGCATAAGTTTCACTACAGTTTGGTTGACATGTAAGAAGAACTGTGAATTTCTTAATTAAAAGATTTCAAATACCAAAGAACAAAAAAAAATTGGAACGAGACTGTTGTTGTGTTGATATGTTGTGGTCAATCCTATCCACAGATCGTTAATGTTTTTTCTTTATCTGCTCTGTTTTTCAACAATGGCTTCTATAGTTTATCTTCTCCGTACTCTCAACTCTCCAAACCTCACGAAATCATGCTATTAAGCATTTCTTCTTCTCCAATTTCTCATCGAATTCCTCACTTCCTCTCTACTTTCAACAATCCCACTTCAAATTTTCCTCCAAAATCCAAAACCCATCTCCCAAAATCTCATCTTTCCACCAATCTCTCCACTTTATCGAATCATAGCTTCTACGGCACCAAGAACAGAGCTTTACTCAGAAACAAGAGATACCCACATTACAGAACACAAGCTCTCGCTGGATTCGATTTCGGAAGTTTCGAATCAGTTCTCGAAGCTTCCGCTGTTCTCACTGCGATCATCGTCGTCCACGAGACTGGTCACTTTTTAGCTGCTTCTCTTCAAGGTATCCATGTGAGTAAATTCGCGATAGGGTTTGGTCCGATTCTAGCTAAATTCAATTCCAACAATGTCGAATACTCTCTTAGGGCTTTTCCATTAGGTGGATTTGTTGGATTCCCTGATAACGATCCCGACAGTGGAATCCCTCTAGACGACAAAAATCTTCTCAAGAATCGACCCATTTTGGATAGAGTGATTGTGGTTTCAGCTGGAATTGTCGCTAACGTTATCTTCGCTTACGCTATAATCTTTACTCAAGTGGTATCTGTTGGATTACCAGTTCAAGAATCGTTTCCTGGAGTTCTTGTTCCAGACGTTAAGTCTTTCTCTGCTGCTTCTCGTGATGGATTGCTTCCGGGAGATGTTATCTTAGCCGTTGATGGCACTGAGCTATCTAATTCCGGTTCTGATTCGGTTTCTAAAGTCGTTGATGTCGTGAAGAGGAATCCGGACCACAATGTGTTGCTCAGGATCCAAAGAGGGAAGGAGAGTTTCGAAATCCGGATCACGCCGGACAAGAGTTTTGATGGAACGGGGAAAATCGGTGTTCAGTTATCACCGAATGTTAGATTCTCTAAGGTGAGACCGAAGAACATACCAGAAGCTCTTAGTTTCGCTGGTAGAGAGTTCTTTGGCCTCTCTTACAATGTTTTGGACAGTTTGAAACAAACTTTCTTGAACTTCTCTCAAACCGCTAGTAAAGTTGCGGGTCCAGTGGCGATCATTGCGGTTGGAGCAGAGGTGGCGAGATCAAACGCGGATGGGCTATACCAGTTTGCAGCATTGCTGAATCTAAACCTTGCGGTGATCAATCTATTGCCTTTACCGGCTCTTGATGGTGGAACTTTGGCGCTGATCTTATTGGAAGCGGTTCGAGGCGGGAGGAAATTACCGTTAGAGGTGGAACAAGGGATTATGTCTTCTGGAATCATGCTTGTGTTATTTCTCGGTTTATTTCTCATCGTCAAGGACACACTTAATCTTGATTTCATCAAAGAAATGTTGTAACTTGTAAGCTATTGGGTATAGAAGAAACAGGAACAAAGGTATCTTGAGAAACCTAAACCGGAGAAGTTTACGAGTTAAAAAACCACTCTGGCATAAAATCCAATTCTAAATTTGCAAACCGAAATTGGTCTATAACGCAATTGCGTGATTTACCGAAACAACATTGTGCAGCCTCAACATCATACACTTACCTGAAACTATGCACACAAGTTAAAAAAGAAAGTGTTACAATTTTCAAATTAGACACAAAGATTCGAGTAAAACACTTGATGAGTTAGTTTCTTTGTTCCATCTATCAAGTGGCAATCGGTTTTTTATGAGATTGCATCGAGAAACAGACACACTTAGCTTTCATGGCTTCAGCTTCACTCTCATATTCTCGGAACTTGTATTCCTCCTGTTTAAACGAAGGAGGAACCTTCCCTTCACTGTAACACTGGTTACACAAACTAAACCGGGCTTTCACTTCCTTAAACCGGGATCCGATAATCGGATACCGACAAACCGAGCAAACTTGGTTTCCATGACGGTTTCTATCGTTTGCCTCCAGTTTAAGGATTGTAGACATGATACCAAATCCCCAATCTCGATCGTCGAACATGGCTAAAAACTGATTAAATGTCACTGTCATTGAGGAATCACCTTCTTCTTCTCCGTGGACTTCTAATATTTCACTCATTCCATGTGATGGAATGTAAATAGCTCTTAACAGTTTAATGTATTTGACTGCATCCGTTTTTGTAATCTGAGAGCTTCCTTCGTTTACAGGTCTCCAAATAAGCGCATCGAAAGCAACTCTTTTTCGTTTGTCTGAATGTCCACCGCATAAAGGAGCAATCACTGCATAAAACATACCCATATCAACTCTTCCCGACCCCGAGTCATCAAGAAGAGAGAGGATTTTCTCGTTAATCGCCTTGATTGCTCCTTGAAAAGTGTCGGGTTTCAAGGAAATGAGCAGACGCCGTAGAATCTCCTCTAAATTAGGTTTCCGAATAGATTTCGTCGGCCCACCACTTCCGGAATACGAAACAGGAACATCGTTGTCTCTCATCTCCTTTCGCACAGCCTCCACATCGCATTTCCCAAGCCTTGTAACTCTCTGAAAGGCCCTAATTTGAAGAGCCGTGGCTAAATCCGGTCTTAGAGTCGTCTTCTCACCCACAGTCTTGAACTTGGAAGGTTCCACGACGATGAATGGACCTTCTCCTCCATTACCATTTCCATTCTTTTTACCCTTTTTCTTCTGCAAATGTTTCAAATGAGATATCGCATCATGCAATTCAACCCGGTTTGTCAGTTTCAGCGCTTCCTTAAGTGCTCGTTTAGCTTCTTCGGTTTCTCCAGCACCTAACAAAGAAACCGCCTTGTTGAGCTGAGCACGCCAATGGTTAGGCCATACTGCTAAGACCCTAGTGTACATTTCCGAAGCTCTCTGAAACCTACCTAAATCCATGTAAAGCCCACCAAGATTATACAGAGCATCAACATGGCCAGGTTTCAAGTCAATCGCTCTCTGGAAAACCTCGATAGCTCTCTCATCTTCACCCATTGAATGCAAAGACGAAGCTAAATCACAATGCGCATCCGCGTAATCCGGTTTCAAGTATATAGCTTCCTCTAAGGCCTTAACCGCTGCTCTATACTCTCCAACACCGAACAACGCACTACCTAGCAGCTTCAAGGCTCTAAAATGCGTAGGACATAGAATCGCAGCTTCTCTATAATACTCACAAGCACTCAAAACCATACCTTCGCCTTCAAGCGCGATACCAAGATTGACATAAATCTGAGGAAGTAAATAGGCCCATTGATTCCCGCCCGACTCAGCCGCTTCCAACGCCAACAAAAACTCATCTTTCGACTCTTTGCATTTCCCCAAAACATAAAGACAATTCCCAGCTTTGAAATGAGGTCTCACATCAGTCGGTTGCAATTCGCAAGCTCTCTTGAAGCTAACAAGAGCTTCTTTAAACAACTGATGCTCATATAAAACCCTACCAATCGCCATATGTCCATCAAAAGCTTCCTCTCTAGATCTAGCTCCATCAGCTTTACTTCTCAAAACACCTAATTCCTTCACAAACACTCCATAATCATGACTCGATTCTTCCCAATAGATTCTCTTCTCAGAGATCTCAGAAGACGGACCTAACTCTCTAGACCATCCAGCATCAGAAAACGCATCAACATTGTTATTGTTATTATTATTATCAGCTTTCAATTTCCCATCTTTCTCCTGTTTCGACTTCAATCTCTTCACCAGAATCTCCAAATCATCAACTAACTTCCACGTCTCGTCAAAAACGATACCATGATTCGGCGAAACAGCCCAAGCAGCAGTTCTCTGTTTCTTCTGTGCCTCAACAGCTCTCTCATCAGTAATCGAAGAAGAAGAAGCCACCTCAGAGTCTTTAATCGACTCATCAGCGTTTAACTCAAGCCCTAATGCGTCGAAATCTCTGTCAACATCTCCGGCACCGTCGTCGTAAGTACGTAGAAGACCGTCGTAGGTCAAACCCTTGTTAGGATCGATGAATTCAGCGTAAGTTCGAAAAACTTCATCGAGAATCGCGTTGATCTGTTCGTCACTGAATTTAACCCTAGGGTTAACAGCTACGACAAGAGCCGCCATCTCTTCTCGGTTAAGCCCACCATCATGATTCCCGTCGAATTGCTGGAAAATCCTCTTAACTTTCTCCGATCTGCTTCCTCTAGTCGCCATTTTTTTAGGAAAGTTTCAACCTTTTTTAGGTATTTGACACAAAACAGAGGATTCAATATAAGGATTCAGGATAAGGACACAACGACCCAGAAAAGGGAATCAAATGAAGGAAACAAAGAGCAGAGATTGATCAATTTCAGGGCTTAGTTGCGAGAATCTCGACATTGGATCCTCTGATCTGTAAAGCTTCTTCTCTCTATACTGTTTTCTTTAAGGAAGAGAAAAAAAAAAACCCAAAGTCTCTTAATAGTATTATTATTATTATCATCAAACAACGGTCCATACACAAAAGGACTCCAAGCTGTTTTTTTTTGTCTGTGTCTTTGTATCAAAGCAGATAGTGGACAGTACTGTCAGGGTGTGGTGTGTGCCTGTGTGTGGGCTTATTCTCTCCTTAATTTTTTTTTATTTACATATTTAAGCTTATCTCAAAGCACCTTAAAGAAAAATGTACAGGACATACAACAAAGCTCTGTTTCATGGAACAGAGTAAAAGTAGTCTGATGAAGTTTCGAGAGAAAAAAAAAAAAAAAACAGACAACGATTGTTTTTACTAAAGAGTTAACGAACTCTATAACTGGTGAACCAAACTTAACGGCATCTCATTAGAACTTAACGGAGAAGATGAAAATCTATGTTTTACTGATAACTAATTCTTGCCAAGCAATTATCAGTTGGTCTGGTGTGAGGCAAATACATCACTGGACATTTGGGGTTGCTCCGTTTCACCCTGCGAATATGAATCTCCATGAATATGTTAATATAAGACTGAAAGATTTTGATTTAAAGATTCAAACTTTGTAAGTCTTACTGATATTTGAGGAGGAAATGATGAAGAAAGATTGATATCTCGAGCTTCGCGAGATCATTTCCTGGGCATAGATGGCTTCCAGCACCAAAAGGAAGGAACGCACCAGCTTTTGGTACGAAACCATTCTGCAAATTTTCTCCAAACATTCAAAATGAATTCAAATTTCTATGGTTCGAACAATGTAAAATGATATAACACTTAACTTACATCCCATCTAGAAGGATCAAATTTTCTTGGATCCGGATAGACTTCAGGGTCTCTGTGGACATCCCTAAACCATGTCAAAACCTTCCAACCTTTTGGGATCAAATAGCCTACAAGATTAATCGAATCAGGCTAAATATTTAGATGCATTTAGAAAGGTGTTTTGTATTTCATATAAGTCATGTATTTACATATATACTAACCATTCATTTCGACGTCAGTCTTTGCCTCCCGAAAAGCCGTGAGTGAGAATGTTATGACTCGAAGTGTTTCATCGACAACCTAGTGAAGAAACACCTCTTTCAAATCACCTAAACCAAATCGCCAACAAAATCTCTGTTGTGCTAAACTCATAGGTGACCATAATCTAACCTGCGATAAGAACTCCATTTGCCGGGTTTCTTTTAGAGTTAGACCTTTTTGACCTTTAGGCCTATTTTTCAGGATCATTTCTTGTTCAGCCTATAGTACCATCATATGCAAAAAACAAATTACCGTATGAGTCAGTCAGGAAAAAAGTATAAGATAAGGAAATCAATAAGTTATTTTCTCTCCATTTACCTTTGCCCTTTGAAGAAACTCAGGGTGTTCTTGTAGAAAAATGGTAGCCCACATAATGGTGTGGCCAGAGGATTCATGACCGGCATTAAGATACATCAGAAGAACATCAATAATCTCTTCGTCATCCAATGTTCTTCCATCTTCATCTTTAACATTAAGAAGATTGTCTAACATATCTTTCTTATTTGGTAAAATGTTCTGCTCCCTTTGATTTCTGCGCTCAGTCACTATGGACTGAAAGGCAGCTACAAGTGTTTTCCTCGCCTGTAAAATAAATAATAATGATCTTCAAAATCTTCCAAAAGAAAGAAAATTTAATAAGTATAAAAGGGTGGTTTAGTTAAGACCTTGAGTGCTTTATGATAAGCAAATCCAGGAATATTGACTGCCATTGCTCGAACTCCATAGTTAAGAGCTGTATACTCTCGTTCCAATGCATCCATTACATTCTCACTCTCAGAGCTGAGAAAGATGTACATGATGATCCTAAAGGTAAGCTTACGCAGATGAGTCAAGAACTCAAACTCTCCCATATTGGTCCACTTGTCCAGAACAGTAATAACGTTTTCTTCAATGTAAGGTATGTAAGTAGAGAGGGCTTCATGGCCATTGACTGGAGCAGCAGTCAAACGCCTGAGCCGCTTGTGTTCCTCGAATGAGATACCAATGAATGACTTCCTTCCAATGAGTTCCATTGTAGATGTTGGCCAGCCTGGCTTGAACGCATCATCATCTGTCAGCACACGCCGGCAAGTGTCTGGTGTTGTTACTATTATACTTGGGTTCCCGAACATGTGTGCTTTATAGATACCTTTAGGTCCATACCTTCACATCATTGACAACAAAATTATGTCCCAAAATCAAAACAAGGTATAACATGGATCCACTACAAGATTCTTTCGACCTAGGGACTAGAAGACGAGATTGATCAAAATAAAAGTGTTGAAATCAAAGCCAATGCATTACATGGATCGACCACAAGAAAACTGGGAGATAGAGAGAATGAGTGACTAAAGGTTTTTAGCTATAAAGATAGATAACCTTTTGATTAAAGAGCTGGTGAAGGAATCAGGGTCAGAAGTCTTGAACGATCTGAGAAACGACAACATGTTGCCAATGAAAGGCCAACCCAAATCACCTGGTGGCAGATAGTGCCTGTTCTCCCCAAGGCTGGACTCATAGAGCCACACATTCACCATCTTAACCAACCAATTCAGACCAAAACATCCAAACACCATCAGAGGAAACCATACTGGGATCCAACTCGTTGTTTCCGCCATAGCTTTTTTCACTTAGTTAAACTTGCCAACTTTTTTTGTACCCTTTTTTTCTTTTCTCATAAATGGATATTTATATCCTCCTCTTCATGTAGATACGTGTATAACATTACTCACACCTGGAAAGTCCACAAGTAAAACTGGTAAAATATCTCTTAAATCTGGAAAATCTTATCTGTGCAATCCTGGTAGTAATAACATATCTTATTTTTTTTTTTCCAAGAACAAGAGACTCTTAACTGGTAATAATTTATTTATTACAAAAATTTCTAACCAAACGAGTGTTCTTATCTAATTTGTGGTGAGAAAGATACGAAGGGACACACGGCTAGCTCCTAAGGATTAACCAAACTTTCTTCCATTTTGGGCTCTCTATATGACAATGCCTCTCTGTATATTCTTCTTATTCAAAAAAATAAGTTGAGTCACCAAAACTAGTACATGTGTCGAGCATGAGTATACTAATTCATCGATAAGATCCCGTTGATACTAAAGCTAAGTAGCAAATGGAGATCCAAATGCAAAACAGTGAACGCATCCGTTAAACATCAGAGAAACAAAACACTCCAAGAAGATTAATACTAAACTTTTTCTTATCAATTTCTCTTTTTTTTTGTCCACATTCTTCTTCAAGTGTTTAATTTTGATCAATTAATGCTTAATTACAACTAAAAATCCGTTGATTCGACCTCTCTGAACGTAATTTTCAATACCTGGATCAACAACTAAGTTTGATCCTGGAAATTTCGATTAGGGTGTGTACGACTACTTCACATTCGGATTCAGACACCAACAACAACAAAAACCAAAACTTTGGTAGACACACATGGAGAGGAATCGAGAAAGTAAAAGAGAACCAGACCTTTAATAAGATAAGGCAATGAGAGAGGAGAGACCACTTGACTTGACCCTCAGATTCTGCAAAATAGCTCAATAAACCGGTCCCAGTACTCGTTGGAGTTACCTTCTTCGGCATCTCCAAGTTCTCTCACAAGGGTTTCGACTTTCGAGTAAGAAGTCACTTTTCGCGACTCTAACACGACCAAAACCCAAACCTTTAGTACCAATAGAACCAAGTGTCTGTGTTGACATGTGACCAACAAATAAAAGTCTCTAATTTTATCCTACTTTCCCAAGTTATACTTTTCAAAAGTAATTTTAGAGACATTGTTAAGTTTGACAAGTTTATTGTGGTGCCTAATGATTTCCAGAGAGGTCACTTATTACATAGTATCCGATTTCTGTCTATGCAATAGTTTTATGGAGCCAATAGAATCAGGGCATAGTGTTTTGTATTTGATGTAAAAATCCATCTTCAAGCCACCCAAAACGAACAAAACAGCAGGGGCGTTCACTGCAGTGATCAGTTTCCTTATACCAAAATGGAAACGCCACAATTGCGATTCTTGCCAGAGGTTTTCTCACTTATCTCTAATCCCTGCCTCTTCTATGTACCTATGAATACAAAAGTGGATATCTCTTGGAATTGTATCTCTGAACCTTCCTCTGATCTTTGAGCTGTTTTGGGGGCTGAGCAAAACCGTTATGTTTTTATCATTCCTCTGTTTATATGTCAAAATGTGGCACTCCAAAGAGCCTTTTCGCCTTCACCACAACGTCGATGAACCTCTTTGATGCGATCTGCTGATCTGCAGATTCCACTGCAGCTCCAGTCGAATGATGCTACACAGATGTTTCCAGCTTGTGCTTTCCATTCGCAATCTGCAAATACCAAAACTGAATCTTTTAAGACCTTTTGAGTACGTTTGCAGCATGTTTCAGATTTGAAACAAGAAGTAAGATTTGATGTTATTGTCAAATTTAAAACATCTAGGTTCTTGGTAAGCCTTTGCATCAGTAGAGATTTTGATAGGGACGAGTCATCTCTTTAGATAGGCTAAGGTCTCTTCACTTTAAGCCTTTTGCTTTAAAGCAGATTTATTGTAGTTAGGTGCACAAAACCAAAGATGTTGACGTTTTTTGTAAGTTCTCAAAATCTGTGCATTGATTTTTGAAGCATCTAAAAAAGTATCACATCAAGCAGGAGACGAAAAGAGCTTAAGACTTACCAGGAGGAGTTCCGCAGCATAATCTTCTGTCATCAATGTGTTTAACATCAATGCCGATAAACCAAGCTCCTAATGAAACATCTTCATTCGCATACTTGTGAAGAACATGCCTGAAACATTTAACATGTATAAGATCGAAGAGATACATGAGTCAACAGATGAGCTACGGATAAAATGTAATCACATCTTCATCTTACTGATTGATTGATATATAAGAAGCCAAGTCCCTTGAAATGGCATATAACTGTCCAGTAGCATGACGGAAGTATTTGTTCCCATTTTCACCAAATTTCCAGTACTCTGGCTCATGGTACCTCACCCCTCTGCTCCATAAAACCAACATGTCTTAAGAAAAGGAAGAACCAGTATAAAAAATGATATGGAGGATGGAACTGGAAGATGTTTTACTTTTGAGAGAGGACAGGGCCAGATTTCATGCAGCCGATATAGACCCGTGGTTTTTTCCGGTGTCTAACGAGAGTTTCCCCAAGAGTTGCTGCAGACGATTCAGTGAAACATTGAACCATTAGTACGGCCAGTATAATGTATGCAAAATGACATAAAACCATTTCAACTCTTTGATTTTAGAGCTTACCTATATTGACGTGAACATCATCATCTACTTTGACATAGAAATCTGCATCCCACATGGAAAATGCCGTAGAAAAGTAAGTTTTCGTCTTGCCTGACAACTCTAGGTACCCTTCAACATGGTCCTATCAAAAACAAGGGAGCAATGAAAATGTAGATAAGATCAGCTAGCCTTGGACTTTTTTAACGGTGAACTAAAATCATAACTATACCAGTCTCAAGAAATCTCCATGCTTCCTGTCCTCAGCTTCTATAGCTCGATCTAGAATTCCCCCGGTCGTGGCACTATAGAATCAATGACACACATCATTAGTATACAGAGAACCAAAATGAAACTCACATCAGAAACCAAAGGAGAAAACAAATTCACCTGTGACCAATGACAAACCGGATGATAATCCCCTTCTCTTCTTCTAGTCTCTTCCTTTTTTCACCTAAAAACAACGTTTAAATCAGATACAACCATCAAGGAAAAAGATGTCAATAAGAATCCACAAGAGGCTGAAAGTGTTAGAAAAACCTTGAGGCATCCACGTTGCTCGAATAGAATCTCTTCTCTTTCTGCTACTAAAAGCTGTGTTAATCCCAACGACCATCAAATACCGTCTCTTTCCCTGAGGTTGCTTCTTCCCCATATCATCTGATACAGGAGCACCGTTTTGTAAAGATTCCTGAACTGACCTTGCTGCAGCTAACTCCATCTCTAAGCTCGAAATGGTCTTATCCAATGTCCTTCAGGTAACAACACAAAACATTGTTAAACATCAAAACTTCCAAAAAAGAGTTCTTCTGTATTTGAAATCATACAGCACAAGATCGAAACTTTACTGTAATGCAATATGTGTATTGGCTACTTCTCCAAACAAAGCCTGAGGATCTCTTTTGACTTCTTTCTGGTAAAGCTAATGGAGAAACCAATCAGATGGATTATAAAACACAATAATCGAATTTGAAACCAAGATAAAAAAAATTCATCCTCACTCACAGCTTTTGGATTGCAGCCTTCTGAGATCAACTTCAATCTCTCAGCTTCGGTTACAGATGGACGAGACATGCCTTTAGATTCCGGAATATTCCACATCCTGCAACAACTACAACAAGAACAAAATCATGTCTTTGAAGTCTCTAAGATAGTGAATTAGTAAGCAAAGCCATCAACTTTAAGTTTTGTTTAATTATAATTACCTTTGTTGATTACATACAAAAAAAAGAATACTTTTTTCTAAAAAAAGGCTAAATTTAGAGAGCTTCAAGATCTCAAATTAAAACGAAACTGAGTCGTGAATTGACTCAAAAATAGTCAAAATTCATGAAACAAATAATCAGAGTAACGAGAAGACGAAAGAAAGAAAGAAAGAAAGAATCAGTTTTGTGAATTTCGTAAATTTATTTACCGATCGGTGAAGAACATTCCGACGCAGAAGCTTCCTAAGCAGAGTAATATCGTCCATTTTCTCGATACAAAGCTTCTAGAAGCAAACTCTCCTTTGTTCTTCGTCGACATTTTCCGCAAGAGATAAAGAAAAATAAAGATCCCTAGAAGAACTCTCAGTAGCTATCTCAAGCCGATGAGCTCTATCATCGGAGAACCTAACTCTATGAATCAGCTCGAAACCCAGAAATAGCAACAAAGAAGAACAGCTGAAATCTCCAGAACTTTCCAAATCAAAAATCCGAGATTTTACAGATCGAGAGAAAATTGAAGAAGCTCTCTGTGTTAGTCTCTTTGAATTTCGCTGGAGAATTGGAGAGAGAGAAACGACGTTAAAGAGAAGAGAGACGAAATCAGAACGACTTCTTAACCGTCTCTACTTTCCAATTTAATAAACTGACCAATATTTAGATATTTACCGAAATGTCCCTCTAAACAAATATAACTTCTTTTTTTTGTCATATAGTATTTAACCAAATATAATACTTACCAAGTTACCCACACCACCTCTTTATTTGTAACCGTTATGCACCGATTAATAATGCCAGTAAATTCAAATACCATTATTCACCCATCACTATGATACAAACAAAACGCATTATGTTTGGGATTTTTTATTTACTTACACTATAAATTTACCGTTACTTCATTACAAACTGTTAAAGAAGCATGACATCACGATTTTTGGTCTTTTAATAGATTAGATGGAACTTGTTGATATAAAACAACTATTGGATTCACATAAAATAAAATAAAAAACAAAACAAAAAAAAACAACATATTAGATGGAATTCGAATTTATTTATATTCCAGCTTGTGATATGTAAATAGCCTATCTACATATACCTCAATAGGTATGTCACATACGGTATTGGAATTCGAGGCACTTTTAATTGGTTGACTCTAATTGCAAGTAAAACATTACAAGTTTTTTTTTTTTGTTAAAACTTGTAATGTTTTTATGGCCATCGTTTATGGCTTCACGTCCTTTTTCGACCCACTGACTTTGTATGTCTATATGACTATATCGTGTTATTCCAAAAAAAAAATCGATTATTTGAAAACTGCCACTTAATCTTTTTTTTTTGTGTGTGTGTGTTTTTTTGTCTTTAGTCGTCATATAATATTGAGTAAAAAATAGACCCATAAATTGTTTTACGTGAAACATGCACGTTTAATTGTAGGAAATATTTCAAAATGATCACTTAACAAATAAATGCATGTTAGGTCATTAGAGAGATTCTGCGACTGTACATACTACTAACGATCATGTGATGCTTTCTGTTTTGCATCACAAGGCTCACTGCAAAATCAGTATCCCAAAGTATAATGACTACAGTGGGTCTCACCTCACGAGCTTCTTCCACGTGTCATCATGAACGTTTTACAATCCATTGATGTATGTTTCTGAATTTTGTGTAACTTATGTCCAAAATGATGCCACATGCATGACTTTGGCCATCGATTGTTCTTGAATTTTAATAATTCCCGTTTGATATAATATGTTCTGTCCCTAGGTTTAGTTTTGGGGTTTTCTGCATCTTAATTTTAGTGGATAGTTTTATTTTGTTCGACATTAATACTGGTCATTGTTAATTTACTTGATTTTCTTAAAAGATATTTTGTGTAAAGATGCTCTCTACGTTTAGCCAAGTTACGTTAGATTATACATATCAGTTGATGCCACTACAGATTTTCAGTTCCCTATGTCTTAGAATTATTATGAAAATCAGTTCAAAAGACATCTTTTCAGTCCTAGGGAACACATATATATGTTGTAACTGAAACACACACATCTATTTTTATTAAATATAATACTGTATTTGTATGTTTAGGTGGACTCTAATTCTTTTTCTCAACCAGGTTTCTGAACTCAATCGTGAGGTAAAAAATATATTCAAGTTTTTGTTTTCTTCACGTAATATTTCATCGATGGCTGTGCTCATGGCATGTGAGCATTCAAAAGGTCGGTGCAAATTTGAATAACAAACAGAGAGCCTGCAATGAATTGATTGGATCAATGTTATCCACTTTTATTTTATGTTAATATAAGCTTCAGATCTATCATTGATATTTTTTATTCAGTGAATAAAGAAAACTATTTTATGGTCTTATGATTTGAGAATGAATGTGGGTGGTGGTCAAGTATAACGTGTATGGTGTGTCATAATAGCTGTTAATCAAACCACATGGTTTTATTTCAAACATGTTTGTCTATATGTATATACACATATATTTTACAGATTTTTATGTTATAGTCTTATAGATATGTTACACACATTATTTTTTTTTTTTTTTGCTAAGAAGACACACATTATTTCCTCTCAAAAGTAATGTCCTATAGTTAATAGATTTTTTAATAGGTTGTAGATCAATGTGTAACAAATTATATGGCAATAATTTTAGCAGTTCTTTTCTCTTTTTTTTTTAAAGATAGTTTTCATTTTTTTGTAAAAATAAAAAAAAAATGGAGTCAATTTTGTTTATAAAAAAAAAAGAAGAAGCAATTTTCATGTCTCTTACATTAGCCAACCGATTGATATAGTGATTTTTGGTGTACCAAAGAGGAAGCCAAAAAAGCTTCAAATTTCTATAACCACAAAAGTGAAGTAGACACATGCTTTAATACTTGTACATTATTATACACATAGATGTATGGCCACCAATAATTTAGAGAAATGAGAGAGTGACATTTAAGTATTCACCGTTGGCAACCGATGGACATTTACGCTCTCCATATAATCATAATGAAAGGTACGGGTCGTGTAAACTGAATTTTACCTTTTTAGTTCAATCACTAACCCGAATCTTCCGACTGGTCGGTTATGTTCGGTTTAAATTGGTATATTGGAGAATCAATGAATTGGTAGTGGGAGAGTAGCTGAGTAGAGGATGGTAGAAGTTAGGTGCTTTGCTTGAAAGAGGAGGCTGCCACTTTACCTAATGCAATGTCTAAGTTTGGTCACTCTCTTCTTCAAGCAAACCCCTTTAAAGCTGACATCCCATTTCCATCCATCCATCTGTTTCTTGTTGCTGACTCCTTTTTCAGAAGCCAGTCTATCTTTTTTTAATCGTTTTTTCCTATCAAGTTTACACATATTATATAGATACCAAAAGAAAAGAAAGAAAAAAAGTAACCACTTGGTCAAAATTATCGAAATTGGATGATCTAAGCCGAATCAATTTTTACATTGAAACTAGAATCTTCTCACGAAAAAAAGTGTTTAGTCAAATCTCATGATTGAAAACATGATTAAGGAAACTTCTATGTTCATCTTAATTGTTCTTTTTTTTTGGTTACATATTCAACTTGTAATTAAGTATGAATATAAAGCAACAACATTTAACTAAAACTAGAAGATCTTCACTTTTTTTTTTCATTTTAATTTAAGTGAAAGTGCTTTTAATATACGTATGAGCAAAATATGGGTTTGATTGAAGCTTCAACTGAGAAGATTAAATTAAATTGCTAAATATATACACACTAGATTTGTTAGGATTTTTATGTTCATAACGGATAAATTAAATTGCATTAGTATAAGTTTATACCGGATTAAAGAAAAGTTCATACCCGATAGTGTGTATGTGAGTTGTATAGTAGATCAATATCAGTATTGTCATTAGCATAATGCGTTAACAAAGTTCTATCTTCGACTGTTATTCTTAAGCGTGATGATTTTTAAGAAATGCTATTAAAAGATTCGTTTCGCATCATTAGAGCTTTTCTTTTGTCAAATGCTGTTCACAAAATTCAAATGCAATGTAGATGGAAGCGACAGACGCTAATGTCGGCTGCGTTCGACATTAGAAGTTCACAAGACTATGCATAAGAAATGTGTTTATATATATAAATGCATAAGAAAAAAAAAGGGTTTAAATTATACTTTTATATGGAAAACAAAATGCCATGGTAGTAACGAGTGAAACCCACCGAGCTTCAATGGCATCTATTATTCATGCATATGCCATTTGTCTATATTGCCCCCAAATCCCTAAATTTGGATTTGTGGTTCTTATCTTTGTCTCCTTCTTTTCTTTTCATGTTATTGATTCTTTGATGCCCATTAACTTTTTAGACAATTTTAATATTCCATTTTGATTGATCTTATTCTTGGACCCCATTTTTATTGATAGTAACTTTTGATGTTAACGTAATGCAATTTTTTGTCGTTTGTATGAAGATTTGCGGAAATCGTCACATTAAACCTTTCGCCGACTAGAATCATGTGGAGAATGGGCTTACTCTGGCCCATTTTATGAGACTCATGTGGAGAATGGGCTTACTCTTGGCCCATTTTACGAGACTAGTTTCATTGACTCTGGTCAAAGTTACATACTACTGAATATGAAACCTTCAAATTCCTAGTTATAACCTTAAAAGGACAAAGCAAAGCAAAATGTTGGAAAATTCGGAGTCGAATTGTCATTGAACAGTTTGTTTCCCAGTAGCCGCAAAAAGAATCTCTTTCAACTCAGAGAAGAATAAATAGATATGATAGAGCTATTTATCTCTGTTTCAAGCCAATGTGTAAGGAAAGATCTTCTACAATTTCAATAACTGAGACTTGTGATCAATGCCATTGAAGATGTAAGTCCCCAACATTGGAACAAACTGCTTCGTGACAAGCTGCAAACAAAGATAGAGACGTATTCAATCATCTCGGTATGCATGTCCAGAAGCTAGCGACTTCCCCATAAGACAATTGAATTTGAAACAATGAGAAGGAAATAAGAATCGAACCTTGATGACTTCTTGAGATGCGATTCCTCCAACAAAGGCAGAAACCACATGAATCTCTGAGGCACCAAAGCGGCACATCTCATTGATAAGGTCATCGGGGAGTACTGCGCCGTTACAGCCCAAGTCCGTAAGAAGACTCAAGGCAGTAGTTTTTAATCGAGAAATGTCCTCATCCATTCCTCTACCAAAATGTATTGCATGTTAATAGCCAAACAAGGACCAATTGTTCAAATATACGATTAAGCTTAGTGCCATAATGAGTTTCTTACCCATCAAACTGCCCAGGAAACTTGTTATAGTTGGCAGCAAATCTGTCCGCAGCTCTAAGAAGAATATAAAATCCCATTGCACCACTGCGACGGTAACAATATTAAGTATAACATGCAAGCCTAGAAAAAATTTGAACTAAATCCAGAATCTATTTTTTTCTGCTGTGTAAGCCTAAGATGAACTAAAAGGCTTGGTTAGCTCAGGTCAACTAAATGAATAGCTTATACAGTTCTGAATAAATGCGCCTGCAATAGTCAATCACAACATCTTATGGCATGTATGAGACAGATAAAAGAGTAACCATTTTGTAGAAAGGTCTTCTTTCAAATCATTTGATGTTTTTGTACTCATATGAAAAGGGATAATTCGCACCTGTAGTCTTCGTCCGCTAAATACTTTTGAATTTCAGTTACAGAAGGATTGCTGAACTCGTCCTCTACCATACTATATCTGCACAACTACAAAGGACGGATTGTGGTTTATGTTTTACTCAAATCATATGTTTCTGATAATGCTTCGATAGAAAAAGTAAACAAGCAATAGGTAAAACATTGACATTAGCAGCTCACCAAAAAAAAAAACATTGACATTAGCATACAAATCAAATTTGTTAGGAAGTTTAGTATTCTCACTTTAAGTTTCCTTGCATTCTTGCAGAAGCTCTTGATTGTTGATTTTGAGATGCTATTCGGATCTCGACCGATTTTCTTTAAAATGTTTTTAACTCGTTCCTCCATGACAAGAAAATCAGCCTCAGCTTTGGCTAAATAGATTTTCTGCAAATTGATATAGTGTCTACAAAGAGCAACCATACAGCTACATTAGCAATGTGAAAAATAGACTGAGGGTGAATTTCAGTGCCAAAGAGACAAGTGCACTAACTCTGTTGAAGACGTCATATCTGGTATAGAGCCTTCAAGGGGTGCCTCTCCATCACCTTCGTTTAAAACAAACTCCTGCAGGTGGTTATGTACGAGTATTATGATTTTAAATCATTTCAAATCAAATTTAGTTGCAGTTTGCACTTCCTAAATGAACATGAATGTATGAGTTCTGGCAGAGCAGGTTTCAAGTTTCAAACCTTCAGAGCCGCTACCATCACCCAAAAAGCTGAGGAGTTTGAATTCGCTTCCGCACAACTATCATTAATTAATTTTTGAACCTCTGAGCCTGAAGGGAAAACAGGTTTGGTTCAACATGAAGAATACTGTGATTTGACCCGTGACAGAGCTTTCTGTTACTTTAGCTCCAATATCAACAATCGCTACAGCTATAACACTCAACCATGGAAACAGTAAACATATGTGGCATGGAAGCGCCAAATTCTAAGTCAAGTTTCTACCTACACCAAACAAGATATCTACTTACTGATTCCCGGAGGAGCAAAAACTTTGAAAGCGGCTTCAATGGCTTCTTTGTAGTTATCTTCATCCATAGATATCATCTTGGACTTAACCAAATCCTAAGAATTCAAGGATATAGATAATTAAAACAAGAAAGCAAGCTCGCTAATGAATTTTCTAAGTTACAAAAAAGAATTAAACCTTAAACTCTTTTTTCTCTTCCCTGGTTGAGGGAAGATTACCACTATGGGATAGAGCCCACTCAGCAGCCATCTTCACAAGAATGACGACGTAAGGTATGTGCTTATGTGCAGCAGGCGGCTCTGATACATTTAGATCAATGGTCTCCACAAAACTGCCGTTCAATGAATAATTAAGAATATCAGTAAGTACTCAGTCGTCCATCCACAACCACAATGTTAAAGGATGGCAGAACAACATAATGTGAGAGGAAATGAGAGCAGTGTACCTCTTGAGTTCAGGCCATGGATTATTCAAGCGAAGGTCGTCAAGAAAATGATCTGGTTTTGAGTCAACTATGGGGTGCTCCTGATAAACAAGAAAAGAACAGAACTTAGCATATATTCTCATTGTCCAATATCCTAACCACGGCATACCATTTCAAATACTCAACTACCACAAAGAAATCCATTATTTATCACAAATTGGGTCTAGACAGGAATTACCTTTACAGAGATGCGAACAAACCCAGCAAGGCCATAAGAGCGAACTAAAACCAACTTGACGTTTGCTTCTCGACAGATTCTATCAAGTTTCACCATTGAATCTTCCACCAGCTACAACCAACCAACATCGAAAAGGGGATGAAACGAATTAAATAACAATAACACAGGAAAAAGAAGACTAATAAAGCAATATCCAGTGAAGAGGACGAGGAAAGGTACATATGAGAGTCTAAAAAAACATTGAATATGAGGTATCAACTTTGAACAGTTTTAACACACAAATCATTAGAGAAGATTACAACTTTAGAAATAGAAACCCAATTGGTACCTGAGTGGCTATAACGATAGTGAACTGAGAGAAGAAAGATGGGTTAGTAGTAATCAAAGTGTCTGGATTCTCCTCAATAAACCTGGCGTTAACAGAATCATTAAGCTCTTGGAGAAACGCACAAACAGATTTGGCTTTAGACTGCCCAACACTCTTCGCATCGACTTCACATGAAAAAAAAAATCATCATAACCCAAGTAAGTCCACAAAAACCCCCAGCAGAATTTACAAAAATGAGTCAGTACCCATGAAATTGTTTCCAAGGTCACCGATTTGAACCGTGGATCCATCAACGATGGTGATGCAGCCAACACCACCAAGGACGAGATTCTTCAAGGCCTCGGAACCAGTAGGGCCACAATTCAGCAAACAGATACTAGCTTCTTCCAAAGCCGCTTGACCTACCTCCCCCCAAATCCTAATCAATCAACGATTACTTCATCAATTTTCCTCCCAACAAGAAGAGAAGTAGAGTTCGAAGAGAAAAAAAAGAGTATGTATACCTGAGTTGACGATCGTACTTGATTTTAGGTTCAGCCATTGTTGGCTCTTCTTCAACATGTTTCCTGGATCTTTTTATTGGTTGCATCTTCGCAGCTGAGAGCGAGAGATGATGATTTTTGCTTCCGGTGAACTGAAACAAAAAGATTTTCTTCAATCAGGGTTTTTGTTTTGGTTCCAGTTATTTTTAATTTTTACGAAATTTTCGTTTAAAAAAAAGTATATCTAAAAAAACAAAAAAAAACAGATATTAATATCTTATTGGTTCGATTTAGTTTCCATTTTCTGTTGGATTTGTGTTTGTTAGATATAAGCAAATAAGAAGATTTTATAAATAATCTTCTTAAAAAATTGTTCATAAAAAAAAAACAAATAGGAAAATTCACCATGAAAGTTTTATCCGGTTTGGATTGGTTCGGTTCAATGAGGAAACAATAGACTCACATTGATGAGGCACTTTTGGTTAAAAGGCCTAAGTTCTTGTTCTATTAAAGCACTAAAGAACATCTGGATTTGGACTAAATATGGACCAAAATAACATTCTGATGACAATTCTCCGAGGTTCAAAAACAATTAATGGGTTCCTTTAAAAACTTCTCAAGAATCCCAAAACAAACATCTTCATTTCTAAACAACTTTGAGCAATTCACATTAACATTGAAAGTAGATAATAATGAAATATGAAGATCACTTCTTCTTTCCAGCTTTTCCTTCCTTTCTCCGAACGATCTCGTCGGAATACTTGACTCCTTTACCTTTGTATGGCTCTGGTGGCCTCCACTTCCTAACCGTAGCAGCAAACTGCCCGATTTCGCTCTTGTCGTATCCACTCACAGTGATTCTTGTGTTCTCTTCCACTTTCACTTTCAGACTATCCGGTATCTGCATCTTAACCGGGTGTGAGAACCCGAGATTCAGCACCAGCTCTTTCCCTTCGACTGTTGCACGATAACCAACACCCACAAGTATAAGTTTTTTCTCAAATCCCTTTGATACTCCAACAACCATGTTATCCGTAAGCGTCCTAAAAGTCATACAGAAGTTAAAAAGATTAGAACAAACAATCTATTAACCTCAAAAGTTAAGGACTTCATTGTAACTGTCTCAGTTGATAACAAGAAAAGGTGAGAAGTTTGTAACCTGAAAAGGCCGTGCATTTGGTTGGCTCTTCTAGTTTCGACTGTTTTTTTGACCCTTAATAAACCGGATTCTTCCTTGGTAAGCTCAACTTCGCGTGGGTAAGTTAAAGCCAGCTCTCCTAATGGACCTTTCACTTTCAAGTCTTGACCTTCCAATGCAATGGTAACATTGGAAGGTACAGCAATCGGTTGCTTTCCTATCCTTGATTCCTTGCACTCAATGGTCTTACTGGAGTAACCCACTTGAGCAAATGGCGTGCTTGAGACCTTGAACACATTTCTATCTCCCAAAAACGCTGACCTAAAAACAAAAAGGGATGTTACCTATCTTCAGACAAAACATGAACTCTAGCAGATATCTAAACCAATACAAAGGAACTGAAACAGGAAACAAGATAACGTTAGATTAAGGAAGAGCTACATTGTTATAGAAGTTTCGGACCCTCTAGAATCCTGCTTTTACACACTGAGTTCTCGCATAACACACTCAAATTCCCAAATTAAAAATCCACAATTTCAAGAATCACCAACCAAGTCCACATTCCCATCGACTTCTAAAGAAAAAACTAACATGGGAACCGATTCAAAGAGATTGTTTTATACTTATGAGGCTCATGAACCCAATTTAAAGAGATTTTGAAAAGAAATGCCAAGTAAATGGAACCCTAGAGGAATGAAGAAATTATAATCGGCATAAGGTCTTGTAGTATATGAAGAGTACCTGGGTTGGAAAGAAGAGACGAGTGAGGAAGCCATTGATGATGGAGCTCTAAGCTCTACTCCAGACAGGAGGATGGAGAGAAGAAGAAGAGTATTTTATCCAGAAAAGACTTATCCATCGTCAGCTTCTGTAATCCCTCCTTTCAAATCATTGCTTTCACAGCCCATTATCTCACTATTTGTCGGCCCATTACTTTAGCCATCGTGATATGGGCCAATTCCTTATTTTTGTAACCCATTTATCTATATTCATCACGGCATATTATCTCAGGCCCATTATTATTATAAGCTGTTCACAAAATTTACCCAATTAACGTAGAGTTTGGATTAGATTAATGAAGTCAATAAATTGGGTATCGTTCCCGATTAAGTATGTTTTAAGTCGAATATTCGATCTTCATAGAGGTATAATATCGTCATACGTTAAAGGCATGGCTTTTTAAATTACTCTTAACAGACAAATTAAAAATGAAATGGGCCCTTACCCTCAGAAACATCCAAACAACAAATTGAGAAGATTCAAAGAAAAAATCAACTGTATATTTTCATGGTTCAGATTTATTTTGGTCGAATATTTTGTTTTAAATAAATAAAATAAGGTCATACGATTACCGACAAGATATATGTGGAATCAGTGGCATATTATATTATGTGTTTAACAATTAACAAATGAAAATTTCAATAAGGAACTAATAACAAATGAAGCTCTTTAATTATAACATTCCTTAATGAACACTCTAAAGACAAAGAATAGTCGAGTCCATGTGTTTCATGCACCTTTTATCATATAAATCCCAAAATCAATAGTACAATTACTTTACTATTTTTGACCGAAAATATCCTTTATTTTTTAGTGTGAAATTGATTTGACAACCGTCGAGGAGACCTATTCTTTGACGAAGGCGGCCTTGGAGCAATTAGGTTGTCCCATTCACACTTTTAATTAGTATTATTTTTTTTTTCCATATACGTACGTAGTTACCCTAATTACCCATTTAACTATCCGTTGTAACCACAAAGAAAAATGCATTAAATATCTTAATAAATGATAGTTACCAATAAGAGCCAAAGTAAAAATTTGATTCTCGAATAGTATGAGGACACAAGTAAAGCATGGATACCCCACACCTTGGCCTACGTCTTCACTGACCACTCCTGAAATGGCACTCCAAAACAAAAGTTAATTACAAAATTTCATAAAATACCAAGAAAAAAACCAGTAATAATAAGGAAAAAAGAAAGAAAAAAAAGAGAGAATATTATGAATTATTCTTTGCTTGAGCTCAGAAACAGTTCTTCTTCTTCTTCTTCTGCTTCTTCATCTTCTTTTCTCTGTCTTTCTTCTTTATACTTAGTGCTCAATCACTCGTTTACTTCGGAAGAATATGGATCTCTGACTAAAGTTTGTTTCTCGTATTTATTCCAAGGTTGCTTCTTCTTTTTGTTCTTACATATATTATCCTTATGAAGAAATTATTATACTTTAGTTCATATGTCTCCCCAAGTTTTGGTCCCAAAATCTCAAAGATTGTAATCTAATAGATCTTCTAATTACAAATTCAGTTAAGTTTAATAACATAAAATAAAGTTCTTCAAAAATCCGATATTTATATGGATGTACTTTTCCACTTTTCCTTCTTCAACCACTCACTGCCATGTTCAGCAGAATTAAGTCATCACTGTCTTTTTATTTTATTCAACTTGAAATATCACCGATGATATTATTAGTATGGTTTATGTTTTAATAATTTGGTTTTGTGTGAACAATTATTTGTTAATAAATTGACATATCACTGCCATCATCATTTGATTATCTGTTCATTGAATTATTTATTACGCTTTTTGCTTCTTTTTCTGCAAACCATCTTTAAGACGGCCCTCTTTACACTTCTTTATTTTCAGTTCCAAGTTTCACATGTAGGCACCAGTTTCTATAAATACATTATAAATAAATATACAGACACAAATCTGTGAACACCAATCTCTAAAGAATCTAACTCCTGATTTCTTGGTTTGCTTTCCTTCTTTCACCAAATTTCTGGACCATCTTTTTGTCTTTTGTTAACTGTATATCTCAATCTTGATTCATGTTGGACATTGTTTATTTCGCAGGTGTTACTCCAAATAAATCAAATGGTTATATGAGACCAGGACAAAGAAAAAAAACCAGTGCTTTTGCTGGAAATTGTGATAAAGATGAGATTTTTGGTGACGATAAGAGGAGTTTCTATGGTGAAAGCAATCAGAGTTGTGTTGTTATGTCTTTCTGTCTTGTGGGTCGTTCCAAAGGAATGTGCTTGCAGAAGTAATTTCTCAAGAAACTCGTCTTCAACTTCTTCTTTGCCGCCATTACCACAGAGACCAAGCTCTGTGAATGTTGGAGCTCTGTTTACTTATGATTCTTTTATCGGAAGAGCAGCTAAACCAGCGTTTAAAGCGGCTATGGATGATGTTAATGCTGACCAAACTGTACTTAAGGGCATCAAGCTCAATATCGTCTTTCAAGACTCAAATTGCAGTGGATTTATAGGCACCATGGGAGGTATATTCTGCTTTCTTCTTCATCTTCTCTCTTAATACTGTGGCCAAAACCTAGTTTGTGAAAATGCCCCAAAGAATGAGTGATGATTATGTTTAATCTTATGGTGTAGCTTTGCAGCTGATGGAAAACAAAGTGGTTGCAGCCATTGGTCCACAATCTTCAGGGATTGCTCACATGATCTCCTATGTATCTAATGAGCTTCATGTACCTCTCTTGTCATTTGGAGCAACAGATCCAACTCTCTCCTCTCTGCAATATCCTTATTTCCTCCGCACCACGCAGAATGATTACTTCCAAATGCATGCAATCGCAGATTTTTTATCCTATTCCGGATGGAGACAAGTCATTGCGATATTCGTTGATGATGAGTGTGGTAGGAACGGGATATCTGTTCTAGGCGATGTATTAGCCAAGAAACGCTCGAGGATCTCTTACAAGGCTGCAATTACTCCTGGTGCAGATTCTAGCTCCATCAAGGACTTGTTGGTTTCTGTTAATCTGATGGAATCTCGGGTTTTTGTTGTTCATGTGAATCCTGACTCTGGTTTAAACGTTTTCTCCATGGCTAAATCTCTTGGAATGATGGGAAGTGGTTATGTTTGGATCGCAACAGACTGGCTTCCTACAGCTATGGATTCTATGGAGCACGTGGATTCGGACACGATGGATCTCTTGCAAGGAGTGGTTGCTTTTCGCCATTACACAATAGAGAGTAGTGTCAAGAGACAGTTTATGGCGAGATGGAAGAATCTTAGACCAAATGATGGCTTCAACTCTTATGCGATGTACGCTTATGATTCTGTCTGGTTAGTTGCTCGTGCCCTCGATGTTTTCTTCAGAGAAAACAATAAAATAACTTTCTCCAACGATCCAAATCTACACAAAACAAATGGTAGCACTATTCAGCTATCAGCACTAAGTGTTTTCAATGAAGGGGAGAAGTTTATGAAGATCATTCTTGGGATGAATCATACTGGTGTGACGGGCCTAATCCAGTTTGATTCAGATAGAAACCGGGTTAACCCGGCTTATGAAGTTCTAAACTTAGAAGGTACAGGTCCACGCACAGTCGGGTACTGGTCAAATCATTCGGGTCTCTCTGTGGTCCATCCAGAGACCTTGTACTCTAAGCCTCCAAACACATCTACAGCAAACCAGCGTCTTCATGGAATCATATGGCCAGGCGAAGTAACTAAGCCTCCTCGTGGTTGGGTGTTTCCTAATAATGGAAAACCGCTCAGAATCGGGGTGCCTAACCGAGTGAGCTATACAGATTACGTTTCTAAGGATAAGAACCCGCCCGGCGTTAGAGGTTACTGCATTGATGTCTTTGAAGCCGCAATAGAATTGCTTCCATATCCCGTTCCACGTACTTATATACTATATGGAGACGGGAAGAGAAATCCTTCTTACGATAATCTCGTCAACGAAGTGGTTGCAGATGTGAGTTGAGTAGCTACATTACTCAATCAAGTTCACAACTTTCAGAAGATGCTAACCTGTCTTTTTTCTCATGTCTCCCCTTCAGAATTTTGATGTAGCTGTAGGAGATATCACAATCGTTACAAACAGAACAAGATATGTAGATTTCACACAACCGTTTATAGAATCAGGGCTTGTGGTGGTGGCTCCGGTTAAGGAGGCCAAGTCTAGTCCTTGGTCATTCCTGAAACCATTCACTATAGAGATGTGGGCTGTCACTGGAGCCTTCTTTCTTTTTGTGGGAGCCATGGTCTGGATTCTCGAACACCGCTTCAACCAAGAATTCCGTGGCCCTCCTAGGCGTCAACTCATTACCATCTTCTGGTTAGTTTCCCAGTTCTTGACACCGAGCTTGAGTTTACCTTTAAACCTTATTTTCCTTCTCCTCTTCATTGTTACAGGTTTAGCTTCTCAACGATGTTCTTCTCTCATAGTAAGTATGCTCTAACTCGTGTAACTTGGTAGATTTTCACACCAAAGCTTACAGAATGTTGGAGGGAAGTAAAGTTGTTTTTACTTTTTACCTTTTGATCTTTCAGGGGAGAACACGGTGAGTTCATTGGGGAGGCTGGTGCTGATCATTTGGTTATTCGTGGTTCTGATCATCAACTCGAGCTACACAGCTAGTCTCACTTCGATCCTAACCGTTCGACAGCTGACATCTCGGATTGAAGGAATAGATAGCTTGGTAACGAGCAATGAACCAATTGGAGTTCAAGACGGTACATTTGCTCGGAATTATCTAATCAACGAGCTTAACATACTTCCTTCGAGGATTGTTCCACTGAAAGACGAAGAACAGTACCTTTCTGCTCTGCGTCGTGGACCCAAAGCTGGTGGTGTGGCAGCCATTGTAGACGAGCTTCCTTACATCGAAGTTCTTTTGACAAATAGCAACTGCAAGTTCCGTACAGTAGGACAAGAATTCACACGCACAGGCTGGGGTTTCGTATGTAAAATCGGTTTTGAGAAACTTACTTGCGAATATATTATCTGTGCTCTTTCTCTACAACTTTTCTTACAAGAATCTTGAAACCGACGTTGCAGGCATTCCAAAGAGACTCCCCTTTAGCTGTAGACATGTCAACGGCTATCTTGCAACTATCTGAAGAAGGCGAGCTCGAGAAAATCCACAGGAAATGGCTTAACTACAAGCATGAATGCTCAATGCAGATCTCAAACAGTGAGGACTCTCAGCTTTCACTAAAGAGTTTCTGGGGACTCTTCCTTATCTGTGGCATCAGTTGCTTCATGGCACTCACTGTCTTCTTCTGGAGGGTTTTCTGGCAATACCAAAGGTTGCTACCAGAAAGTGCAGACGAGGAAAGGGCAGGCGAAGTGTCTGAGCCATCTAGATCAGGGAGAGGTTTACGAGCACCGAGTTTCAAGGAACTGATAAAAGTTGTGGATAAGAGGGAAGCAGAGATCAAGGAGATACTTAAGCAGAAGAGTAGCAAGAAACTCAAAACTACCCAAAGTGCAGCTGGGACTTCACAATCACAACATGGCGAAATTACTTAAACAGATAAGAGTTCAAAAAAATGTTTAAATGACTATTAACATACTTAGAGGGTGAGTAAACTTGTCAGGAGATTTTGTAATAGGAAAGTTCAAGGAACCACAGACCAAAGCTAAATTGTAAATCTTTTTTCTGAGACGTAATGAAAAAATCATCTTATTTTCCTCATCAGAGTTCACTTTCAGAGAGAAAGCTTGCAAGTGAACAGATTTAGCAATAGATAAAATTGAAATGAAAATCCAAGTATCAATTTTATTATGACAAAATAAGATGTTGTTGACACATGTTGAAGGTAAACATAAAATCACAGTCATGGTGCTTACATGCTCAGTTAAAAAGGTTGCAAGAATAAAAAAAAGGGAGTGAATATCACTTTACTCAAGCTTTGCTTCTTCAAGTTTAACTTCTCTCTTTGGAGGTTCCAGATCGAGGTATTTGAATGGCTCTGTTGGTTCCTCTCTGAAAAAAAACGAATGGTTCAGCCTCTACATCTAGTATGAACAATGAACTAACGATGATTAAGAGCGATAAGAAAGCAGAAAAGGCTAAAGCGGAACAATAGCTGGTTGATAAAGAATAAAGAACTGTCAATGCAACAAACAGCTTAGTATTAAACGAAACTTGATGGTAGAGTGTGAAATTGCACATCATACCCTGGCTTAGAACGCATGCATCTGTAGAAGAGTTTGAAAGGTCCTGGAACTGTCTTGAATGGGTTTCCCTCGAAAAACGCCTGCAAAAGTTACTAATACTATGATCTAAATTCATCAAAAAGATAACTTTGAAATAATCATGGCTCCTCAAGCCAAGCAATACTAGTTCTTCAATTGCAGTAAAAATTGTTTATTACAACAAATTCAATAAGCTGATACAAGCTTCAACAAACAAAATTGAAGATTGATTCATAAAAGCCAATGAATTTCTGATTTCAGTGGACTTCTCAACCCCAATAACAAAATAATAGGAGATACGTGAATTCTAAGAGAGAGATCTCCAAAGGTTTATAAGAAGGAAGAAAAAAAAATCGAAAGAAAATGGTGAGAACCTGGACAACGTCCTCGACACGATCGTTGCAGCGGTGAGCTTTGGGCTCACGGTGACCTTCCGGTAAACCCCATGGACTCTCTCTCCTCGGCACTGGTCTCGTCTCGCTCATCTTTCTCTTGCTGCTGCTGAAATCTCAAAGCTCAAAAAACGCAGTTGAAAAATTGAAATCAAATCTTAAATTTAACCACTTAATTGAACCGAACCCGGTTTATTAGTTCGGTTACGTACACCAATAATTTGATCTTTCTTCTTCTAGGTTTTGCCGGTCAACGACTCTCAGAACTTTAGATTTGAAGCAGAGTAATCAATCAAACAGAGAAGGAAGAAAAGATGGGAGCTTTAGGGAAGCTAATCGACGTAGCTCTCTTCGTATACTTCGCTTCAATGGCGATAATTGCGCCGCTCATCGACGGCCAAACCTCACTTCCTTCAGGAATCTACCCGGCGTTTCTCATCGATCTGAAAAGCAAGTACATTGCCGATTTCGGAGATTACTTGCTCATGGAGAAGCCGCATTTCTTAGTTGGACTCGTTTGGCATGAGCTTCTCTTCTTATGGCCGCTCTCAGTTGCTAACGTCTACGCGATTCTTGCCGGAAAGTCGTGGTTTGGTACCACCTGCTTGTTGTATGGAGCTTCCCTCGTCACTTCCATGGTAAAGTACATTTTCTGGAATTTTGGATTGTTTGGTCTGATCTTGGGAGATTTTGTTTAGTATTATTAAGCTTAGGTAATGATCTTTAAGCTGATTATGTTAAATTTCTTGACTTTGTTCTTTGATAATGAGGATCTGCAAAAATCAGTCAAGCTAGTGTTGATTAGATTAAACTTCTTCACTGAAAGTAAGTTAAAGTTCTGTACTTTTCTTTATGTGAATCATATATGTCTTATATGCAATGACTTAGTTAAAGTTCTGAACTTTCCTTGATTTACTCAGTTTTACTATATGTATAGCTTATTAGCTTTTCCTGTTGGAAATGTGTTTCTTGAAGTGCATAGGTTTTTGGCCATAACCTACTCGGCTACTCTTATGTCTGGTCTGCGTTCTTGTGGACATGGTTTAATGCAATGGCATTATTCTGCTTGACTATGTCTATGTGTCTAGTTATGTCTATTTCTCATCTTATATTTACCTGTGGATCTTTAGGCCGCAATCCTAGGAGAGATGATAGGTTCGGGGAAGGCCTCTGACAGATTGCTAATGATGTATGTGCCTTTCATGGGTTTTGGGATTCTGGCTGTTCTTCGTGGTTTAGTTTGTCGATCCACCAAAAACACTGGTTCTGTTGGCAAGAGATCCACCATCATGCCTAGAAGAAAGCTGGCCTGAGATACAGTTGATATTCTCACTCTGGAAGGCCTACTTGTACTTTTTCTTTATGTGCCAACTTATGGAGAACTCTAGCTAGAGAGAGGTATTGGTTTTTCCATGTAAAAACGTTATTGCTTTCTGATTTCTATGGAACTCCTGTTTGTTGGCTCAACAACAATGAAATGTTTCCTTGGTTGAAATCAAATTCATTCTTGACATTACTGCCTCTGCTCTTCCACATCACTGGACTAGGGTCTTAACTTGTTAGATTTTGGTCCTCTATGAGTATTATTTGAATTGGTTCGGTTTAATTAAACCAGCAATTAGTTTAAAATTTAGAAAGAAAGAGATAACTCCGGTTTCTTGGTTCGGTTAAGTAAAACCAATCCTTTATCTTATAAATCACAAGTCACCTGGCCAATCAAATTATGCCACATAGATTTCTATTTCACAATTTTAAAATTTTTAAAACTAAAATAAATAATAAAACACATGACGCAACTTCCTCTTAAAATCCCTAAATTTTCTCGCACAAGTTACCACACCACGATCGCCACGTTTTCACGATCTCAAAATCGTTGAAACCGTTTCATCATCCTCTATTTAACTCACGACGAACTCACTCATTTCTTTGCTCTCATATATTTTGAATCTTTAATTTCTCTCAACGGTTCATGCGCTGCTATGTATGAATCAGAAGCATCGGAGATATATGTCTCACCTCGCTCCGTCTAATCTGGCTCTCTCACGTCCCCAGTCTCCGAAGATTCCTGTCTTGGATGTCGGCGGCGAGCTCTTACTTCACACAACACCGTTATACGATTGCGAGTACAGCCACTGTAGATTGAATTTCTATCTCTTATCCTGAAGATCAAACGACCTTTTAATCGGAAATCCTTTCTGGTTAGTTTGAAAAATCACAATAACTCAATCTTTTATGTTACTTTTTTCTTTCTTATGCATTGTTCTGTTCCATCCTATCTCACTTTATCCTTTTATGTGTTTTGTGAATTGTATGGTAATTTGAGATACTAGAGGCTAGCCAACTTAGGAGAAGCTATTTTTTGTGACAGTTAGCTAATTTTCTTATTACCTAATCTCTGTTTTCTGTATCAGTTTGCTAATCTTTTAAAGATTTTTTGTAGATTGGATTCATAGGAACGTTAAGTACTTAAATTGGTGTGCAAATAATGGTAAGCATGTTAAACTCTACCAATTTTGAGTCTCACGATGAATTTTAAGAGTTTACTTTTCCAGGTTCTTGAAAACCATCAAACACAACAACACAAAGCAATGAGAAACTGGATTTCTTTACAAACAAATGGTACTCATCATTTTTTGCTACAACATTTTCTTCTTACTAAAATTTTTCATTGGTGGTGTTTTTTACCTTTTCTGGATCTTTGAAATTTTGAGTTAACCTAGGTTGCCTAAAGCTATAAAGTTTAAACTTCACTCTGGATTGTCCGTTTTCCATATAAAAGAAGAATACACAATTCTTATATTTGTTGTAGTTGACAATCACAAGTTTGCTCTTCTCTTGCCAATATAAGTATTGATTACTTCGATGGACTTTTTTGATCTAGCGCCTTTTGATGATCTATCCTTCAGATGTTGGTACAATGAGATGCAAAAGTGAAACACTAAGGAGCAGACAGATTACGAAAACAAGAAAGCTAAATGAAGAAAGGAAGCTGAAGGAAGAGCACATAGATAAACATAAGTTTCATAGCGGTGTTGACACGACATGAGCATTACGCCAAAGAAAGCCTTTCAAGAATAGTAACACAACATAAAGCTCAAGTCTTCTCAACCCAACAAAAAGATTAAGTCATGACACATAAATTATATGTGGTCAACGTCTTCTACATAAAGTTGAACTTCAAATATTTAAGTCTTATTTATTCGGACTTTGTGATTTTTCTTCCTGATTTTTGAAATCATATTCCTTCTTTCATGAGCTCTCTTTTGTTGTTTAGTTTCGTATATTGCAGAATTAGCAAAAGCGATGAAGAATTACACTTTAACAAACACATTATTTATATCCACATTATAGATAATGTAATATGGCACATATGAACTTAATACAAATAATAACTTGAGCTTTCCCGTACGTAGTACGGGGTAAATACTAGTAATTAAATAACCCGCGCGTGAATCTCAACAAGTCTTCTTCTTCTTGTTTCGTTTTTGTGGTCAACGACTCAAAAAGATTGTTTTTGCAACTCAGATTTGGGAGAGAAGCAAGAAAAGATGGGAGCTTTAGGGAAGCTGATCAACATCTCTCTGTTTTTCTTCTTCGCACTGATGGCTATCAATGTACCGCTTCTCAACGGCCAAATACTTTTTCCTGAAATCTACCCGAAGCTCCTCACCGATCTGAAAGACTGGTACAGCTCTGAGTTCAACGATTACCTCTTCATAGAGAAGCCACTTTTCTTCGTCGGACTCGTCTGGCATGAGATCATATTCCTATTGCCTCTCTCCATTGTCAACATCTACGCCATTCTTACCAGCAAGTCGTGGTTTGGTACCACTTCTTTGTTGTATGGAGCTTCTTTCCTCACTTCCATGGTACATTTTATTGGCTCTGTCTATGGATATTTGTTTTATGTATTTGATCCGTAAAGATCACAACTTTTTTGATTTAGAAACGAAAATTCTTCTGGAATTCTATATTTTAGTATATGTGATTGCTCTGCTTCTCTGAATGTTAGAGTAAATTCTTTTTTATGGGTGGAATCACATTATCTTTTCCCTGCACTGAGAAGGCTAGATTGTACTGCTTAGGTTCTGAAGTGTAATCTTGCATTCTTATGGAGTTATGGTTTCTGCTCGAATACTTGTGCTTTGTTTGTATGTTTATTTCTCATTTTGTTTTTGTGTGTTTCTAGGCTGCTATACTTGGAGACATGATAGGTTCAGGGAAGGTAACTAACAAATTGTTATTGGCGTATTTGCCTTTCGTGGGTCTTGCGATTCTGGCAATGCTTCGTGGTCTGGTTTTTTGTTCGACCAAGAGATCCACTGTTTTGGCCAGGAGAAAGCTTGCTTGAGGATAAACCAGGGTGATTTCTCAATTCATAACTTTTCTTTATCACATGGTATTTGATGATCCATGTGAAAACATTATGCCTTGAGAGATTTTGTTTAAGTTAACTCAGCAACAATGATATGTTTTCCTTGGTTGAACTTAACCTAAACATAATCAAAAGGTTAAATGCAATGACCCTTTTGAGACCCTCATTGAGCTTTCCATAGACAAACTCACATAAGATTACAAAGAAAAATGAAAAACCAATACTTGTATAAGATATTTATACAAAAGAAAGACAAACTCCAAATTCCTGATGAGGTTCCATCTAACCACAAGAAGGAAAGAAAAACAGTAACTGTAACACAAAAAGAAATCCGAAAACATCTTTCTAACCTAGTTTTTTTTTTTGCCTAATTCAGTATGTGGCAGGGGAAGTCAATTCCCGAACCTCGTAAAACCATGTGCATATTCACTTTCAAGTAAAAAGTTTTCCACTGCTTACTTTCCATCAAATAAGCAGAACAAAACTCAACACTACAAACACTCAATGGTATATCTTTTGAGGTTCGATCTTGACTCCTCCGCTTTTTCAAACTGAAAACTCTCTTCTTTTTTTCCTTCATCACCGTTTTGTTACTTCCTGCAGAAAAAGAAGAAAAGTATGATTACATGATGGCGTAAAAGCGACAAGAATAAGTTTAGTGAAAGCATTACCTAATGGGTGGTTTTCAAGCAGTCTCACAAGACATGGAAGCTTTGATTCTCTCAACAGTGCAAGCTATTAGATTGTTGACAGTTGCAACAGAGCCAAGAGACAGCTTAGCCGTAGGAACTGAGTCAACCAGAATCTGAAAAGCAACGGTCAAGAGCGATCCTCCATCTCCTCCAGGGACTCCACTATTGGCATTACCATCAGGAAGAATAGCAAAACCTGATGGAAGCAGAGCTACATAGTCCGGATCACCTCCATTAAGCACTATGTTCATCGCTACAATATCGACTGGAGCATAGATCACAAAGGAAGCTGTAGGATCAGTGCAGCTCTCTTGTAGAATCAGCATATTGCTCTGGCTAGAGTTTGCACTCTATGATATAAAGAAAGATTGAAAAGTATTAGCTAGGATCAGATGATTATAACAAGAGTTCAAAACCCGGTTTAACTCACATTTACCCGAAGAAGAGAAACACAGTTTCCGGTATCCCTCCCGTTAGCAATATGCGCCATTTCTTGCACAACTCCTCCATTAGATAGAATATCCCACTGAAAAAACTCATAAAAATATCAAAACTCTGTCCAAAACAGAGCGAGAGAGCGTATTAACTAAAAGAGTTACCTCATTTCTTGAATTCTCATCTCTGAGGAAGTCAAAGACTCGCTTTGGAGGAACAGGGATCCAAAAGGAAGTGGCTGCACTAAGAACAATACCAGGAGGCCTTCCTGGATCATCCACACTCTTCCTAGTCATTACTCTAACATCTTCAGCTCCTGTACCGGACAATGTAGTCCACGTATGAGCGGTTGAAGCACTCACTCCTGCACAAAAGCTTATAACCATCCGCTCCGCCAATTTCAGCATACTCCTCCTCCCTTCTTGGTTAGTTATCACTGCATATTCATCAATATACAACTGTGATTCTGACTCTGATACTGATTATGAGAAAGTGATTATGAAACAAACAGTAGGTTATACCGCCAACTTCTCCAGAGGAAATGTTTGTAGCCATGACACTAGCTAACCGCTCGCATTGGCGGTCAAGAATCGCTACCCAGCGTTTAGCACCAAAGGCATGACCAGTACTAACCATGTGTTTGTATAAGTTATGAACCCCTCTGTCATCAACTTCCACATGCTCCACCCAAGTCACCTGTTACATTACATTCTCTCTACTTAAGTAAACATTTTGAATTTTGTATATGTTGCATGTATAACCTAATGTTTGTATTATATACCTTAGAATATCCATTTGGCATTTCTTGAATCAAACATCCTGAAGCTCGCCGCCTGCATCTAGCTGGGGGATTTGGTTGGAGAGTATCCAAGGAAATATCGACAACCGCCCACGAACCATCTCCTTGTTGTTTACAGTAACGTGCGAAATAGGTTTCACGGGTCGGAACTAATGGAGATGGAACTTGAAACTCTGCAGTCATCTGCAAAACAGAGTGGTTGTTTCAGTTCTAAGTTATTATTTTGGAACTAAATTTTTACAGAATGAAAGCAAAAAAATTACCACTTGAAGAGCTCCATTATAATTTCCTGCAACTCCTGTCGATAAAACCGCTAATGTTATCGCTCTAGAAACCATCCCGGCAAAAATCGTCGACCATTGATTCTGCAACATCATATCAATGTTGTCAAACTAAACAGAGAAGATTGCTTTTGAATATATAAAAAAAATGAAAATGTGAATTACCACATCCATGAGAATCTCAACGATGTTAACATGATTCATGATCACAACCGCGCTTTCTCGCGAAGCTTCAGATCTATATCCAGCTGGTCTAGGTCCGATCCCTCTAGGAAACGTCCGTGCATACTCTTCTTCATCTAAAACCAAACTCTTCCACAGAGGCTCGTCCACTTGAACCATCCTCACGAGTTCTTCCATTGCAGCCACGGCTAAGTCGATGATGACCGGTTTATCAGATTCTGTCGGTGCAGTAATGGACTTAAGGAGATCTGTTGGATTGTTTCCATAAGCTTCTCCTCCAAGATTTCCCATGGCAAGTTCTAGAGGACGTGGAGGAAGAGGAGGCGGAGACATAAGTGGATAGTTTGAGACTGGCTTGCCTACATATTTGGCTGCAATCGCGGATATACGGTCGATCTAGACAGACAAACAAGAAAGAGTATTGATTCATATGGTTTTCAAAGTTGGGTCACAAGAAGAACAAACGTTATGACTTATGTTGTTGTTATCTCAATTTTATTATCATAAATTATAAATAATTGCGTTTTTTCTATTCTTCAATGCAAAAAAAAAAAAAAGTTCTCTAATATCAAGTTTTTGGTTCTATGATTATTAAATAGAGTGAAATGGGAAATGATATTAGGAAAGCGATATAATATTAGTGGTATATTAATGATTTTCGTCTATACCTTTTTCTAATTTAAGTGTAAAAATATCAAAAATCAAAACATGTGAGTAACATTATTTGAACATAAACATTAGAGGATTGGTATAATTACTTAAGATTTTTTAACTGTTCTTTAGTTTGATTCTCTCATACCTCTTCCCTTAATCGAGCATTTTCGAGACGGAGTTGGTGTTCGTCGAAGGACATTTCTCCGATAGCCGTTGGACCACCACAGTTAGGACACGAAGCATTTGCAAGAGCCTCTCGATATCTTAGGTTGTCATTTCGAAGCTTGTCGTTCTCCGCCCGAAGATGCGAGTTCTCGTGCCTCTCGTGATGATTCTGCGCAAATAAAACTCATATTTCCGTTATCTCTATAGTTTTATACAAGTGAGTTATTGCTAATTTGGGTAAAACGAAGCAACATATGATTTTACTAAAAACGAGGAACAAGTAAAAGTTCATAGAAAACACTTGTGTGCACGTTATGTGTTTCACCTTATTTGCATAACGTAAGCATATATGTCCAAAACGTTTCTATCGACAGTTTATGGCTCTACCTTAGCTAATAAATAGGGAATTGTGTTTCAACCAAAAAATTTTCTATGGCTTGATCCGCCAAATATATAGTTCTGCCAAATTAAGAACAACTTTTCAATTGGAAAAAAAAAATATGGAGGAAAAGTAAGAATTTAAGTCAATTATATTGACTTAGATAAAAAAACCTGCCAAAATTATACCAAAGTCAATAAATTCATTCTGAATCCACCCAAAAACCTGTCTCGAGTGTGATTGAGATAAGATCCATAGGTCTAAGTTTAAAGATAAGCCCTTCAATGTATATATACAAGATTTAATAATGAATGGAATAACAATTTAACAAGTATATATATTTTCTCTAAAATAGATCCATTCATTAATGTATATGTGTTGATAATATAAAGTATACCTTCATTTGGGTGCGCTTGTTTTGGAACCAGAATTTGACCTGGAGAGGTTCCAAACCCAATTCACGGCTTAGTTGTTTTCTTTGCTTGTCATCTGGGTGAGGACACTCTTTGAAGAATCTATTTAACAACCAAAACAAAAAAAAATTGTCAAAAAAAGTCAAGAAAATTGAAGTAAGTGAGTAAAATTATATACATACGCTTCCATCTCCTGGATCTGAAGTTGGGTGTGTCGATGATATCGTTTCTTCTTGTTGGGATGAAGAGGATCTTGATCGTTTCCTGATCCTCCTTCTTGATTCTCACTTCCCGATTTAGTATTGGGACTGTCGAATTCATCGTCCCGAAGAAATCCTTCATTGTTGTTGTCTTCATGGTTGTAGTTGTGATTATTGCTATCTGCGTTGTTCATAGCCGCAAGCAACATATTTGGCTCGAACATCTTTTCTTACACTGGAAACTGAAAGAAACCCTAGTAGCAAAAAGGAGTAGAGAGTTTTTGTCAAAAATTAGGGTTTGAAGAAGAAGGGAACTTTCTTCGAGGCTGAAAAATTATGGCAATACTTTTTCCACGTCAACAACTTTAAAACTTTGTTTTGTATGAACAACAACTTAAATCTTTCTTCTTGAAGATCTTACAAAAGGATATAAGCACGGAAAAACGAAGAATTGGAGATGATTGTAGGAAGCAAAGGACCCACTAATTGAAAGCAAGAAAAAAGAGCCTTGCAGAAAAAAGACATCACAATCACATATTAATTTGTTATTAAATAACTAACCCAAAAATAATGAATTTCATATACTCCAAATTATTCAAACCTCCCAATTTTTTCCCTTTTTTAAAGAAAACAAAAAAACTAACCAGCATACCGAAATGAAAACTTTGATTGATTCAAGTCTCAAGAATCATATGTAAAGTAGGAAATCAGTTGATGTCCAAAGAAAAAACTTAAAATTTCTACACTATAATAGCTATGATGGATGGTGATTTAATTTACATTTTCAAGGTATTTGATCAGTTCTGATTTAGATGGGATAGGAAAGAGAAGACGAAAAGAGAAATGTTGGACTCATTTGATCAAAGCAAATAAAATGGGCAAAAAGTAGGTACAAATAAATTCCCAACTCTATCCTGTTTATGAAAAAAACAACATTTTCGTGAGAACAAACAAATGTAATTAGAAATAATCATTAGCAGATTTTTAAATAACAAACGCTCTTCGAGAAAAAAGTGTAAACTACTATTTGGCGATTAAAAGAAAAAAAATTGAAATGAAATAGTATTATATCTGTGCACGGTGCGACGGACCAACATATAGTTATTATACAACTTACAACCAACGTGACATAAGGCCTGGGTGATGTATTAAATTTTTCCAGCTATTTTTTTTCTTCATCATCATCGTATTTAAACGTTTTTATTACACACATAAATATGTAAATGTATACTACTATAAAGTATATACACGTGTTTAATTATATATTAAAACAAAGGTATGGTGAAAATAAGGATATACGAAGAGAATACAAACCTTTAATCTTCTTCTTTATTGTTGTCTTGAAAGTTTCATCTCTGACTATGCAGAAATTGATACGATTATTAACTTTTTTAAAAAAGGTAATTAGAAAGTAAAAATAAATAAAAAAAAATAGGAGAGGAATGAAAAAATATTAGAAGCAAGAAATCAATTAATATTAAAGAATGGAAAATTTAAGACAAATTAAAATAGATGACTAAGTGAAAATTCAACATAGAGGATATATTTAATTATAAAATCATTATGAAAGTGAGAGTTTTATGAAGAAGCTAAGAAATTAAAGAGTAATGGATCCAATACATTAAACAAATAAAAAAGTTTATTTGAATTAATGGATAAAATAACCAAAACAGCAGAAATGATGAGGTTTTCGAGACATACACTGGGAAGACGAAGCAACGAAACCCTAGAGGGAGAGAGGAGTGGAGCGGTGTGTCTGGTCTCTGTGATTTGTTTCTCGGAAAACCGCTGATGGTTTTGTGAAGCGGTTTGTTGGCGAGCGAAGAGTTTGAAAGGTAGGTGCAAAACTTGGATGAAGAGAGAGAGAGGAAAAATGGGAGAGAGATGAGAGAGTAATGGCAGAGAGAATTGAGATGGTGCAATGAAATTAAATGGTGCGAGAGGGACACTTAATTATCCTACACGCTTATAGATAGAGAGAGAGAGCGGACAGATTTGTTACAATTTTTTTTTTTAATAAACATGTACAGTATATTGTTTATGTGTTGTTTTTCATCTTATATGGAGAGACACCAAAATAATTTATTTTATTTTTTAATTTTAATATTATATTTCTGTGGGGAATGACGGCTAACGAGCTATGAAACTAACCTTACATTTATTTATTATATTTATATATGTAGTTGTTTAAAAAAAATCATTAACATTTTTTTATAACTTTTGCATATGAAATAAATCATCACTTAACAAAATTAATTACAGTATATTGAAACTTGCTTAAATATAGTTCTCCATTTACAGAAAAAGCTAGACAATAGTCCCCATTTTTTAAGGATATAATCTACGTTTTAAAAGTAATTTTCTTAAATTTTAATACTCTGAGATTATTATTTATATGGAAGAAATTTTATGTAGATTTTTTAACTAAAATTTAATTTTATTATTACATTGATAGATTCAAGGACTTATTATAGTTAAATATTTATTTTTATGAGATATAAATTTAATTTTTACTTTCAAAATATTTGATTGTTATATTTTGTACTATTTTAGTATTTTTTTATTTAATATCTTTGTTGTAAAATAAATTTAATCGGAAAAAGGTATTTGAAAGAAGAAATTTTCATGATTCTTTTTCCTTATGGCATTTTCTTATATATTATAGAATTTATGTTGTATCATTTAGTCAGACAGAAATTTATTGATTGTATTTATTTTATTTCTTTTAAAAGAAGGAAATCCCAAAATCATCACCTTTTAAATTTTTTTTTCTAGTTTAAGGAAACCAACAATATAATAGTATGATTTCACATTTAACACAGTAAGACTTCATTTTACATGCCTAAGTTTAATTACTTTGTGGCCCAAGCATTTATAACTATAACGTGCAATTAAGCTGTTTAAATACAGATCACCCGTTAAAAAGGTGATAATTTGTAAAAGTCATGCATTCATCGTAATTTATCACGCGAGTATAAAGAAATATACTGCGTATTAACCTCGCTAGTCCTTAACGTACTTTAACACTCAAGTTTTTCTTTTCAACAAGTTAATTTATAGTTTTATGCTAATCTAGATTAATTAAGCTTTAAACATTAACCCTTCTCCCACCAAAAAAAAAAAAACATTAACCCTTCTTTTCTGATTTTCATTTTAAATACTATGTGTATATATACGTACATATACATATATTAATATATATAGATGGAGGGAGTTATACGTACGTATGCGATAGGGTGGCGAATAGTTTCGTCGCATTAAATGTGTACACAGAGGCTGCATGGGCTTGAGGCCATTTACTGCTCTCATGCCTCTCTTGCACTTAACCTCCTCTTCCTTATTCGTACTCTCCTACTAAGAACACTAATAATTCAACGCCTAACATTTCAGTTTTATTTTCCCGGCTACTCCACTACAATCTATTTCAAAACGAAATGCTACAATACTATTCACATTCATGTACAATGACCAAAAGTTGCGTCACCGCAAAAATTTGATACATCCATAAGTTTTCGTATAATTTTAATTAAAATTCTTAGGGTGATAAACGATCTTCAATAACGACTAATTTTGTTTCATTCTCGGAAACTCTCAAAATATTCAAAACCGTTGTCATTTTTCTAGTTAACGACGAAGATAGGGTGTTTTCTTGGATCAATTCAATTATTCAAATATGAGATTCATAATGGAATATTTTTGTTGAAAAATGATGCTTTTTGTAATAAATTCGAAATCGTAGGTGTATTTTGTTTCTCGGCTTCCTAGATGGGCCATAAGATAGATGGAAGTAAACTTTTGGCCCATTATAGATTTTATCCCAAACGAGTGGCCGAAAGTCTCATACTCGGAGAGTGGGGAGATAGTTAAGCAATATGTTTTTTTTTTGTTTTGCGTTAGTCTGTAGGACGACTTGTTCACAAGATGGCTGTATATTGTAATATCCAATTACTGAATTCAGCAACTTGGATGGTTTTCTATGAGAATGCAAGAACGTGGATTCCACATACTATAACAGTTTATTATAGTTTTTAACTTTGAGAGCTAAGGACTAATTAATATAATAATTCCCCTAACTACATGTTCTCCAAAGTCAATAGCTTTTCAAAGCGCAAAAGATGATTTGAAGCTTTTTTAGTCGTCGCATGGTTTTGAGTTTTTTCTAATTCTGATTTTTTTAAATATTCAATTCAACCACCAGCAGAGATCAAGAAGATAGTGGAGGCCATGCAATGTCCTCCTCGGCCTCCTCTGTTTTTGAAACCTAATTAAGAAACAGAGGAATAATGCAAATGGGTTTTATCTAAATCACATTAGACATTTCTCCATGGACTATTTCAATGCCTCTGGATGATCTATAAAAGGCCTGGGAATGTCTCCTTCATCTTCATCTCCAAGCTCGATCTCACCTTTCTTGGCTAGCACTCAACAAAGCAAAACGAGCTAAGAAAGGACATAGAGATGGCGAGCAAGAACCTTCTGGCCCTTGTGGTGCTTCTTAGCGTCCTTGGAGTTTCTGTTGCCATTCCAAAGTTGAGCCTTGACCTCGACTACTACCGGTATAAGTGTCCCGACGCAGAGCGCATTGTTCGTCGTGTCACAGAACAATATGTTTCTCGCAAGCCAAGCCTTGCCGCTGCACTTCTAAGGATGTATTTTCATGATTGTTTCGTCAGAGTAAGCTTCACTTCACTAGCTCGAGACTTTAACAATGGATTCGAAAAACTAGTCCTAACCTCTTTTGTGTGATTCATGTAGGGATGTGATGGTTCCGTTCTTCTGAAATCTCCAAACAAGGATGCGGAAAGAGACGCTATCCCCAACCTGTCTCTGAGAGGCTATGAAGTGGTGGATGCCGCCAAGACAGCGCTCGAGAAGAAGTGTCCCAACCTCGTTTCTTGCGCTGATGTTCTTGCCTTGGTCGCCAGAGATGCCGTCGTTGTGGTAACATTTTCGCATTGGACTGACTGATTCCAAAATCAAAGAGTAGTATGTATATGTTAATAACTTGTTATTGTATGTTGCCTTTTAACAGATCAAGGGACCATGGTGGCCGGTTCCATTGGGCCGCAGGGATGGACGCATCTCGAAATTGAACGATGCATTGCAACATTTACCATCTCCTTTCGCCGACATAAAAACGTTGAAGAAGAACTTTGCCGTTAAGGGTCTTAACACTAAAGACCTTGTCGTTCTCTCAGGTATTAATTTCTACGGACAACACCTTATATATGATCTCAAAAAGTTATCAATTTGAAAGCTGAACAAAAATGGTTTCTTGTGTAGGGGGTCACACCATTGGAATCTCCAATTGCGCTCTCGTCAACGCACGTATCTACAACTTCACAGGAAAGGGCGATTTTGATCCAGCCATGAACCCTAGCTACGTTAGGGAATTGAAGAAAAAGTGCAAGCCCACTGATTTCAGATCCACATTGGACATGGACCCAGGCAGTGCCAAGAAATTCGACACTCACTACTTCAATGTCGTGGCTCAGAAGAAAGGTCTCTTCACATCTGACTCGACCCTTCTCGATGACGTTGAGACCAAGCTCTACGTTCAGACTCAGGTCGCTACCGGTGGGATCTCTTTCAACAAAGACTTCTCCGATTCCATGGTCAAACTTGGTTTCGTCCAAATTCTTACCGGCAAAAATGGTGAGATCAGGAAGAAATGCGCTTTCGTTAACTAATTTGTCTCGATGAGACGGTTTTCGGCTGATTTGAGTCTTAAAGTTTTCTGCTTATTTATCTTCTTTATTTCTTTCACGGAAGTTGAGCTTTGGTGTTGTGTTCTGTTTTCTTCAATGAATAATTGTATTCTATTGAGTAACTTAACTTGTATTCTTTAAGGTGATCACTACGTTTGTAATGGAAAACGTTTGTTCCACTTTGAGTTTCTTAATTGAGTTTTTAATCCCGTTGAACCTAAACCAAACAAAAATAATAATTGGAAAGGAAAACATTTGGCTCACTTGAAAAAAAAATATCTTTGAAAAATCTGTGATGGAAATTAAACAATTAAATTTTTTTTTTAAAAAAACTGATTAACTTAGCTTTTTTTCTTAAAATTTTAGTTTTTAGAATGCTTTAATTACCCACTACAGGAATATTGGTTTTTAATAGCATTGCAAGATAGGTTTTTATGTAGTAGTGACTGTTTAAATTTTAGTTATCAGAATAGTTTCTTTTCTTTTCGTCGCCGTTTAGATGCTTTAAAAATAATGGGTGGGTTGTTGCCAATGCCCTACTCTTAGGTGAAAGCTTATCTATAGGTAGTGCAAGTGATTGGCTTGTGAAATAATATCAATTGCTTGTACAATAACCATGTTAAGAAAATGGGTTTTGAATATGTCAGAAACTCATAATGATGCTTGTACAAATCCATGAAGTACATGTTAATGTTAAAATTGGTAATGAATGGACTACCTCATGTCTTTTATATGTATTATTCTAAGTCTCGCCTCATCTTATTTCCGATGTGATATTTCTAACTCATGGTATGGTTAGAAAAAGCTTATGATGGGAAACACATAAGAATAATGGTGGGTTAAAACCAAGATAATGGACATGTTATAAGTCATGTTCAAGATTTGAAATATGAATCCTCATTACATGTTAAATATTTTGAAAAGTATATTTTGGGTTGTTGATTTTAAACTAATTCGCTATGACAAATCAACAACCCAAAATATAATTGAGGGATTTAAAAACTCAATTAAGAAACTCAAAGTGGAACAAACTGATATGTCATGGATTTTACCGATTTTATCCATGATATATGTGTCAGTTTCAGAGTATTTTTGTTGTTTTTAGAGTCTTATCTAGTATTTTCAGGTTTTTACACGTTCGGGACAAATTTTGAGATAAGGAACATTCTGGAGCTAAACCGGAGATTAAGAACTGAAGAAACGAATTTGGTGTCATACCAAAGCATGAGTATCGACCGACACCACACGCGGCACAACAAAAGTCTCGACTGTTTAAGAGTTTTAAAGTCCGAAGAATCAACCCAGAATACTTCTCTATTTGTAACTCAATTAAGAAACTCAAAGTGGAATAAACGTTTTCCATTACAAACGTAGTGATCACCTTAAAGAATACAAGTTAAGTTACTCAATAGAATACAATTATTCATTGAAGAAAACAGAACACAACACCAAAGCTCAACTTCCGTGAAAGAAATAAAGAAGATAAATAAGCAGAAAACTTTAAGACTCAAATCAGCCGAAAACCGTCTCATCGAGACAAATTAGTTAACGAAAGCGCATTTCTTCCTGATCTCACCATTTTTGCCGGTAAGAATTTGGACGAAACCAAGTTTGACCATGGAATCGGAGAAGTCTTTGTTGAAAGAGATCCCACCGGTAGCGACCTGAGTCTGAACGTAGAGCTTGGTCTCAACGTCATCGAGAAGGGTCGAGTCAGATGTGAAGAGACCTTTCTTCTGAGCCACGACATTGAAGTAGTGAGTGTCGAATTTCTTGGCACTGCCTGGGTCCATGTCCAATGTGGATCTGAAATCAGTGGGCTTGCACTTTTTCTTCAATTCCCTAACGTAGCTAGGGTTCATGGCTGGATCAAAATCGCCATTTCCTGTGAAGTTGTAGATACGTGCGTTGACGAGAGCGCAATTGGAGATTCCAATGGTGTGACCCCCTACACAAGAAACCATTTTTGTTCAGCTTTCAAATTGATAACTTTTTGAGATCATATATAAGGTGTTGTCCGTAGAAATTAATACCTGAGAGAACGACAAGGTCTTTAGTGTTAAGACCCTTAACGGCAAAGTTCTTCTTCAACGTTTTTATGTCGGCGAAAGGAGATGGTAAATGTTGCAATGCATCGTTCAATTTCGAGATGCGTCCATCCCTGCGGCCCAATGGAACCGGCCACCATGGTCCCTTGATCTGTTAAAAGGCAACATACAATAACAAGTTATTAACATATACATACTACTCTTTGATTTTGGAATCAGTCAGTCCAATGCGAAAATGTTACCACAACGACGGCATCTCTGGCGACCAAGGCAAGAACATCAGCGCAAGAAACGAGGTTGGGACACTTCTTCTCGAGCGCTGTCTTGGCGGCATCCACCACTTCATAGCCTCTCAGAGACAGGTTGGGGATAGCGTCTCTTTCCGCATCCTTGTTTGGAGATTTCAGAAGAACGGAACCATCACATCCCTACATGAATCACACAAAAGAGGTTAGGACTAGTTTTTCGAATCCATTGTTAAAGTCTCGAACTAGTGAAGCAAGCTTACTCTGACGAAACAATCATGAAAATACATCCTTAGAAGTGCAGCGGCAAGGCTTGGCTTGCGAGAAACATATTGTTCTGTGACACGACGAACAATGCGCTCTGCGTCGGGACACTTAGACCGGTAGTAGTCGAGGTTAAGGTTCAACTTTGGAATGGCAACAGAAACTCCAAGGACGCTAAGAAGCACCACAAGGGCCAGAAGGTTCTTGCTCGCCATCTCTATGTCCTTTCTTAGCTCGTTTTGCTTTGTTGAGTGTTAGCCAAGAAAGGTGAGATCGAGCTTGGAGATGAAGATGAAGGAGACATTCTCAGGCCTTTTATAGATCAGCCAGAGGCATTGAAATAGTCCATGGAGAAATGTCTAATGGGATTTAGATAAAACCCATTTGCATTATTCCTCTGTTTCTTAATTAGGTTTGAAAAACAGAGGCCGAGGAGGACATTGCAGGCTCTCCACTCTCCACTATCTTTTTGATCTCTGCTGGTGGTTGAATTGAATATATAAAATAATTGACTATTGTTTTTAACATAAAATAATGTCGTTTCACCATATAAAACGGAATTCTTCACATTAGACATGTCCGAATGTCTTGCACGTTAGCTTCTTGTTGACATGGTTTAAACGACAACTCATATAATAACATTAGAAATATATCTTTTTGGAGTAACTAAGACCCAACTTGCGAATTAAATTCTTAAGTAATTTCTTTGGGCAAAATTGAATAGTTGAATATATTCTATAACGTGTGTGGAACACACGTTCCGTGACTATTCATGTAGACGTCAGGTCATGGAAGAGGTTTACTTAGTCGCTAGAAAAATAACGAACCAGTCCACAAAATCAACTAGACAACGAGGCAGAACCGGCCGACCCGAACAGAAATCTGCAAATCCACATATATCTAACATGTTTGGCCCCGGTGCGATTTGTTTCCGCTTATAAATTACACGGAAATTCCTTATTTCGAGATATTTCGAAAACAATTTTTTTTTTTTTTTTTTTTTGGCAACAACAGTTATAAATTTAAAGATTTCATTTTTCAATATATTCTCTAGCCTCCTTTATTTTTCCATGATAAATATCTAAAAAAATCCTCTCGTTTTTGTTTGTCTAAAATCATGGGTTTCGTTTTGTAAAATCCACATATATCAGTTTATCAGAAGATGCCAACGTTTGACCGACTTTAAGAAATAAATTGGCGTGTTAATCTGACGAAACGCCACTCCTGATGATAGGAAAATAAATTGAGCAGTTGAAATGCTCTCGTCGGTTTATGAATAATTCAATTCTATAGAGCAGTTGTGTGAAATTTTAATTTGTTCTCCACTTCTTATATAATACAATGTTTTAATATCATTGCGCATGTTACAAACAAAGATTAGGCATCAAGATATAAGAAACAGCAGTTTAGGACAAAACAAAAATTCCAAAAAAAAAGTATACGTTGTAAAGTTGGACATATATATTAGAATTATGTTCTATTGTATCGGTTATGACTTATACTATTAAAATTTTCAAAGAAAAGTGTTTATTTTAATAATGTTATTTCAGTTAAAAACATGCATTAAAATATTGAATTCGGATAGTGATATAACAGCAACACTAACAGTTTATCACAACACTAATAATCTTGGAATACTCTCTTGCTCATTAGCAAGTGTGTTCGTTTGCGGCCCTTTTAGTTGTACTACTGGGATTAGGTCGAGTAAGTACTGTAATTTTGGAAGAAAAAAAAAGATCAGTGATATCACGAAACCGAGTTGTTTTTTTTTTTGGTCTGGGAAGATGTCGGCCAAAACGAGTTGTTTTTTTTTTTTTTTTGGCCAAAAACGAGTTGTTTATAACCAAAAAAATATAAATGAAACGAGTTGTTCTTCAGTGAAAAATTAAAGTACTTATGTCTTGAGGCGATTGATCATCCTGAAATTTAGAGTATTCAAGATTTACCAATTCTAGTACTCTCGACCTAAAGAAACTAATCTAAAATAAGATTTCATATAATCTCAATTATGTATAATTTTTTGTTGTTGTTGGTTAATATGACATAATAACGCTCAATACTTTTAACTAAATTCAGCTAATCTTTCTAATTTACTAACTTAATTACTATAACCTACTGTTGTCTTGACTTTTTGTTATTGATGATTATGACATCATAACGCTCAACACAATCTATTGCGTTTTGGTATATAAAGAACAAAAATCGTTGATTATGACATCATAACGGTCAATACTCAATACAATCAAATTAGTTTAGCTAGACTTTCTATGTTACTAACTTACTATACCTTGACTTATGGACCAAACACTCACCATCTTTTAGCATATCTAATACTTATTTTATCATAGTTGACAAAATAAATTACCTATATTATTATAATAATTACTATAAGTAGATATAATTAGTTAGAGGATTTGAAATTTGCGTTTTAGTATCGGGGTTTATTTTTGTTATTTTTGATAATAGCGAAGCTACGTGTTTTAGAACATAAAAATACAAATTACAGGAAAATAAATATAAGTGGAAAGACGTAAACTTTAATTAACTAAAATAAAATAATAAAAAAATCTTCCAACTTTCCTAATTGATGTGTAACATGATATTCATTAGTAAGAGTACTATAAAACCATTTTTGTAATTATGAATATAAAATTTCAAATTTTCATTGTGAGTGGCGTTGTTTATGAATTTATGAGTCAGAAAAATAAGAAAATTAAATAGAAAAAGAGCAAATGTTAGAACTGTTAGTTCAGCTTTTAGATGGACCCATCTGCACTATCAAACATACAAAACCTTCTATATAAACCTAGAAGATAAATCGGAAAAACACTTAAGAACAAAAGAGAGAAAAGAGAAAAATACTTTTGCTCGTAGAAAATGAAATGAAGAAATGAGGGGTGAGAGGATAGTATTTAAAGAGGGAGAAGGGCGGTTACTCAAGGAAAACCATCATTAGCCATGCGACGCGTCGCAACAATTTTGACTCCCGCATCATCTCCACGCGCGATGCTTTGACATCTCTAAGATCCAAGACATTCCAATTTCTAGGCGAGCGTTTCAAAACTATGACTCGGAGCTCGTCACCGCACGATATCACAAAACTGGGCGGACGTGGGAGATACGGAGAGAGTACACATTGATCTCCCAGCTAAGAACATCAATTTGCCGAGCTCACTATTCGTCGAACTGCACCGCTCGTTTAAAGCTGTTTACAGTCCGACTTCGACCGACCATTTGTTTAATAAATCCTACGAATAACTTCCTCTATAATCCAGTCCGTATTTGCTTAAGTTTAGGTTCGCTATAAAGAGAAATTCTTCTTACTTCTCTTGAGATCCCATTTACTATTTGTTTGTTTTCGTACATCAAGGAGGTATTCATTGTCATCAACTCTAAAGATTAAAAAGAACAAAACAATAAATAATTTGTTGTCATGTGTGGGGCACACATTCGTCTTCTCGGTCTGCCGTCTGCATTATCTTTTCTTCTGTTCCATCAATTTCTCTTTCTCCATCCTCTGTCTCCTTGTCCTCTTTAGGTTTTGTAATTATATAAATAGAACAGCAAACGTGAAATGCAAACATAAACAGTAAATTCTTTCAGTTGCACACAGGCACAATATATTTTTCAGTTGCACAAAGAAAAAAAAAAAACAAACACACGCACAATATATTTTGCAATCGAACTGAAAACATGATCAAGGTAAAACAATTAGTTAATATATTTTTCAAACAAATGTGAGTGTCTCTTTAGTTTTGGGTTTAACGAAGGCGCATCTCTTCCTGATCTCACCCTTTTCCCCGGTAAGAATTTGGACGAAACCAAGTTTGACCATCGAATCGGAGAAATCTTTGGGGAATGAAGAGCCAGCGGTAGCAACCTGTCTATCGATGTAGCTTTTGGTCTCAGGGTCATCGAGAAGTGTTGAGTCAGATGTGAACAAACCCTTCTTTTGAGCCACACTGTCGAAGTAGTGAGAGTTGAACTTCTTGACACTGCCTGGGTCCATCTCCACTGGGGTCTTAAAATCATTAGGCTTGCACCTTTTCTTCAATTTTCTGACGTAGCTCGGGTTCATCGACGGGTCAAAATCGCCTTTGCCCGTAAAGTTGTAGATACGCTTGTTGATGAGACCGCAATTAGAGATTCCAATGGTGTGACCTCCTGCTCAAGAAACCATTATATATTATTCAAGTTGGTAACTTTTAGATTGCACTATATGTATAAGGTATTTGTTGAACCTGAGAGAACGACGAGGTCTGTAGTGTTAAGACCCTTGGCGAAGAAGCCCTGTTTCAGGGCAGCTATTCTAGCGAAAGGCGAAGGTAAGTTAACCTCGGAACGTCTTGAGATGCGACCATCCCTCCGACCCAATGGAACTGGCCAACTTGGTCCGTTGATCTGTGAAAGGCAACAAAAAGAAGTTTTAGTACTCTAATTTCAATGATTTTGGAATGAGAAGAATCTGTCCATTATGAAAAGTTATGTACCACTGAGACGGCGTCTCTCGCCACTAAGGCGAGAATATCAGCGCAAGAAACCACTCCGGGACATTTCTTCTCGACCGCTGACTTGACGGCATCGACCACTTCAAAGCCTCTAAGGGACAGGCTGGGGAGAGCGTTTATTTCCGCATCATTGTCTCGAGATCTTAGAAGAACGGAACCATCACATCCCTACATGAACCATCAAAAATGTTGGCAGTGTTTTCCACACATATATTTATTAAGTATAGTCTCAAAGAATCAAACGTACTCTGACGAAACAATCATGAAAATGCAACCTTAGAAGCGCGGCAGCAAGACTCGGCTGGCGAGAAACATATTGAACTGTGACACGGTGGACAATGGCTTCAACGTCAGGACACATGTGTTTGTAGTATTTAAGGTGAAGTCCCTTTTGAGCAACTGATACTCCAAGGACACTTAGAAGAACCACAAGAGCAAGAAGGTTCTTTATCGCCATCTCTTCTCTCTCTTCTCTTCTCTTCTCTTCTCTCGTTAGCCAAGAGGTCAGAACGAGTTAATTTTGTAGATGAGGAGGATGGAGAAAATTTCATGCTTTTTATAGAAAATCAAAGATGTTGAAAACATTAAACATCCATTCCATATAGAGAAATGTCAAATGGTATTTAGATACAACCCATTTGCAGTGGCATTGCAGGCCTCCATTTCTTCCAAGAAAATGAAGACTTCGAGAATAGTAAAAATATTGACTATTCCCTGTGAAAGCATTCCAAAGCACAATTGACTATTGTTTAGAACATATAAAATATTGTCATTTCACCATATAAAACGGAGTTCTTCACATTAGACATGCACGAATGTCTTGCACGTTATCTTCTAGTTGACATGGTTCAAACGACAACTTATAAAATAAAATAACATTAGAGTTATCTGTTTTCACTTTTCAGTAACTAAGATCCAACTTGCTAATTAAAGTCTCAAGCAATTTCTTTGGCAAAATTGAATATATCCTATACGTGTATGGAAACACACGTTCCGTGATTATCCTCGTCGACTCGACGTCAGGTACTGGAAAGATGGCCTTTTACTGAGTCCCTAGAAAAATAACGAACTTATCCACAAAACTTTTAAAACAAATTGAAAAAATGGTATATAATGTAGTAAAATATACAAAAAAAAAAAAAAAAATACTATGAACAGTTAGGCAGGACCGGCCGACACACGACCGGAAATCCACATATTCATAACAGATTTGCCGACCTTATGAATTACAGGTATAAACCTTTTTCAAGATATTTCCATGATAAATATCTTCGTGATTTTTTTGTTTGTTTAAAATCATGGGTTTCTTTTAGTAAAATCCACATACATCATCAGTTTATGAAAGATGCCAACGTTTTAACCGACCTTAAAAAATAAATTGGCGTGGTGATCTGACGAAACGCCACTTCTTCTGATAGGAAAATAAATTGAGCAGTTGAAATGCTCTTGTCGGTTTATGAATAATTCAATTCTGTAGAGAGCAGTTGTGTGAAACTCTAATTTGTTCTCTACTTCTCCTTATAATACAATGTTTTAATATCATTTCGCATGTTACAAACAAAGATTAGGCATTAAGATATAAGAAACAACAATTTAGGACAAAACAAAAATTCCAAATATATATACGTTGTAAAGTTGGACATATATATTAGCATTATGTTCTAACGTATCGGTTAGGACTTATACTATTAAAATATTTTAAAGGAAAAATGTTTATAAAATTTATTTAATAATTTGTTTCAGTTCAAAACATGCATTACGAGATTGAATTCGGATAGTGATATAACGGCAGCAGAAAGCCACTAACAGTCTATATCACAAACTATTAGACTACGTGTCCTACAGTTCATACATATATATAAGTAATAAGCTTAACAAAACAAATTAATTTTACTACGACCGACCATATAATTAGCATCTGAAATTTCAATTAGTATATCTCTACCAAATCTCAGTCAATCTTACATACTTCTCTATACATCAAGGAACAATTAAAAATATAAAACAAGAATAATAATCTTGGAATACTCTTGCACAAAAAACAAAAAAAACAAAAAAAAAAAAATCTTGGAATACTCTCTTGCTCATTAGTAAGTGTTCGTTTGCGGCTCTTTTAGTTGTACTACTAGGGATTAGGTCGAGTACGTACTTTAGTTTAGGAATTAAAAAAGATCAGTGATATCACGAAACCGAGTTGTTTATAAACAGAAAAAAAAAAAAACGAAATGAGTTGTTCTTTTGTGAAAAAATTAAAGTACTTTATGTCTTGAAGCAATTGATTATCCAAAAATTTAGAGTATTCAAGATTACAAATTCTATAAAAAAAAAAAAGATTACAAATTCTAGTACTCGACTAAAATAAATCAATCTAAAATAAGATTTCATATAATCTCAATTATATATAATTTTTGGTTGTTATTGTTGTTGATTATGACATCATAACGCTCAATACTTTTAATTAAATCCAGCTAATTTCTATGGTACTCACTTACTATAACCTACTGTTGGCTTGATCTTTTGTTATTGATGATTATGACATAATAACGCTCGGCTCAACACAATCTATTGCGTTTTAGTATATAACAAAACAAAAATCGTTGATTATGACATCATAACGGTCAATACAATCAAATAAGTTTAGCCAGACTTTCTATGTTACTAACTTACTATAGCTTGATTTATGGACCAAACATTCACCATCTTTTAGCATATCTAATACTTATTTTATCACAGTTGACAAAAGAAATTACTTATTTTATAACTATAAGTAGATATAGTTAGTTAGAGGATTTGAAATTTTGCGTTTTAGTATCAGAGTATATTTTTGATATTTTTTTATAATATTAGAAAACAAATTCGCTACGTGTTTGAGAACATACAAATTAACAAATTACAGGAAAATAAATATAATTGGAAAGACGTAAACTTTAATTAACTTCAAAAAAACTCTTTCAACTTGCCTCATTGAAGTGTAACATTATCTATTCATTAGTAAGAGTACTATAAAACCATTTTTGTAATTTATGTATTAAAAAAAAAATCAAATTTTCATTGTGAATGGCGCTGATTATGAGTCAGAAAAATAAGAAATATAAAATAGAAAAAGAGCACATGTTAGTTAGCTTAGATGGACCCATCTACACTACCAAACATACAAAACCTTCTATATAAACCTATTTTCACGTCTAAATAGTACACAACATAATCCTCCCACACAGACAGAGAGTCAAAACCCCACAAATCTAAAGATGAATTGCTTGAGAGCTATAGCTATTTCACTCTTTTTCTTTCTTGTAGGAATGGTTGGACCGATCCAAGCTCAATTGCAGATGAATTTCTATGCCAATTCTTGTCCTAATGCTGAAAAGATTGTTCAAGATTTTGTTTCAAACCACATTTCTAATGCTCCTTCTCTTGCTGCTGCTCTCATTAGAATGCATTTCCATGACTGTTTTGTCCGAGTACACTCTTTTTTTCCCTTTTTTGTTTTCTTTATATTAAATTGTGGAACATTCTGAATCGCTACGAAACTAATTAATGACGGATATACATGTAGGGTTGTGATGGATCAGTGCTTATAAACTCAACGTCAGGAAACGCAGAGAGAGATGCAACTCCTAACCTAACGGTTCGAGGGTTTGGCTTCATCGATGCAATTAAAACTGTGCTTGAAGCTCAATGCCCTGGAATTGTCTCTTGCGCTGATATTATTGCTCTAGCATCTCGTGACGCTGTCGTTTTTACCGTAAGCATCATATTCACATAACTGTAGATTACAAATATGTCTTAGTGTTTCTCATCATAAATTTGACCTAATTGGTATGTTGTAGGGAGGACCGAATTGGAGTGTACCAACCGGAAGAAGAGACGGGAGGATATCAAACGCATCGGAGGCATTAGCCAACATTCCTCCTCCGACCAGTAATATCACTAATCTTCAGACACTCTTTGCAAACCAAGGACTTGATCTTAAGGACCTTGTTTTACTCTCCGGTAAAGCCTAAATTATTGAGTGTTTTAAAAGAAATTAATAGTTGCGTTTAAGATTTTTATAAAACATGTGTAAATCATAGACACAAAAAAAAGGACTAAAAATGATGGTTTCACAATAACCAAAAAATAATTATAATTATTGTTTCAATAAAAAAATTTAGAAATGTAATGTTTTTCTTATATAGAAAACATTTCAACCTATAGTTCCAAGATGTATTTAAAAGAAATAATTTTGTTATAACAGGGGCTCACACTATCGGTGTATCTCACTGCTCGTCTTTCACAAACCGTCTCTACAATTTCACGGGTCGTGGAGACCAAGATCCAGCCTTAGACGGCGCATACGCAGCCAATCTCAAGTCTAGGAAATGTCCTAGCCTCAACGACAACAAGACCATCGTTGAGATGGATCCAGGGAGCCGCAAAACATTTGATCTTAGTTATTACCAGCTCGTTCTCAAGCGTAGAGGTCTGTTTCAGTCAGACTCTGCTCTCACCACTAACCCCACAACACTCTCAAACATAAACCGGATCTTGACGGGTTCGGTGGAGAGTTTCTTCTCTGAGTTTGCCAAGTCGATGGAGAAAATGGGTCGGATCAATGTCAAGACTGGTTCAGCTGGAGTGGTTAGGAGGCAATGTTCCGTTGCAAATAGTTAAGGGGTTAATATGTAAAAGATTTGGGAGTTTGTGGGGTAGTTGTGAGAATAATAAAAGATGATGATTGTGATGTGGCCTTTTGGGATTTGTGTGTATGGATTTTGTGATTGATTTCGTCAATAAAGAAATAAAAAATATTAGTGTGTTTTTTCAATATTTGGCTTGTCGTGTAGGAATCATGACATTTTAGTTGGTTTGAGTAACACTGCCATTTTGTGGATAGAGTTATCTGCAACCGAGAGAGGATCCAGATTGTTTAATTGCTTTTAGTGGCAGTTTTGACACGAGTATTTTCACCTACCCCTAGCTCAGCTCGGATTACTACTTCCAATTATCTAAAGAAAATACCGAAACATCAAAAAAAGAAAAAAAGCTTTATTATTTTCATCAACAAACGTACAAAAGTGAGAAAAAAGAAAAAAAAAAAGAAAGAAAAAAAAGAGTAAACGAGTGTAAAAGTTATTTGAGTTTGTAGTATCATTCCTTGGTATGGCTCAGGAGAATGAAGAGAAAAACTCTGCCCCAATTACAATCTTTTTCACCTTCTTCTTGCAAGAAGTATACCCGAAACTATAGCTGTCCCTGCAACTGCAATTGCCACTGATGATATTATCCTCTTTATCGTAAACACTGACTTGTCGCTCGGTATCTCCATTAGATCATTCATCTGCAATTTCAGTGAAATGGAAATAAAGCACAATCCAAAACAAAATAAGCTCCTCCATTCAGATATTGAAATGACAACAAACCGTTATAGGTTGCTTCCAATTCTTCTTGATTCCATTAATATGCCCTTTTCCAATAACTGCCACTACAGAACTATGCTCACTTGCAACTCTCAGTAACGAGGATGCCATGTACCTGCAAATTTCATATATCAGGAGATATTTTGGATGTGAAGTTGATGAAAAAATCGTTAAATCTTCTCTATATTTGCTACAACCGGCATTTCTATTTTAGTTTACGAATCTGATAAACCACATAGAGGATGTAGAGAATACTAACTGGTCTCGCTCATGCACAATTGTTTCCATGAGAGTTGGAAATTCCTTGCTCATTTCTTGAATTACCAAAGTCACCATATCCACATTGTCCATATCTTTCAGCTGAACCAGTCCAATTTACCATTAATCGATATTCAGAATCAATGTATACTTGTTGTTACGACAAAATCACACCCATTTACATGTGCAGAAAAAGAATACACTAAGACTTACCATTTTCTCGAGTTCCTCGGCGCTGGGCAAGAAGACAGCTTGAAAGAGTATGGAGTATAAAAACTTTACCTTGTGCCATAGAGGCATCTTGGCCCATGTTCTTTTTAACGTAATCTGCTTCGACAAAATACAAATTTAATGAGTATACTGAGGAATGCTTTTAGAGATGCGACTCCATGTTATAAGATGCATAACATTACTAAAATAGTGTTTTAAAACTACGGACAAACATATAACCTGTACAGGACGATCACCAAGTATCACCTTGCCGCCATATTTAATCGCCTCTTCATACGCCACACGAAATTCAGCACCAGGAAAAACCTCAAGATGACTGGCGATCTAACAGAAGGAAAGGATGTAAATTTATGGTTCAGAAAGTTAAAGCTTCCCTCAATAAAAAAATTGATTAACGAAACCTGCCTTTGCAAGAAACCATCCATAAAGTATTCCAAATGTGTTCTGTTTCTGCTTCCAACTTTCTATCATGTCCGACATGGTTGGAATCTATAAAAGCAAATATAGTACCATTTCAGAATATGCAAAAGGGCTAGAACCGTGTATAAGTACTTGGATCTGTGATATATCATTACCAAAGCATAGCATATAGAGCAAGTGACGTACATGCATCATAGAATGATAGAAATTTCATTTAAGAAATAGGCAGCCTCTGCTTTGTGATTAGGAAAGAAATTTTGGCAAGACTAATCATTATAAATATAGACAGAGACACCAATTAAATTAATCATCTTCTACCAAAAGAGGTAGCAATGATACACATTCTTTTCCAGAATCTCACACAATGATAGATGGCCATAATTTACAAAGAAGTAAACCAAATAGGAAAGAAGAAGCAGAATCAAAATTGTGAAAAGCAAACCTTCAAAGTCTGAGGTTTGAGAACAGACAATCGGCTCGAACACAACTCCACGAAGACAACCTGTGATATCAACAACTTGCTTAGACCTGAACATAGACATAAAAATATCAAACTTCAGTCCTCAATGAACATCTAAAGAAAAGAACCTCTGGTTTCAAGATGCTGATTATTGCTTCAACTTCAAGACAGGATTGCTGCAAGCAAGGATATACAGGATTATTCCACGATGAAAGACTGAATGCTAATCATTTTATTTTTCTGGCCTAAACAATCAAACAAAACCCAATCTTGCTGAATTTAGCAATCTTTTCCAGAAGCTAAAGATTTATTACTAAATCCAAAAACCCTAACTCCATTTTCGGTAACTGTTCTGACACAACCAAAAACATGAATTCAGCATTATTTCCCCAAAAAGGTTTGATAGATTTCTTGAATCTCAGATACAATTTCAGCTTTCTCTGAATCGTTCACTAGTTACCATTACCAATCCTAGTTTAATTCCAAGACAGCTCCTTTGCAAATTAAGAAACAAACGAAATCGAACGAGGATTACCTTTGATACATGAGCAGTACCAACCAAGTACACATCGCAAGATCCACCATCCGCTGTGGACTCGCACGTCAGAATCACAACGCTTTTCGCCAATTCCTCCGGTAGCTCCACTTTAATCGTCTCCGATGAACTCTCGCCGCCATCACCATCTCCTCCACCGCCATCGCCGCCGCTAAACACAGAATCGGAGCCTCTAAATTCTTCCTCCGCCGCCTCGTCGAGCAGTTCATCTTTATCCACATTCACTATGCTGTCGCTTAACGAGATATCGCCGGTAGTCCTTGGGTCATCGATGTGAACGAAGTCCTCTCCAGAATGAACCTCCGGCTCCGACGACGGCGATGATTGCGTCGGCTCTATCGTCATCGAAATCGAGGAGATGATGGCAGATTTAGTAATAATGAAGAATCCAGAGGGCGAAGATAAAGATTGAGATCACGCAAATGGTTAGTTATCTCTAAGAAAGAAACAAGGCAAGGTATAACACGGTTACGCTAATTAATAATAGTACTTTAATAAAATTACATTAATCAATTTACTATTAATTTCCAATTATGCTTTAACCGGTTAACCGGATTTGTGTTTGGCCCGGGTCAATACGGTCGCATTTCAATTTGTTTTTCCTTTTTTTTTTTTTGCTCAGTTCCTTTTCTTTTTCATTAAAATTAGTATTAAACTTGGAAAAAAATGAAATTCTATGAATGTTAACATGGTATTCAAATTTTCTCAACTTTCATGAAATTCTATGAATGGACAAGACTGTGTGAATGTGACTTGATACCATTGTATACACTCTACACTTCTATTTGAAGACTCTAGCTTTTAAAAGGGAAACAAACTGTAAAAGTGAGAGACTGAGAAATCATCTTGGATTCTTAGCTTGTAATAGAAGTAAATTGTCATTCTTAATTCTTATATTTTAAAAGTGGATACAATTAGAAATATATTAAATCTAGGGTACGAATTAGGTAGGTAGCCTAATTTTGAGTATAAAGTCATTTTCATCCATTTCAGTTTAGGGCCACGGCCACCCTAGTTTTAATCGATTGCATGTCATGTTTAAAGAACTTTCACAAAGTAATCAAAAATTTATGACTAAAATGCACCAAAAATTGAAAGGCAACCAGCCAATTAACAACTTAATGTAAAATATACATAACAAAAAAAACTATATTTAAGTTCAAAATTGGATGGCAATATATAATTAATTACAGTGAAATTAGGGATGTATATAGATGAACTCATCCTCTTTGCACTCTCGCAGTCCGATTTCCATTATGTTGCCACCAGTGGAAGAAGTTGGTAAAATATCACAACACTGTCTTCTGGGAGCTTTCAACTACCGCATACAAAATATAAATTTTGTTAAGATAAAACAAACATAAATCTAAGTAAGGAATAAAACAAACATAAATCTAAGTAAGTAAGAAGCAAAAAGCTATACGAAATACTATATTTTTAGGGTGCTATTCTAAAAGAAAACAAAAATAATACATATTTTCTCTATGTATAATTGATATTTCAACAAATATTACTAATCTAGAAAATGTATTTCACTATGGCCAAAATTATACTATCTATCCTATATTTTGTTAAAAATAAAATAAAATAATCTAACCTTAAACAAAAACTAGTGCTCTTTATTATTTATATTTTTTCCCAAGAAAATAAAATAAAATAAAAAAATAGAAAAGATAGAATAAATTACTTGTTTGATGTTGGGATCGAGTCTTCTTGAAAACACTCTAATCTCTTTGATTTTGCGAGGCGATGTAATGGGATCGTATGTACAATTCTCATAAGCCTGCTTATAAACACTTTTAATGGTTCCATTGTGGCTACTATAAGAAACATGTTGCATGTAGAAAGTGACTGGTCGTTGGCAAGGATCAGGATGAATCTCTCTTGTGTTGAACATGTAAACACTTGCCAATCCGCCGGAATCTTGCCACGGTCGAAACGTCTCTTGTGTCCGCAAAACATCCGGTAGAAACAAATGCCTACTATCAATCTAACATTTGAAACAAACAGTTTATTTTGAATTAATAACATCATGTTATTGGAGTCATGAAAAAATCACGTATCTTAATTAGAATTAGACACTTAACTCGAAATTTAAAAAAAAAAAAAGTAAAAAGAAATATTAACCTGAACGGTATATCCCCAAGAGACGGAGATGGTCCAAGAGTACCAACGGTCGTAGCAAACGGAAAGTTGAAATATACGGAGAGGGTCGAGTTCTACGGCGGAGAAGAGGTGGCGGACGGCGGAGAAAGTGGTTGAGTTTGGAAAGATTGGGTCAATGTGAGCCAGGTGGTGTAGTGACACCAACGGTCTCGTTGAATGTGATGTCAATATTCCCAATGCATTTCCTCTCACATCAAACTGCTTAAAAATGAAAGACAAATATTTTTAATCAGTTTTTTTTGTTTAATCAGTTTTTTTCAAAAAAAAACTAATAACTATTATTAGAAAAAATAGAAACTTTAAAACCTGATGAAAGCCAGGTTCTTTAGACAATCCAACTCCAAGCTCAAGCACACAAACATGAACCCTAGAGTCTCCTCCGTACAAATGTGGATACCGTTCGATACAAGAATCGAAATTTCTAGCTAAAACATTAGCCAATGAGCTGCTTAAAGCAAACCCTCCACCGCCAAACGCCATGTCATGTCCAAACATTGAATTCTGGTGATAGATCTCTGAGGTTGATCCTATGTAATACCATGATGTGTGGTCGTATTTCGAGAGAGTTCGAGCAAGGTTTTCAGGTATAAAAATCGTGTCATCGTCTCCAAATACGTACCATCTTACTTCTTTTGAGGAGGTATTGAATAGCCTGACGGTTTCTAGAACGCACCGCGCTAATCGAATCGCGTTTCTGTCACCGCCTCCCCAAGTGTACCTGTAGACACATGTCTCATTAGGCCGATTCGATTTAATTATAATCTATTCTGCAAGTTAAATTGATTAAGGAATAAAATAGGAATATCAACTTATTATTTTATTTTTAGTATAAAATTACAAAAAAGGTCAAAATATAATTAAATTTTTGTAAAATTATATATTAAATATTTGTAAAGCAATAGACGTTACAACACTGATTATTAAACTAATAAACCAAAACTATACCTACTTTTAATTGATGATGAAATTAAAGTTGTACTTTTTTTCTGATAAAATAACAAATTGAACTTCCCTTACCTGAACCGGGAAGTATCTTGGGAAACACAAACCGGAGGAAGGAGATTTGAATCTGTGTGGTTTTCCGAAGACGGCAAGGGACGCTCAACAAAGACGCAGCCTCTCATTTTCTGAGCATCCCACCAAAGCTTAACGTATTCGCTACGTGCACGCCACGAGTTCGTGCTTGAGCCTATCCCAAATACGACGTGGTCGATTTTTGTTGGGCTCTGAGATTGATCTTGATCAGAAGATGAGAAGTAGGCATGAATAGAGTCTTTAGATTGAAGCCTTGAGGCCGAGATGAGGAGGTAGACCAAGAAAATGAATACAAAAAGTAGTATGCAATTTATCATACGCGTCGCGATAGTCCAAGAAGAAGAAGAGGAAGAATAGGTTTTCGAGACGGGTCTAAATAATGGAAGACACATTTCCTTACGTTTCAAAAGAGAAAAAAATGTCTATGAAGAAGGACAACTTTTGGTATAAAAAAGGATAAATTTTGGTATATATAACCTTTTTATGTATATAAATGAACGGAAAGATCTTAAATGGATTATAGTAAGACGGTGGCTATATTAAAGTGGTGGTCACGGTGGCTATATGCGGTTGTAGCGGCGGAGGAGGAGGGAAAGGTTGATCAGAGGGAGAGTAATGGAGTCATGTTAAAAAAATGGTTTTAGACTTTGTGATTAGGCACGGATGCTAAGGCGTAAATAAAGAAGGAGCTTATTTAATTATCTTTATAGAAAATATAATTTGAGTGTGGGAGTCTTTATGGACTACATACGTTACTTGTTTCTCCACTTTGTAATTTTTCTCAGTTTAAAGTAATGTACATCTTAATTGGAGATGTATATTTTTGGATTTTGGTAATGGATCTCAATAAATTTATTTCCATACAACGATAGAGATAGAGATATTTTTAAAAAACTTTGCCATAACAATAGAGAGATTTTTCTGCTTTTTTTGTATAAAAGATTTGAGTATTAAATTTATGTTAGATTTATGATGATATAACTATTAGATATTAGTTGACAAAAATATAGAATTAGTTAATGTTTAGTAAATGTGTACCTAATTTTATTTGGGTCAATTGTATAATTTTAAATCGGACTAGCTAGTCCAATTAAGGCTAGGTTTGATTTATAATTGTTCTGTGAATTTTTTTTGTTAAATATAAGCGCATATAATATTATCACACATTAAAATATTGAGAAGAGACGAAACAAGCAACGTTTAGTAACGTAAATTTTGCTGCCCATAACATGTGCAGTGTCACAAGATCCGAGCCATAGGGGATATTAATATATTTCTAAGACATAAGTTGTTTCGTGAAAAAAAAAAAAAAAAAAAGTTGTTTCGTGAGAAATGATTAAAGAACTCGTTAGGAAAAAGGAAATTGCCATGAACACGCTATCTTTAATTTGCCAAAAAAGTGGTTTATTTACTGACACACGTGGACCCAATGGACTATTTTCTGCTTAACATTCTACCATTCGTCCACCAATCGATTAAGAGATAGATGTACGATGAAGTCATGAAGACAATAGTTTGAGAAGAATATAAAAACTTGCGAAGCTGCAGTTTTGAGTCTTTGAGAACCAACTCCAACAAAAAACTGATTCAAAACTTAACCTAACAAAACCCAAACCAAACGTAACACGAACCGAATTAACTTTCGGTTAAAGTCTAACCAAAACATTTCTTAATTTATAGTTTTTGGTAAAATAATTTAACAATAACTGCAATTAAAAATAATACTCCTTTTGAAAAAAAAAAACAAAAATAATAAAATAAATAATAGAAAGTCCGAAAAAATCTATAGAATGGAATCAAAACTTTAGTAGAGATCTTTTTGACCTCTCTGTGAACCTTTTCCAGTCCTCAAGCGTGTGCATGCAGTGGATATCGATACCTCGACCAACCAGACAAAACCACTGAACTACACACACCCTTGGCAAAACAAAGTCCAAAAAATCATGGAACCATAATGATGATGATCATATGATTGCAACCATCTCTTTATTTCCTTATTGGTATCTTAAAATTGAGCTTGGTTATCATTAGCTCGTGATTTTATTAGTTCCTTTGTCAATATTATCAGCTCGTGGGTCATAATCGTACTCAGCACCAGCTTTTGTAAATCTTCCTTTCATTCTTCTCTTCGTATCAGCTGTAGATTTTCGAGATTCATATCTAATTTGCTTCCCAAACCTGCATTTGTAATCAATTTGAACTTGTAAGTACGTATACACTTGCATGGAGTTATCTATACGTAATATATTTCAGGAGGTATAATACCTACTTGCGTTTCTTCTTCTTTTCGAAATATCTCTTCTTCGCCTCTTCTCGATCTTGTGGACTAGATCTCTTAACAGGTACAAATGTTTGATTCTCCCATGGTAACATCTCATCGGTAAAAATCAACTGCGTTTGTCCACAGTCAAGTTGAGCAAGAGGGTTAGGGAATATTGCAAGATTATTGGTCTCTTCCTTTGCTTTTGAGCCAATCATTTGATTTATATAATGATCTTCAGAACTTGCGTTAGCCAAAGCTTCAATGTTGTAATCTTTATGTATAAGCGATGACATACCCGATGATGAAGATTTTATAGTCTGTAACAATAAACCAAAAAACTAATAAGTCAACCATAATTAAAGATATTCAACACTAATATGAGACAGATTTAAACTGACGTTTACATTGGTAGGCGAGATCTCTGAATTGTGTTTCGATAATTCATCGATTAGTTGATTGGTGACGATCAAATCTTCCTCAAGGTTATATTCTTTTAGGTCTAATACTGCCTCGGCGCCATCAAAAGTGTTGAGCAAAACATTCTCTATATCTTCTTTAGTTTCATAGCCTTTGAAACCTGAGCATGAACTATCCTGCGTAAAGTGCCACACAAGAAACAATGAATCCAGTTAAACAAACATATATATCATCATAACAATAAATAAATAAATAACCCTCTTTAACAAAAAAAAGAAGAAGTTATAAGTATATATATATATATATATATATATATATATATACCTTAGGAATGTTCAAATAATCGGGCTGAAGCGTCAGCACTTGCTGATCACTAAAATTCTTTGTATGGTTTTCAAATATTTGAAGGATTTCGAAAGATGATGATGCGTCCTCATTATTGAGAGGTAAGGAACCAAGGGAAAATGCCCAATTGCGATCAATAAAAGAAGATGAAGAAGAGGAAGAAGAGGAATCAAGATCCAGTGGACAATTATATGCTGAATTATCACTAGAACCGTTTCGAAGAAGAAGAAAACGTGAGAATACATTAGGGTTTGAAAAGCATGTTTGGCATAGGCACAACCCTTGTTCAAGGCATTCTACAACAGCGGTCTGCGAACCGCAATTATTACACAACGGAATCCGCGAATAATCGTAATTGTTTACAGTATTCTTAGAGTGTAACTTCCAATCACATTGAAGACAAAGCCTAGCCAAATGATCGCACAATGGTGATCCCATTTCTTGCACTTAATTAAAAAAAAAAAAGAAGTTACGAACAGTGTAAGATTTGAGATCTCTAGATTTGAAAGAAAGAAAGAAAGGCGTTATAGATTTGAGATCTCTAGCTTGTCTTTCTTTTATACTAAGAGTTATTTTTACACGTGGTAAATATGGATGCTGTATTATGAATAAAAGCATATAGATCGGATGTTCCGTTTGCTTGATAGGGTTTTTGGGGTGGCAGATTGGTAATTAGTGGGAAACTTTTCGACGAAATAAAGACAGCTTTGTTAGAAATATGACGAAAAAATAGAATCTATCGGCGAAAGTTTCGAATTTTCAAGTTTAGAATTTAGAATAAGAAAAAATAAAAGGGAATTTAGAATAAGATTTGTTAGAAAGATCTTTTATTTCGAGTCTAAATATCATTTAAACAGTTTTGAATCCCACAGTTATAAATTTTTATCCTTGATTTTCATCTGTATCCATCTCCTATATCTCCCTTACAGATTTCATAAACATTATTGAAGAAATTTCACCAAAATTAAAAATTCCACAGTTTATAATATTTTCCACATGGACTTTGACAAAAGAATATTTAAGCATGGATTTAGTATTTAGAGTTATAATATTATTTCTTTAAATAAAATAATTATAAATTAAAAAACAGTTTGGGTTATTGGTTTGGTCCGGTTCAACCGAACCATTCGGGTTGTAGAAAAGTTTAATGGGTTGTGTGTAGACTTTGGTTCAGTTTGGATCGGTTGGTTCGGTTGGTTTTGGTTCGGTTCGGTTAGAATGTCCACACCTAGCTACAATAGACGATACGTAATATATGACAGAGACAATGGCATGAAGGAAACACACTTCGCCTCCGATAGAAAACACATGGACTTTGTTTGTGAATACACATTCTGATCTTGACTCTCTGTTCGACCATATCCCCACCGCAAGGATCAATGCTCCCGCTATTCCTATGATCCTGTTCTCAACCATCATTGTGTCAAATTTTAAACCATAATTTAATGCAGAGCTTTTAACAAATGTAACTGGGTTGAATACATGATAAAATCGTTAATATTAAAACAATATGTTTAAATACTGATGAAAAATTTGTGAAATCTTCCTAAGCTTACTAATTACTTTTATATATATATGATTACAGCAAATCTATTAGTTTTATCTTTTGTCATGACATTTTAGCCAATTAGTAGTATTAAAAATTATTACCAATTGATGCAAAGGCATGTCAGGTTGAAGTATGTAGTGATCTTATTCTTAGGTAAGGCGCCGAGTGCTTGGAATAGATTGGAGATAGAGCATCCGATCACATTGGCACTGAGATGAGCTGCTGCCAAACATGACACTGCGATTATCCCTAACACGAAAGCTGTTTTGCTTGGAGCATTACACTCGACCTTATTGTGCTTCACCTGCCAAAAACAATATGCAACCATAAACGTCATCATCATCATCATCATCATCATAATCATTTGTTGACTAAGATATATTTTACATCTTGTTGGGCGGCTTCGGCTTGTAATCCGACGAAACCAGCGACGATATCAAAGCCTACAGTCAAAACAATGCAAACAATGATGACGCTAATTAAGCATCCTTTCTTCTCCGTTTTGTTCCCCTCTTCCATTTTCTATAATAAAACAAGTTTTGTCTTCTTGTTTTCTTGTTTCAAGAGGTTAAAAGAAAAAGGGTGAATCAAGAAGAAGCGATCGGATTCCTTGTGAAATTGAGAATCTTGTGTGAAAGGTTTTTTTTTTCATTTTAAATAGAAATGTTCTCTAAACTAACCTATTTTAATTGTCGTTTTACAGTATTATGACATGTGGGGTAATTATAAGTTATAAGATTCTTATCCATGTTTACATGTATCTACTATCTAATACTAATCAAATCGTGACACTTGTCCTATAGAAATAAATAGATATAATTAAAGTAACAAAACAGTGATATCTTTTTCCAAAATAAATATATATATATATCTACTTAACAATAGTTATGAAAGATAGAATTACAAAAAGTCAATCCAAAATAATTAATTCACTCTGGTTAACAAATTTATTATTATTAGTGTAGTATTTTTAATAGAATAATGAAAAGAAAAAAAAATTCATAGAATAATGAAAAAAAAAAACGTTTTTCAATACACGAACGTTATGAATTCATAATAATATCTAAAATTAAAAATTGTGAAATATTATACATTACACATATTTATCAGAATCGTATGTGCTGCATATAGATAGATATGATAGATTAATCATCATTTGTAATAAAATCATAATATCTATGATGGTAATGTATCATTACACATGTTACCTAACAGTGATAAATTATTGGGTTATGTATTTGTCTATAAATACACTTTTCAGTAACAAACATGTGGAACTTAAGAATAAACTGACACGGAGCATCAGGCAAGCAAAACAATACTTGAAGGATTTAGAGCCTCAAGCATTTTAAATCGGATAATGCTTGATAATTTTCAGAGAAATGATTTCTTTGGCTTTTTGAGCCCTTTCGTAACCATATTGTAATGATACTTGAATGCAGAGAGAAGAATTTCATATCATCCGCATGAAATCCCCAAAATCCAAACGCACAAAATAAGACATCTATCGTTAGGAAATGTCCACCAACATCTTTGAACTCTCTTTTTGGGCAAGATTAACTTAATAACTTGGATCTATATAATTTAGATAACATCGAAATCTGTAGAAAAAGTCAGCAATATAGCCTCTAACTTGTAACATCACATAAACAGCTCTAACGTTAAAACTTAAAAACCATATGAAATCATGAATTGTGCAACAAAAAAAAAATTACATATGGGTCCGCTAAATATAAAAGGATGTCGTTTTAATAATACATTTTAAGGCTTCCCAAACAATTACAAGAATATAATTCTGTGACAAGAGGGTTCTACGTAAAAAACCTTTGACATTACAGAAGGTGAAGTAGAATACACATTTTAGTTTCAATACATGAACGGAGAAGGAGCGTAACCCGGCGATGCTATACGGTATGTGATTGTGTTTCTCCTGCATTCAGACCACAATTATATTTCTCATATATATTATCAAACAAATATTTTATGATTTTGTCATCAGATCTATTCAACATCAGACTACTGTTGGACTAAAATCGACTAACAAAGTAGTTCAATTTTCAATTTTGTCACCCATTCTAATCCGGATTAGTGTGAGTATAATTAGTATTCCAAATCTTACTAACCACTAATTCTAAACTTGCTGATAAAAATTAATTTCAATAAAAAATCTCAATTTGGTTTTGGTTGATGAAGAATATTATCACACTAAACTATAAAATCGATGATTATTTTTGCATATATCTGGAAAAAAACTCTCCTGAGTAATGATTTTTTAAAAAGCTGAAAAATAGAAAAATCATGAATTTTTTACCAGGCTCTCTTCAGTGTCGTATTTCTGCGGGAAAACGACGTCGTTTCTCTGGCGACAAATTTTCCAAACGAGCGATCAGCCTCTCCGGCGAATACGATGGTGGATGCGTCTTCGGAAATAGCAGAAAGAGACGGCCGCCACCGCCGTGTTCTGCCGATCTTTCTCTGCTCCGGACAAAGCGGCGCGTGACGGTTCACACTTCGAGAGATCGTCGTCGTGGTCGTCCGCGCGTGCGAATCAATCGCGGTTGAAGAAGAAGATGATTCCTTTCGATCTGCCGGAGATGAGCGATAACACTGACGAATTAGAGAGAAAAACATTTTAATTAACTACTCTGTTTATTTTTAATTATTTATGACATTATGATTTTTACATACACATATATATATAATTTGCTTAAATTCGATTTCATTTAATGCAAATGGATTTTATTTGCTTAATTTTGATTCTTTTCCATACGATTATTATTTTTATTTTATTTGTTTGTAACAGATAAAACGTTTCAGTTTTGGCTTAAGTTGTGTTTTATCCAAAGTCTCGTGTCTGTTAAGCTTTCTAACAGTATTTTATCAGTCAATTGCAAATTTGCAAAACGTATTAAATTCTATTTTTTGCAACAAATAATTGTTTTCTTGTCTTACTTTATCCATTGCGATTAAAGGATAATGATTTTTTCCTGAGTTTATCCATCGTAATTTAGGAAATTATAGCTAATTAGTAATGTTAGGAATTGTAGCCTTTGTCTTAAAATGGAAAAATGACTAAGATACAATCTCCATCTATTTGTCAAATTTTTATCTATATACGTATGATATTTTTTAATTTTGATATTTTCTATATATAGTCAACGTTTATTTTGTCAACAAACAGTCAACGTTTTCGTTATTTTCATAGGCCGTCAGTCATTATGAAGTTTTGAGATTTGTAAAATTGTAACCTACCAAAAAAAACAAATAAGGAATTTAAATATTTGAACATACATTTTATTGATACACTTTCAATTTTTCTCTTCGCCTAGAAAACTAAAGCTGGAATTTGGTTTACAAATCTACATTAAAAGAAATAACACGATAATTTTTTGTGAAACAAAAATAATACTTTAAACCAATATAGATGTCATGATACGAGAAGGGTATATAATTTGTACGAACAAGACTATAAACTATAACTCGTAATCTACTAGTGTTGTATTAGAGTCGTATCCAAGATTGCATGACAAACTACGTATAATGGTAGGCCGTTTAAGCCCATTTAGCTAAAAGTGACATAATCCCTGCTCCAACAAGAAGAGAGATATGGGCCATGATTTGAAGTCTAGTGTTTTTTTGCATCTTAGGGTGCATAAAATCTGCTGCGAGAAAGTCTACCAGAGACATATAGATGAGGATGCCTGCAGATGCAGCGTTAAGGACTCCCTGGACGATCAGAGCCGTTGGACTCGACTCATTATAAGAGCTTGAAATTGCCATTCCGACTGCGATTCCGACCGGCGTCGTCACAGAGAAAAAGATCGACATTATTGTAATTGACATACAATTGAAATTTCCCTGCAATGTATAAGAGTTCAAATGATCAGAGACACACAATTGAGATAAACTTTGTGATTTAATCAACCAAATGATTTTAGTAGATAAAATTTTCCTTCAATGCACTTATTTAGTTATAAAGGAATTCGTTACATCCATAATAAGTTTAGATTTTGGTTTAGAAGAAACTTATGCTAAGAAACATAAAACCTTTTATATATGCTTATAATTACTATTATTCTAAGTAAGCCATGTCTGATGTTTATAATCTAGAGTGTATTAGATGATATTTATCGGATCATGTCAAATGTTTGACAAAACAATAGATTATCTGTACATCTTTTGTCAAATATGTATTCAGAGCCATTATTCAACTCTTGCATGCATTCTACCAAAATTAATTTGAATAGCTGTCTGGTCAAATTGTACAATTTAAAGATTTTTGTTTTTGTAATTTAATGAAGAAATACAAAAAAGGTCAAATATGTGTATAACAAAGAGTTGAAAAAAAAGTGTCACTGTTTGAAATTTGCAAGTGGGAGATAAGTCAAAGAAAGCCGAAAAGATGGACGACACATTTAATGTAAAATTCAATAGATAATATCAATGAATACTATACATCTTTGGTAATATTGATCTTAATTATGATTCTTGTATATTAAAAAAAAAAAAACTATGAATAGTAAATAGGATATATAGTTTACCTGGGCGATGCAACCACCAAGACCAAGTCCTTCGAAGCATTGATGAAACATTAAAGCAGCAAAGAGAGCTTTGGCAGTGTCTGGACTTTGTGATGCTCCCAGTGATATTCCTATTACCACCGAGTGTACTATTATTCCCACTTCCAACACCTATTTTATAGTATTATATAAAATTATTAAGTAATTAGCTTCACTTTTTACATAAAGATAAAAGGATTAGGATTCTATGGAATCTCCATGCGAAATTTACGTAAAGAGAGAAGCAAACTCATGTAGCCTCATATGGACCCATCACTATTGTATCTCATATTTTAATGCATATTTCATACACACGAAAAGATTGCATCTTGATCTAATTTTAGGTTTCCCGACGTTTAGTTGACCCACTTTTACTTTAAACTTATATTAAAGGGTACAAACCGTATTAGTTACTATATTAGAGCAAGAGTTGATTTTTCTGGCTTTATCTTTTGGGGACCCTATAATTAATATGTGGTCAAATTTCTCCCAAGATTCTCTTACCGGCCTGGACCTTAATCACAAATGTATCATGTATGTAATATAGTAATATAAAATTTTTATGTTAAAGGACTATTGGAAAATTATTACGATATGAAAGTAGTTAAAATATATATTCAAATTTCTTACAAAATTTATATGGTGCATAATTTTATTCTTTCACTACATGTACACATGCTAAATGGAAGTTGACGACTCTTTAACAAATAAAAATGGAAGTTGACGACAAAATTACTATAAAAACAAAAACAAAATAGTACGTTGACGACCAAAAAAACAAATATATAGGTTAATGAAAATTCAGTGACATATTCTCAACTTGGCATATATCTTAATTTTACTTTTTTTTCTAGAAAAAGGTTTAATATGGGAAAAATAGAGGTCAATTAAAGTAATTAATTAATTACCTGTGCCACAACTCGAGTCCGGTGAAGCTGAACCTCGGATTCACCAGATTCCACGCCAACAATCCCGTGCGTGTGACCGTGAGCATGCACGTGCAACCCGAGCTCGTCTCCACCGCCACCGCCACCGTCTTGTTCCTCACCGTCACCAATCCTCTTAGACGTCTTGAAATGCAGTCTATGGAAATACGACGTGGCAAAAGAGTCAACGGAGAGAGTCAAAATCGCAGCGACCATTGCAACAAACCCAGTGAACGGAAACTCCCAGGCTTCTCCTTTCAGACACGGTGACGTCAGCTTCTCGTAACCTTCAGGCAACACATGCATAAACCCCGTTGCGAGGATTACGCCGGCGGCGAAGGCTTTCGTCACGAAGAAGAAAGTCGTCTCCGGTTTAAGCGACGGGAAGAACTTGCCTAGTAACGGAAACAGAACGCCGATAACTCCGGCCGCGAGAACGGAAGGTATTGCGGCGATCTTGTATTTATTAGCTCCGGCTTTGTTCGCTTCGTCGTCTTCGTGTGAACACTCGCATTTAGACTCGCCGGCGGATACGGCGATGAAGAGGAAGGAGATAAAGAAGAAAAAGAGAAAGAGCTTGACGTTTTGTGTGATTCTCATCTTATTGATTGAGTTTTAATTTGAATCTCTTCTTGATAATGATGATGATGTGGAAGAATAAGAAGAAATGGAAGAATAAAGGACGATATATGGGTGGAGATTGGAGTGATCGTCGTATTTATCTCAAAGTGTGTGTTATATAGATATGTAAGATTTAACAGGTGATATTCTAATGGAAGACTTATTTGTATTAATTGTTTTTTTAAATTATATACTTTTATCAATTGACTTTTAAATATTTGTGTTTTTGGTTTATTTATTTTTTGTATTTCAATTCTGTGGGAACTCAAACAAGATCGACTCCATAATTCAAAGAAGAAAATACATAAGAAAAATTATTAGGTCCATATTTGTTTTTGTCCCTAGAAACTAAAAATTTGTCCTTCGAAATTTTAATAAAAGACGGATGAACATGTAGTTATCTATTTCATAAATAGTTTTTAATTGATATGATTCAATAAAAATGATTTTAAAATAACTTACTCGAGGTTGTTAAGAAAAGAAAAAAAAAAACTTTGCAGAATTTTTGTTTATCCATTCAAATTACATAAAACAATAATCGACTATTCGCAATCATTTGGTTACCATGACCAAATGGCCCATGTAACAAAATTCACTAAGAATCTAAACAACAAATCATTTTAAATTGATAAGAAAAAAAAGGGGGAATGCGGTCATCGAACATGTTGTTTAATTTTTTTTAGACATGGTACAAAACTACAAACGGTTGAGAGCTACTTTAAGGGGTGGAAATAAAAGAAAAATCGAATCTTTAGGGAATAGATTTTTAAAAGTGAGAAAGACTACGTTCATTCATGCTACGTGTAACTATGAAACTGTTTTTCTTGTGAATACTTTAAATACGATTATATCTAATAAACCAATAAAATAAAGAGCTTTAATCTTTTCTCCTTAAAATTATGTCGAGAGAATGTCGACATAAAAGTACGGAACTATCTAAAACAAGTTGACTACTACTCTCTTTGCCTAAGTTCATGTGAAGTCAACCGACTCAAACCTCTGATTATGTCGATATTATGACTCTATTTCCCCAATTTCCTTTCCATATTTTGGACTTTACCATGTCTTACGTGTTATTTTAATAATCCTATCAAAATCTATTTCCTCTTTCCTTTAGGTGTACGCATTAATATATTGATTTTTTAAAAAGATGCAAGTCTTAATAAACCAAAGCCAAAATCATGAAAATGGCATTTAGATCATCTTTACCATGATTTTTTTTTCAGAATCGTGTGACATTACTACATATGTTTACTGCATTCGGACTTCGTACATATTAATTAGATTAAATGTTTTGTACTAGTTGCTTGTGGCATGGGTGCAGTATACTGCTCATGCATATGCGACGCAATGCACAAATATATAGGATCGGATTTTGAAATTAAAATCACAAAAAGCAAAAAAAATCACGAGATAATATCTCGTCCAACTGGAAGAGCAAAAAAAATCACGAGTTTTGTTTTCCCAAAATCTCTAGAATTTATAACTTCTTCAGTTTTCTAGCACTGGTGGATTAACTTTTTTTTTTTTTTTTTTTTTGGGCAAAGGTGGATTTACTATTTAGCAGAATTGAATTATTGCTTTTATATGTGTAGATATTTGTTTCTGTGGATCTCATCTAATATGCTAAAAACCTTTTACAAGAAAAGAAGTACCACTTTTTTGATTTGAGGGACATTATCTACCAACAAAAATATCCACTTAGTATATTTATTACTTTCCCATAATTTAGTTATTGGATATTTCATTTTCTAATGATTTGATCATTAATTTGTGCCTCAAAATACAGACTTACTAAGATAATTTAATCTTGTGTAGTCAACGGCACGAAGATAATTTTCCGCTTAAAACATATACTAAATTACAAATATATTAATACAAGTACAACCAAACGATATTATTGAAACTTTTATGAAAACATTAATTTATAAACAACACTGGAGAGTGAAGAGAACAAAACCTTTTATTAATACACAAATTTTGAAAAGAGTTGTGAAATGGACAAATGGTCCACACCGAATGACTTTGATTCTTGAAGAAAATAAATTAGCAAAATGGGTTTGATTCTTCGAACCTGGTAGTTTCACTTCACATCACCGAAGACTTCCTAGTTCCTCCACCATCGATCTGAACTCTTTAGTGTCGTTGTGTGAGGGTTTAATCACAATAATCAATATAGGACCCTCTTCCAAGTTTCTGAAGTGACCAATCTTTATTTTGTATTTTCTGCTGGTTGGTAATTGTGGAATATGACAAAAACTAATGAATCATTTATCCCAAAGTTTTATTTATTTATCAACCAAAAAACAGATTATGGCATTAGTAAAGATAAGTCTGGTCACTTACTATTGACTTATGTTTGCATGTATTCAAATCCAAGTTTTGATATAATCCATTGGTTCATTAAAAGATAAATTTTATTTCTCTTCCAAGCTAGAAAAGACAAATAGCATATATGAGTGCCAAACCCTATGTAACGTGAAAGCCGTCGGATGATTAATTATGGGCCAGTACTTAAAGAATCACTTTGACTAATTTGTTTTTCCTGAGACAAATCATTCCTCTCAAAAGTTTGAAGACTGCATAATTAATTCGTTCAAACTTTGAAACTGAGTTTCAACAACTTTGTATGATTGTGACGAATGACGATACTTTTGTTTTGTTCAAAACAACTAAATCTTATAAAGCTCTTGAAATAATTTTGATACTCCTCTGGTATTCACACTTACCGTTTTGTATTTAATTAAAATGAAATCAGAATTCGATTTCAGCAATTTATATGAAAAAATTAACAATATTATTGTTTCTTTATCAAAATTAGTCGTTTATATAATATTTCTGATATTGAATTTGTACATATTCTTCATAAAAAAGATATTTCCATATACAACTGTCATCTGCATTTCTGGATAATTAAAAATAGTTTCTTCAAAGTCAGCATGATAAAGGTTTGAAATTGGGTATGCACAATGTCTGGTAGTTGCAAACAATGCAACCTAATAAATAAGTGAAGGAAAGAGGACCAGATAAACAATGCAAGCGGAGGCGAATGCTCGACGTCGGCTGGGGAGACGGAGGTTGTCACCGTGGTGGAACAGCTGTCTCTATTGTGATAGCCGGCGACGTATCTCTCACGGAATATGCTATGCGCATGTGGATATGCAGTTAATGTTAATATAACTGAACCGAACCGAACCGGTAGGATGCGAACCTGGAACAATTTTATCGGTTTACTAACATTATGTAGTATGTACCACAATTGGGTTGTCATCAACAGTTAAATAGATCTATTAATAAAGGCCCATTAGTAGAGGCCCATTAATACAAATCTATAACTAAATTCTGACAGAATTATCAATTGGATCGTAATCTTTGTAATCGCTGGGTTATGTAACATCTATAAATAGTTTTGTCCCACAATGTAAGAAATTAAATGTTACAACAATCAAAACCAAAACAAAAGTTGAAAGAATTTTGAACCCAATTATGCAGGAAAACAATATTTAAAAAAAAAATTAAAATGTTTCTGAAATTCAACTACTTCGAACTTTAATCTGCAATGATTCAGTTTAAATCATTGTTAATTTTGTCCAATAATATGTTCCGATTCAAGATAGACTGTTTTTTTATTCCAACGAGTTTTGACTTTTGATTGAAATATTTTATTTAAAGGTCAGAAAACTGTAACCATTGATCTCCATCAATATAAGACGTGTTAATTAATAGAGCAACTTGAGTCTCATTAAGCTTCTGCACATATGCTGCCCTCTTTGACATATCGGCTCCTGGACCCGAACAGTTATACTCTCCATAAAATATAGTCCTAAAAAAAAAAAAAACAAAACAATGTCACTTGAATTACTAATCAACATTCCTTAACAAAATCAAATTTTATAGAAAAAATGGGTTTTGTACTTACGCGTCCCTAGAGGGATCGTTGAAATTGTTCCAGCCTTCTGGTGCGATAACATCGGTCATGGTAGTGGAAACGAAGACCACACGTGAGTAAGGCCGCCATGCACGACCGAGCCACACGTGACCAGTGCCACCGATTGTGCAGTTGACGAAGGAGAAGCCACTATTCTCGTCCTTGGAGCTACGCCCGTTTGCAGTCACGGCTCCGTTGACCGCTTTTGACCCTGGGGTCAGTTGATTAGCCATTGATATTATTCGACAGTCCTACACTTATCAAACATTTAACATTGGATCCAAACACTAATTAGCGACCATTAAACCAAAACACAAAAAGTAACCTAAATATATATACATTACCTGATAGAGAGATTTAGCGTTGCCAAAGATGAAATCAATGGAGCCTTGAATGTAACAATCTTTGAAGTAATGACGACCTCTATCGTCATGAAGAGTGTCTTGAGCTCCGAAGAAACCGCATCCTACAAACGCTGATTCATCTCCGGCGATTCTTATCGCCACCGCCTGAGCTCCTACGTCTCCTGGCTTTGGTATCGGAGCCACGTTCTATCCCAAAATATATCACACAACAACCAAAGTTATCTTTAATTTAGCTTGTTTTGTTGATACTAGTTATACCTAATCCGGTTAAATTAAACGGAAGCGTACCAACAAAATTATTATAAAACCAAGTAGAGAAGATATATAGTAAACCGATTTGGTTTCACATTTTACTTATTCGGCCAAATCGTAAACAAACCGAGCAAAAGCTGAGAGATAAAAATATCAAATCGATTAAACCAACATCTTTTTTTAAAATACTTCAAACTAAAGCTATAGTTTCTAAGAAATCAAAATATTGAGTACCGGTTTCTATTGGTAGTTAATACAACGAACAAATCCGATAACCTCATAATCGGATTGTGCATCTCTGTTTGATCTTAGAAAACACTCTTCTAACCATTTTATTTAAGTATATATGTTAAGTTTTTTTATGGTAACTAATAAATAAATTCCTTTACCATGAAACTAATGTTCTTAGCAACGAACTGAGAACCGAAGACTTGGACCGAGGCACAGTAAAATGTGCCATTAGCTGAGTAGGCCGTGTCGTTCCATGCTATGGCCGTAGTCTCGAACCCTTGTCCTTGCAACGTTATGTTTGGTTTAGTCTTCGGA